ATTACGCACCGTCTCGACGACCCACCTCGCAGGCTTCCACTCGTGTTTCCCAGTTCGACCTTCTCGCGACTCCAGGTGCTTCTCAGAGCGTTGGCAGCTTAGGCTTAGGCTTGGCGAAAGGAAAGGTCAAGGAGAAGGATAGTTTCTTGAGTGCCATCAAGGAGGATCCGTCGAGCAGGGGTAACACGCCTAGCACCGACAGATATGGGAGGCCGACTTCATCTGTTGCTCCTGTACCGCAATCAGTATTTAGGCAGAATCAACAAGGACTACAGAACCAGAGTTCGTATGGCACGTTTGAGGGTTCGGTACGTTTGGTATATTTTTATCGAGGAAGACTCGGCTCTGAAGCTTTTATGTCATACAGGTGCAGAACAAGCGACGCTCTCGTCGTCCGCCATCTATCGTAGTACCTGATCCCGATGCACCGCTTCAACCTGCGGGCGTGGCCTATGCACAACATGCGATGGCTTCTAACGGTCATCCACCTCAGGGTTATCAGTCGAGCTTGCACAGACGTCCATCACGAATTTCAGAGAAGACCACTCCTGATACCTCAATTGCAATTGATGTTGTTCCTCCTGTACGTGTTGCTTTTGCCTTCGCAACTCCTATGATGAATCTTTAACGGCGTTCGCAGTCTGGCATTGCACCCCCACCAGTCAACTCGCCTCCCCACACTGGCCGAAACCACCTCAGCCCGTATCACGTCTTCAAACCTGCGTCGATGTCAAACCTTGCCCCGATGCAATCTGTTACTTCTTTGCGAAGCCAGGGTGGCACTCGGCAGCAGCCACCAGCATCGAATCGAGCGCCATCCGTTGCTGTCTCCCATCAGCGATCCAACCAAACCCTCAACACCTACGGCGGCCCAAGCCAACAGCAAGGGTACTCATCCACACCAAAGATGAAACCGAAGGCGTCTTCGACATTCTCAGCCGCTGGACCCTACGAGTCTCCATCAGTCAACGAGATCCTCCATGCACGAGCTTTGGGTTCTCCTCTCCCTCCACCTCAGATGCCTTCAGTCTCGGCAGAAGGACGACCTGAGAGCGTTCGTTCAGGCCGCTCCAGAAGGCCGCTACGGTCGCACAACCCGAGCCAGACAAGCCTGGTCGTCGTCAATCCGGATCCGCCAACACGGCAGAGCCCTACCTCAGGCATGAGTAGACGTCCTGGTCCCAACCCGGTTGCACCGGCAGCCCAAGAAACAGCAGGTGGCGGGCTTGTCCTCCAGCCACCCATCCAACGTCAAGCGTCAAACACATCGTTGCGCTCAACGAGCTCATACTCGAAGTTTGTCCCTAAGGATTACGTGGACCCAGCATTCTGGGGTGTTAGTGGGCCAGGCGAAGGACCTGCTCTCACTGTCCCAGCCAATGGCGACATCAGTACCTTGAACGCAAGGAGGCTCTCGCGACAGGCATCTGCGAATTCTGGACTGAGTTATGTTTGAGGTGCTTCCAGTTTTATCTTCATTTCAGTCTCTTTGCTCGGATCTCTTTCTCTTTTCGCTGCACACCTTATATTTTTCTATTTTCCGCTGTCTTCACCTGTAGCGACACCCCCACGATATCTACTTACTTGTATTCTTTATTCTATTGTCTGCCTAGCTGGTTCTCTCATGCTCCAAACGTACGATAGATGCATATGAAAGATTGGATGACGGTTATTCCCGGCGGACAATAGGGAGTTTATGTATCCTAGTTGAACTAGTAGCCCACAATGACTACGGATGTTGATTTTATAACGGAGGTCTGGCCTGAACCAGAACACAATGCCTGCGCGAACTTGCGACTATACAGTATAATTTCTCTGTTGTACAATTTGAATATCTCTGGACTGCCGAGGTATTTCTACATGTAGAATACTAGTAACATACTAGTAGCAAAGTCGAAAGCACGAAAACGAAACAGGATAACGATATATACAGGAAGACAGTTCCCGGGTAGGGTGGATAAAAGTTACAACTGAAAAGAAAATGAAAGAAAAGAAGGCTGTACCACACAAGTCCAACGACGATGTTGAAAGCAAGAGAGCCAATCACAGCAACCCGAAAACCTCTCTAACCAGCCGCTCTAGACGCTCTTCGCTACCCTCCGCCGCGACGCTGAATCTATACCCAGCTGGGCCCATCGATGGCGCCAGTCCAGGAGCTGCTGTGCCATGATGTCTCCACTGCACCTCCCAGACGCCCATGACCACGCGCAGGCCTAGGTTCTCACCATCCGCCTTTCTCAGAGGACGTCCGCGTCTACAGAGCTCCATATACCCCGGAACGAGCCAATTTTCTTGGATATCCTGGTCCTGGCTGAGCTCGGGGAAGTCCGTCGCGAGGCAGAGACGTTCGACGGTGGACGTGACGAGGGTATGGAGGTGCCTTAGAGCAAGGGCCTTGATCTCTGACATGTCCCAAGTAATAGCGAGCCTGAGGACTGACAACCAGTCTTCTTTCGTACGGAGGTCAGGAGTGGATAGGCTCCTGGAGAAATGGGAAGCAGTTATAAGCACTTCGAAGAAAAGAGAGAAGGGAAAGAACGTACGTCGGGTAGAAGATATATAGCAATTTCTCGAAATCAATCTTCTTCACACCAGGGAGTACGAACGTGTTGTAGTAGCCTGGGTATAAGTCGACAGGTTCGAAGACGCGGTTGCGGAAGAACGACGAGTACTTCTTGAGGAAATGCTGATGAATCCTAAAGTGCGTATTCTCCACCTGAAGGAAGAAAACGTCAAACGTCGAAAGAATAAAAAATAACGGAGAAAATGCGCATACACTGCAGATGAAGTTCCCGTCCTCGAACCAGAACACATGGTGCTGAAGCCTACAAGACGGTTGGAGCTGCGCCGTCGGTACACTATAATAGTATGGCAATGGCGACGACCCCGCCATCGTCGCGGAAGGTCCGCCGAACCCAGATTGAGTTTGTGGCTGCGACTGTGATAGCGGAGCTGGCGGCGCCGGAGGAGTTGGTTGGCCCCACAGCGACTCGCACGAGGCACCACAGGGCTTGCCAGTAGTATGTGGCTGCTGAGCACCTTGCTGGGACGTCGATCCACCAGGAGCCTGGGCATTCCAACGGGGAGGATATCGCGACTGCGAGTTCGCCTGCGTATTCGCCCGTGTCTCCAACCCGAACTCAAACTCCGGGGTAAAGCCTTGAGGAAAACCGCTTACAGCAGGAGATGAGCCGTTGAACCCCCAATTGAAATTGCTGTCCCAATCGGAAAACAGCATGGACAGCGGAGAGGAGCTGGTGGTACAGGGGGTACGAGAAGCTGACTGCGGTCCTGTTGGCTGAGGAAGGGGACGAGGTGCAGCAGATGATGATGATGATACTGGAGGTGCCGCCGCAGGAGAAGGCGTCCACCCCTGCTCAACCCACGCTGGGGCAAATGGAGGCATGAAGAAGGGCGGTGCCATTGCAGGCAACGACGTTGATGGCATGGGTGGAGCGCTGGGCGGTTGGAAGCCGAGATGCGGGGCGGTAGGCAAAGGTCCTGGAGGGACAGTCATCGAGCCAGAAGAGAAGGGGCGGACATTCGGTGCATTGGGTGTCAACATCGTCGCACTCGTACTGGCATTCCCATTAGCCTGTGAGTTGGGATTCAAACCCGCCGTCGGTGTCGTATACGGGTTCGAAAACATCGCCGCATATGACGCCAGTCCAAGCGGCACGGGCGTCCTAAGCATACTAGAGCCAGTCGATGAGAAGCCTGACACCGACCCCGTCGCATATGGCGAGTTTCCACTCTGCGCGCCTTGCGGATTCTGTCCGTACCCCTGCGCAAGACCCTGCAAGCCCTGCGCCAATCCTTGTCCATACGAAGAGAAAGGCCACTCCTGCGGGAATGGCGCATGCATGTGCTGCTGCTGGTGCGTTCCATGGCCCTGAACGGGTGTCTGCGGTCCACTATACCCTCCAGACGCGCACGTTGAGCCGGGCGATATCCTACCTGGGTAAAGGTACCCGCCGCTCCATCCGCTACCGACAGCGCCAGCTCCTTGGTCGTTGATAGGCGTTCCATCTGGCAGAGGCGCGAAGCGCAGCCTGCGAGCTGGCCGAGGAGCTGCAGCTGGTGTTGACGGAGTTCCTGACCTTGGGCGTGTTGTCGGGGCTTGAACTGAAGCAGGGGCGGCCGATACTCCCTCCGTCGCGGGTGCAACAGGTTGGCCAGCCGAATTTACATTCGCGTCTGTGTTCGAATACTTTGGGAGCGGAGGTTGGACCTGAATTGTGATAGGTTCTTGGAGGTCAACATTGTTTGCCCATGCAATAAATGCCCCACGGAAATCCGGAGCACCCCGAACACTATCCGCCGAATACCAGCTTGTAGGATACGCAGATGACGATGTCGACGCGCGTGCCGTCTCTAGGGCCGAATGTTGAGGGGCGAAAGGCACTGGATTTGAAGTCGCTCCAGGTGGGATGGGCACGACGGGCTCCATGGTCCCGAAGATAGGTGTAGCCATTTGGTGGAGTGGTGGCCGTGCCTCGCTTCCTGGGGGTACTGGGGCCGCTATTGTCTCCTCAGGTACAGGAACTACCGCGGGGGGTGGGACGCGCATTGAAGCCATTCTATAGGGATAGTCACTGGGCGAGACTGGGGTGTACCAGTCCCAGTTATTCCAATGCGGAGGGACGTGCCTCTGCGTCGCGTCCGTTTGGCGAGCATTCCCTTCGTCGACCAAGGTACTTGGCGGGGGTGCGTCTCCTACAGCCGAAGGCGAACTGGGCAGCGCATATATTGAGCTTACTGGAACATGCCGAGGCGATGTTGGCGCTGTCGAGTTGGATGAAACAGAATCTGCCGTCCCTTCGCTCACCGGGACATAGACGTACGTTTCTCGCCAGGCGTGTTCTTGGTAGTTCCCAGGAATAGGGTCAACAATGCGGGACTGCAGGTGCCTCTCTGGAATTCCATCGTCGGTGACGCTAGGCGCTTCCGTTGAAGGTGAAGAGTTGTTTGAGACCCGTGCTGGCGGTGTCGACGTTGAATACTCGCTAGCCAACAGCGGTTGAGGAGAATCAAGGGTGGACGACCTATTTGACCGTATCCAAGTCGAGCGGGGATGCATTGTCTGTGACTGTTGGTTTGCAGCAGAGGCCCGGGGCACTGGTGTCTCCGCAACCGGTAATTGAGGCGCTGTCACGGCTGGCAAGGCAAGGGACGGGCTGCGAGGTGACAATGGCGTTAGAGAACTAGAATGAGGTATCCAGCTCGCCCAAGACGATTGAAGTGCTTGTGGAGCATCCGGAGAACTATTGATGCTTCTGGGTGTGTAAATTGGGGGAATGAAAGGTGTATGACCGGTATGGTGCGCCACAATTCGAGGAGAGGGCATCAGAGACGGCGAACGCGACGTATAGCTCAGTGACGACGAAGCACTCGCGCTCGCTGGCCGGGGAGGCGGCTCAACGTCGATCAAGGGTACCTCGGGCGAGAATCCCGACAGGACCGTCTGCGGCGTCCGACTTGCTGGACTGGCCGTATCACCGTCAAATACCGCCGTCTTCCTGTGGAAGTACTCCGCCAGAGAGCTCGCCATGTCCTCATCGCCAGGCGCAACATAGCGGGCGTCGGGCGGCGATGGTGGCGTGGGAGAAAGCGGCGGCGAGAGGAAGAGAGAACACGTGCCGACCGCCGTCGGGCTCCGGGGACTCGGTGGCGTGAGTGTCGTCGTTGACGTTGACGGCGCTTCAAACGTCCGGTCCGGGTCAGTCTCGGAGTCGGGGGACGTCGCCGACTCGTTGGTCGCGCTCGGCAGCGGCGTTGGCAGCCACGAATGCTGCGGCATAGCGAGACGGGCAGGGAAGGTGCCCTCGACCGTAGCGTAATGGACGGTGGCAACTGTAGGCGGTATTGAAGGCATGAAGCTGTCGATGGCCTGCGAGTACCAGATGGGGTCGGTATATATTTCAAAGCTGTGTTCCGCCTTTGGGTTGTCTGCGAACTCAATGGGGGTGGAGCACTGCGGAAGATCCGATTGGAAGGCGCCCTTGAACTGAGAAAGCGTCGCAAATCTGGGAGTTGGCACTGAGGACGATGATGCTTGGAAAGTACGGTCCGCGTCGGCCTCGTCGTCTGCAATGGTGGAGGGCGTTGGGCTGATGGGGGGCGTCGACGTTGTACTTGCGTCGCCACTACCCCCGAGCTCGTTTCTTTGAAGGTGGAAAAAGTCGGGCGACCGTGCACCTTGCGGCTTCCTGGCGAGACGGCCAGTCGTACCGAGACCGAGACCGTTTGCGGTGAGGATGTCGGTAGGCTTATCCTGAAACCAGTCCACGGTAACAGGGAAACGCTCTCGACTCGAAGGTTGCCCCACTAACTCCGCCGGCGTCTCCTGGGTCTCAAAAATCTCCACCTCCACTTCCTGTGAGTTGTCTAGCTCCCTCTCTTCATCGCTGCTCAACGAGGAGGCACCAGTTGGCACCCTCGTGCCGAGCCCGACATATTCGACCGATACGCCCTCCCTGGGCACGTCCGCAAACTGCTGCTCCTCCACCGATCTTGCTCCGACAGAGAAACCGTCCTCCGAGTGCTCGTTCCATTCCAGGACAGAAGCTGAACCTGTGCTGGATCCGCCGGAGAACAGCTCCCCAGAGAAGGAAGAAAAGTGCTCCAAAGACCTCGAAGACGGCGTCGGTGAGGAGATGGCCGACACAGAGGTTAGGACAGGGGAGCCGATGGTTAAGACTGGCGAACCCTTCAGTGCTTCTCTCCTGGAGGTAGGAGCCGAGGTTGGGATGGGAATGGGTGCAGACTGAGGTATAGTCATAGTAAATGTGGATGTGGTAGTTGAGGTCAAGGTTGAACTTTGGGGCGGTACCCCACTGAACGCAGTGGCATCGGCAATGAGGGATAACTTGCGGGCGGTACTGTTCCGTTTGTGGGTATATGCGCTCCCGACGAGGTCAGAGCCATTCGCAGGACCGCTTGACGGCGCCGCCATTGCTGAAAATACGATTCTTGTCGCTATGCTCGACGACACAGCACAGCACTCCTAGTGGCAACTACCCCGTACAAACGATGAGCATTCCAGCTCCAAACAACAGTCCACAGAATACTCACATCCTATCAAAGTCCTTCGAGCGAACAAAAGAACAGCAGCGGAGGATTGACTAATGCAAAGGAGCAGATGGAAGAGCTGACGTCGGCTGAGTTTATGAATGAGGTGGGCGTCTGTCACCCGTGGGAAGCCTTCGGCAGAGTCACCCCAAGTCATTAGAAGCCTAATGGGGTTACGGAAAGCCTCCAATGCCCTGCAAGCCCTGCCGCGAACCATTAATCGAACCTCTGAAGGACATGCCACAAGCGACAAAAACATAATACGAACGGCAGTAGGTATGGGAGGGTTCAAAAGTCCTGTAGGTAACTTGATCTCACATGATCACTTAGTGTAGGTCTCGACATCAAACTTCGAAGACTTTGTCAAATCTCTGTCTCTCCAGAATTAATGTTTAGGTAACTTCGAACTATTCACTGACATACATGAAATGCCGGCGGCCTACGGGGAGAAAGCGGTGAAAAGGAAGTGCGATGTAAAGGATCCATGAACTTGAAGTCCATTGTCTGCACACGTGCAAAGCATGAGGCAGCCGACGGTCATGACCGTCTGCACTCGGATCGTCGTCCGAGCCCTACTATACAGTGCCCGTAGCACTGCATCCAAAGCTTTTATTTGAAGTCAATCAGTTCCCTACCTGCGGAAAAATGACCGAAGTGCATGCATCTTTTCTCACCGTACCGCAGATCAGAGTCTAGACAGAAAGTATCGCAGATCAAATGTATGAGCTCTCTCCCAAGTATTTCATGTCAGCATCCTGAGAGTCTTTCAATTTGAGAAGACAAAGGGAGATATATATTTACCACCCGAAAGCATCGACAAAAACAGTAGCGACAAAAACAGTAGCAAGCACTGTAGGAATACAAACACAACCCCTCCGACGCCTTGAAGACGCTGAGAAACTGGGTCCTGGCCACCTCACGTTGTTTGAATATTTGAGCTTACTACAACGAGGCGTTGTGAAATTAAAATGAACGTGAGTTTCGGAGACGCTTGCCTTTCCTCACAGCGTGTCGATGAGATCGAGAGGCCACTTGACCTTGAATAAAATTTGACGATCAAATTTGCACATCCAGTCGACAACTCCTTCGAGGAAAACATCCGTTTTATAATATTCCGAGCAGAAAATCTGCCATCTGCAGATAAAGCTTCAAGCGAGCCTCACAGTCGACGCGACTGGCAGGTGCTGGGAGTGAGCGCTTGAGCCTCCAAAAATGCAGAAGATATCACATTTCGTAGAACTTGAACTCTCCAATATCCGTTCACAGGCACAAGAAATCATGGAGTTAACACGAGCTAGAGGAAGCTCGATCTGCGGACTCTACCCGGGCCCTCTGCGTGTACGATCGGCTTTCATACTCAAGTGACACGCCTTCCCCGCACCATCTATACAGCCGTTCATCCCACTTACGACAACAATTTGGAAGAAAGAAGTTCAGGTTGACAACCGCCTGTCAATCATGGTCCCTGCAAGCCCCACTTGAAACATCTCACCTCGAAGTTCAAGGAACATGAGTTGGGATAGTTTGGGATTCTGTCGAATGCCAGATTCTCGGCTTTGGGCGAGATAGGGGCTAATTGATGCACGTTTTTGGTGATAGTGTGGCCGATTTCGGATATGTTCTCATCTCTCAATCTCCACTCCACATGAAGCTCGCTTTGGAGATTCTGGAGAGGTCGCAAGGGGACCTTGTCGAAAGGCAATTATAGATTATTCTGCACTGCACTGAATTCCTATCCACCACTGCACGTCCGCGTCAGCCGTAGCCGAACAGCAAGGATCTAGTAAACTCGAACATACCTCCAAGCACGGCACCAACCTGCCTCTCCAGTCACCCTCTCTCGAGTCTCCGACCACCTCGCGTATCAAACGAATTACGACGCGCCTGCAGGCGTTCCCCAACAGCCACCATGTCCCCCGAGGTACATCAGCGCATGACCCTCAACGAGGCGGCCCACGAGCCCGGGGTCCAAGTTGCCTGACCGAATCTTTGCACGCTGGTTACGAAGGGACGGAGAGAAAGGCGTGAGCATGGGTCGGAATCGGAAGGAACATAAGGGGTATGATAAGGAGGGAAGAAAGAGGAAGAGAAGTGGAATCAGGAAGGAAAGGGTGCAGTAGGAGAGTCCAGAGTGCATCCATGGATCTCCACTTGAGAAACCACAACTCGGAGGAAATATAATATCGGGACGAACAGACGGCCATCCAAGTGACTGGCGCCACCAGGAACAGATCGAACGATGAGAACGAGTGGAGACATACCAGAGCATACAGGACTCCACGGTAGATGATGCCCAACAGGTCCTTGAACTCAGGGTGAGCTTTGTCGATGAGCCGGCCCGTCGTTGGGTCTTTCGTACGCCCCAGATATTCTGTCGTTGCTCGCTTTATGGCCTAGACAGAGCTTTAGTCAACAACACTTCGAAAACGATCGAATAACTTACACTTTTATTCGCCTTCTCCGTCGCCACCTCCTCCGGATTCGACTCCTTCACGTTCGAACTCGTGCTTTCCTTCGCCTTGACCGCGCTTGACACCTCCGCCACATCTCCGAATACGTCCTTCTCCTTCTCCTTCTCCTTGCCCTTCCCTTTCTTCAAAATGCTCGGCAGCTCCGGCACCTTAAATGCACTCTCATCCACGCTCCCACTCTTCCCAAGCCGCACACCACTGCCGAGTCCAGCAATGTCGCCTCCCACTTTCTGCTTCTTCGCGGGTGGAGGTCCTAGTATACCTCCACCGACGCTCGCTACGCGTTTCAGTTCTCTGGCCATGCCTCCAGCAGCGAGCGAGCCAACCCCGAGGCTTCCGGTCCGCTTCAGCTCGCGGACGAAGAACGCGGGTGGCTTGCGGGGGATCGGGTCATCGGGTCGGGGGATGCGTTTCTTCTTCTCGGTTGGAGGACAGGGTGGAGGGCGTGGACATAGGCGGGCTACGCGTAGGCGGATAGGTTGAGGGCTATTTGAGGCGGAAGAGAGCTCAGCGTAGATTACTATTTGTGTTGTTTCTGGGCCGTCTGGACTACGTATAAACTTCCTGGTCGAGGAGTCGGAGGTACGACGAACGTACCACTATCGCCCAATGCGACCTTGATCCCTATGTTCGATCTGCTGAGTGGCGGGTCTTTGGCAGTTGATGATGACGCGCCGAAAGGAAGTAAGCAGAACATGTTCTCGAAGTATATCTTCGACAGCACCGCTAGTGGGTGAATGTCCCTGCACAACGATCAGTACACGAAAAGATTTCACAAGGCAAGGCTCACATCTGCACTCGTCCGCTCTCATCCAGCCACATTTCTCCCTTCCTCTCCAGCTCTGCTAAATCAATCGCTTCCAGAAACCGCAAGCTCGGCCGACCACGCATACTCTCCAGACCCAACGCTAGTGGATTCTCCAGCAAGGCAAATGCTGACTGCTTGGCTGGGGTGCCTTCCGTCCCATGGATGCTTAAAGGAGCATGACTGGGCTTAGATGGAGAGTCCAGCCGTGCAGCAAACGTCAATCCATCAAGAAGAAGTAGTGAGTCGGGAAGGGAGAGTGCGCCACGGTAGAGCAGACGGTAAGACGCTGAGTGGGTCGTCTTGGTAGTCGGTGTATCAGAGGTGGCTTTCGTCTCAGTACTTGTGGATGCTGTAGGCGTTTTACGGCTTGCAGCAGTGTATAACGTCGCGTCTGAGATACGAGGTGGCGTCGGAGTCGTGATCTGGATGGCTGGCAGGTCGATGTATGCGGTCGTCTGGGCCGTGGTCGTCGTCATTGTCGTGGTGGTCATCTTTGAAGTCGATGCTTTTCAGGTGGTCCAAGATGGTGATCAATGTTTGTGGTTCATCGCGATAGGTGCTAAAAGCAGATGGAGGGAAGGTGGCTGTTGACAATGAGAAGAACCGTTGAATCGGGCCGAGGTCAACGCGTCTTTGATGGCTGGTCACGACCCTGCGTCCAATGCCGAAATGATGTTCCCACGAAATTTAAAAGACAATTGCCTCTTCCTGCCTCTTTCCATCAACAGAGGCCTCTCCCGAAAGTCCAAACGCCGTCTCTCCTCACTTCACTCTGAAACGATACTACTTCGACTGTTTGGCAGCGAGCTGTTCCTGGAAAGTGTATGGGCTCTGGTCTTCACAACCTTTCACAAAGCATTTTGACGTCTCTCCCCCCGCGTGCCAGTTGATCTTTCCGGACAGACTTATTTCCGAGTGCCTTATCCACGAAAATCGTCGTCTGCGGCATCCATGTCAGACATATTTTCTCCTTAGTCAGAAATGGCAAGCATATCCGTCGAAGGCATCTCCCTTTTCCCGGTATCTTCGGGTATATTCTCGGGCACTGAGAGTGTCATCTTACACCTCAGTGGGTCTGTCTTTCTGGATTCTGTTTTCGAAAGTTTGTAAAGTCTTCCTTCTTCAAAGTTTCCTCCTACGACACCCTCGCACGGATACCCTCGCTTAGCCGACCGTTGATAAAAATGGTGCCTTTGTCCGACACCTGTCGGTTGTTGGACCTATGCTGTCGAAACCTTCCAAGATTGGAATCCGGAGATTTCACCGTGGCGTGCTCACCGCAAGTCATAGACTCGCCGGAGCAGATGGCAGCTCCAATGTCAAGTGCCTTCCCGCTGCCCAATGCGAAACATGTAGTTCTCTACCGAGCTGACCTCCCTTCTGGCTAGGTATAAAAGGAGGGAAGACTGTATGACTGTTTCCTCAGCTCAGGAAGTCTTTCATAGTCCGCTGGTCGGTCTAACATCTCAATCGCTCAGCCTTCGTCAAAAACCTCTTCTCTGCTTTTTAACTCTCTTTATCACCTCCTCGTTCAAGATGTTCGTCAAGACCCAAGTTATCGCCGCTGCTATTGTCATTGCGTCTGCAATTTCCATCAGCGCTGCTCCTGCCTACCCAGGCCGTCCCTCCGACCTCGAGGTTCGTCTTGCACCCCCTTACCCGACGATATACTCAGATTGTATTTTTTTTTCAGGCGCGCACCGGGGACAGCGTCGAATGGATCAGGCGCTTGTATGTAGAAGGACGTGCAGACAATGACGACCACCCGGTCCCTCCTACCCCGAACAACTCCCCAAACAACTCGCCCGTCCCACCGAGGAGAGGCGTCTCTGGACAACCGCCACACGGTCCAAGCAAGTCTCCTCGTGGCAAGCGGGAGTTCTTTGAGCGGCGCTCAGGCAACGACGGCGGGCATGTCCCACCCACGCCGAACAACTCTCCTGATAACTCGCCCGTTCCACCGAGGAGGGGAGGTCCCGCGCAACCACCGCACCCGCCCAGCAAGCCTCCTCGTGGCAAGAGGGAATACATCGAGCGCCGTGCCAAGGACAACCAACACCACGAGCCCGGTCCTGGTCCTACGCCGTTCAATACCCCGAATAACTCTCCTAATAACTCTCCCAACAACTCCCCGAACAACTCTCCTCACAATTCGCCCAACACCCCCAGACGGGACGGGCCGGCGTCGGGTCACCCCAATGGCCACCCCGCCCCGCATGGCAAGCGAGAATACCTCGAGAGGGAGTACGTCGAGATTCTTAGGCGTATGATGGAGTTGTATGATGAGCTGGACTGAGAGGGTGAAGAGGATTGGCACCGGACTTCGTCATAGAAACGAGCCTATTACTGGTAAGTAGAGTCAATAGTATGTCCTTCTTGTACATCAGCAGTTGTCTATACAACATCTCCAACTTTACCAATGCTTGTGTATTGTCGATATTTTTGAGATTCCGTGTACTCGCCGTATGTCCTTCGCGTGCCATGCCTCCTTCAAGTTCTTGCACTCAACGCGGGATATTTTCCAGATGAAAATTAGACTTTTGAGGCGCTCGAGGCGATTTCCGGATAGAAATTTTGCCAAAACCACTAAAAATCCGTCTGGACAAAAGTTGGGTTTCGGGGCTTCGGCATGAGGGCTTTTTTGGGTCCCAAATTTGAACCCTTACACACACTTTCTTGCGTGATTTGCGCACGAGCAGATCATCCTCCTTCTGAAGTGACGCAGGGTTAATGTACGAATAAGAATGTCCTTGAGCCAAGAATGTTGAGCCCCATTGGAGCTTATGCCAGAGATTCTGCAAACAACCTGGTTCAGAACGTTCATATTACGTTCTATCTGTTGGAGAAAAGTTCCCCCCCCCACCCTGGAGAATTTGGGGTGTCCATAAACTCGCCCTCTAAGATATAAATATGTTGTTCCTTCTTCTAGATAACAAACAGCTGGCGATCGAGGAAGATCGAGGACATACATGACAACGTAATCCCCTTTTGGGGTAATTCCGATACTCCGCGCGGTCGGCTCGGCTAGCGCTATAAATTGTTTTTCATCGGATCGCGGTCAAATTGCGGCTTGGCGACATTCATCCTGGAAAACAGGCACCGCAGCACCGACAACATTTAAAATAAAGGAACGGCCATGGGTTGCGTTCTTCCGCCCTTTCATGCTCCCGCTGGCATACTAGATTGCCAGAACACACCGGCCTCAACAACAAACCTATCCTGTCCTTACTTCCTAACGCACCCATGCGCCTGTCACTCCTTTCACTCCTCCTAACCACCGCCATCTCCTCGTGGGTGTGCGGTGCGTCGACCCTCACTGCGCGGCAATGCTACACCGAGCTCGAGTGCAGCTCGTTCGACGCCAGCCTCGATGCGCGGAGCGCTGCCCCAGCGCCCTCTTCCTCCGGCTTCATGTTCCATCGGAAAGAGCTCACGCACGGCGAGCGAATTGCTCGAGGACTCACCATGAGGGCTATATCTGCCCACTCTCAGTACCGCTGTGAGTGTTTCTTGTTCCCCTTTCTCGGTGGGTTGCGGCTCGACTTACAGGAACCATACGCAGCGAACGTCGCTCGCGCTGAAACGTCCTCAGTCCCCAAGGTCACTTACCGCGGAACGATCGAAGTGAAGCGCCAGGATAATGGGGAGTCGTTGGGTTACGTCTCGGCGAGCACTTTTAACGGCGCGCAGTACCGATACCAGGCTCAGGCAAGCGCGCTTATCGTCACCGTGGATCTGCCGGCTGGACAGACATCAGGAGAGGGCCTCACTTTGACTACTGAGGTGATTGCCTCTCCGTCCACTTGCAGGCAGAAAGGCCCACCGAAAGGCTCCTCTTTCTTTAGAACTCTGACACCGGGTTCCCTCTGCTGGGGTTGGTCCAAGGAAGGGACAACACGAACACTGATATAGCATCAGGCTCATACCAGTGAGCCCTTATCTGCCTTCCCGACTCTTTCACCCCTAACAATTTATTTTTAGTTACTTGTACCTCGGCGGAGTCTCCAGCCCCGGAAGTACGCGCAGTTCAGCCCCTTAAGTTCATGAACAAATTCTAACCAACTTCTTTTCAGCACCTCCGGATTCTGCTCCCATGACCATCGCGAATTCCTACACGTCCGCCTCTGGCCTTTCCCGAGCGTCTGAAACCAGCGTCGTAAGCTATCTTCTATGTTGCATACCTTCCTCGTCGACTCATGTCTTCTATAGTGGAACCTCGACCTTGCAACCGGTGCCCTCAGCGCCCAGTGGACTAACACGGACCTATGTCAGTACCATATTCACTCTCAGGCTGCTATGCATCCGATATCGGAATCTTCACTAACATCTTTACGGCCTTTGCAGCCCAGCCAGAGATGCAATATTGGACGCAGGGCACCGCGCTGTACAGTGGTGCCGACGCCGCGGCATTCAGCTCCAGATACCCTTCGCCTATCATCCGTCTTGTAAGCCCGTTGAGCGTTCCCGGCGTGCGTCTGCTGAATTCTTACCATTTTTACAGACCTACGTTTTCCATATTCTCCCTTAGAGTGGGTTGATCATACTGACGCCCTCCTTGCACACTGTACATGGATGTCACAGCGGAGTTACTCTTGTTTTAACGATCTACATATAGATTTCGTCAAATTATCTTACTTTATATCTTGGTCTTACGTATACACGGTTCAGGGATTTACATAAAATTTAAGGTTGAATTTTGGTTTACAAAGCACTTTTCCTGAATGGCTTGGACGAAGTGGAGTATCCATTGTTGCAACTTATAGCGGCGTGAGGTTGAACAAACCATCTCCTCTTCGCGTTGTCTCCTCTCTCAAAGTGGAGAATGGCTCAGTCAAGTTGACAGGTTTTCTGACCGTGCACAATGGGAGGCGTAGTCCCACGAAGCCTCTTACATTCCCGTTCTTATATATCCTATTCTATACAACTGTACCTCAGGCTACACCGTCCCTAAGCACCCCCACAGTGCCCCCACCCCCTGACCCCACAAAGAAGAAAAAGAAAGCGAATTACTCTACGCCAACCTCAACGACTTGCAATCATCCGACAACTTCCACCTCCGGCACTTCCTACTCTCCTCTACGAGCGGCGTCCACTTCTCCACCAGAGCCGCCGCGCGATAGCGGAACAGGTACACCTCGTCTCGCATGAGCGCGGCAGGCGACATGTCGCGGATCACCTCCATGATTCTAAGGATCCTAGTCGACTGAGCAGATGGAATTTTGATGAGCGGCTGAGAAGGATTGGAGAAAGAAGGGTACAGGATTAGATTTACCTCGAGAAGTTCTGGATTTCCGAACTCGTGGGTCTCGACGATGCTGAGGAAGTGGCTTAGTTTTGACATATCCTGAAAAACCAATTTTAGTTGAAGCATTCGAGACAAGAGGAGGACGGGTGCTGACCCAGTTAGATGCCCTCAAGCGTCGAAGTCCTTTCCCAGTAGCCTGTATCGCCGAGCAAGCAACCTGATCAGCCAAGTTTAAGAACAAGAATATAAAACCAAACTTACACCGAACTTCTTATCCGCTGGGTTAGGAACGGGCCAGCGGAAGAAGCTCTTCACCAGATGTGAGCTCCACCCAAGCACCATTGTACACTCTGAACCCTTCATATGGTTCCCCGGCTCGACCTCTGTCCAACCCTCGATGATGTTCTGCGCCTTCATGAACTTCTTCACGGTCCGGTAGGTCAGCGTGATACTAAGCTCACGGTGGAGGTTCTTGACTGACGGATCGGCGAGGTGGCGAGAGTCGCGTAGGCGCTCGAGGGTGGCAAAGTCGGTGTCGGAGAACCCGCGAATGACGAGGGAGCGCAGACGCGGGACAAGTGCTCCAGGGGCGCCTTCCGACGCGTCGAACACGAGCCGCTTCAAGTACGTCGCTGGTGTATCCCAAATGTCCAACCGCTCAAGGAACGGCGTAGCCGCAAGGAGCCTGTGGAACTCCTCTTCCGTCCACCCCACCACATGGAACGTCAGCGCACGGAGCTGGGTCGTCTTCCTCAACGTCACCGCAAGCAGGTCCTTCACGATCAACGAGGCCGTCGGGTGGACCGGGTGCGCCTCGATCTCGAGCTCCTTCAGCTTCGGCGCCTTGATGTACCTGAACGGCGTCTCCTCCGGGTTCCGCCCAAACGACCACGCCCCGCTCAGCTCCCTATAATTCGTGCTCGCGACCCTCAGATACTCCAGCTTCGGGAACGGGATGACGAAGTCGCTGTAGTACATGATCGACACCGGGCCGCGGAGCTCACAGCGCCTCAGGTTCTTGTACATGAACGCGAAGTAGTCCAGCGCGATTGGGAGGCCAGCGTAGGACTCGACGTTGTGGAGGAGCTGCCCCATGTGCGGGTGCTTCTGGACGTTGTCGAGTACGATGTGCTTGAGCAAGGGCGTGCGCTGGAAGACGTGGTTCGGGCAGTCGAGGAGCGACGCGGGGAAGCTCTCTTCGTTCACGCGTAGGTTGAGGTGGGTAAGCTGTGGGAAGTCGAAGGAGGGGAGGGTCTCGTAGATCCGCCGGTCGAGGTGTACAACGGCGGTGCCCCACCGGTGGGCTTGGGAGAAGAGGAGGTTGAAGGAGGGGAGACGAGAGAAGTCGGGAAGACTGTCTTCGGCTTCAAGAGTGTTGAGGAAGGGCCAGTGAACCATTGAGATGATGACATGGATCGGCAGGTCTTTGGACCGCTCGAGGAAGAGGCGCATGAACGACAATCGGCGGTGGAAGTATGGGTATGGGTATTGCAAGGGTGGGATTGACGTCCATAACTGTGGAATGGAGAGAGCGACATCTCGCCAATACTTGCACGTTTGAGTAATAGCGTACGCGATGTTATGAGCTGGCTCCTTAGGTAAGGCGACGGACGAGCTTGTATGAAATCGGCGTGGTAGGACGACGAAACGAAAGATCTCGCCAAGGAGCTCTGGTGGCAGGTTCCTCACCGGCGACAGCAGTGCCTTGTGTTTCCGCACAAAGTCGTTGAGATACGATATTCGCAACAGCGTCCAATATTCGCCTCCGGTTAGCAATTCTTCAACCAAGACACGGACAAGGTCTTCTTTGGTGAAGGCCTTCAGCTGCTCTTCTGCAGCTTGAATTGCAGCTTTAATCCTCGTTCGGTCGGCAGGCAATGGGACCCCATTGGTTTCCAGCAGCGAGGGCGTAGGCGAGACGATGCTGGCGTGATTCGAGGGCAGAGGCATGGTGTAAAGAGGAAGAAAGGCGCAATATGGCGGACCGATATATCATTGCGTCAGGATGGGGACATTCGCAGTCCGACTGGGGAGGTCCTTTGACGCGAAGACATCGCGCTGTTGAAGCACAGTCAACAGATAAGTCTTAGAAATGCAGTCCACCCGGCTCTGAAGGATATGCTTACTCCGGCATGAAATACAGTAACAAGAGACGCGTTTTTGTTGAAGTCCAACATTGGCCGATGGGAAAGTTCTCGGCGATATCCGCATCACGTGGCTTCAGCGAAACTTTGAATTTCGTTCACTCATGGTTGTTAGGCTCGTGACCAGCCTGAATATGAGAATCGATATTCAGGCTGGTACAGCTGAGTTTGAATCCCCGTAGCGTTCAGGTTGCACAGCTTTTTACCCAATATAGTATCTCGCCGACCCTAAACTCAGATCACGTTCCCGCGTCGCGAGCCCCTAAGGAGCGCGTCGCTTTACATCCGATGGCTACTTTGCCTCTCTCTTGTGTCTTTTCTGTTAATATTATGCAATTTACCTCGGATTTACTTTCTGGCAATCTACGAGATACGAAAAATCTTGCCAGAAATGGCAGCATACACATTATCCATGCTTAGCACTCACCCGGCATTCTGATTTGCGGGGCACTTCTGCTTTCGTGGAAGAGAGACGGCAGAGAGAGGATGTGGCTGGGCTGAAATATGTCACATTCGGGATAAATACAAAAGAGCCGACTTTAGTTCTTCGGGACTACTGAATTCCCTACCAACAAAATCCGCTCGCTCTACCTAGTGACTTGCCGGCCCGGCTCGGCCTGAAAGCCTCTACCGTACCCAAGTCCCTCTGAACTCCATTGTCGCGTGTGGTGGATGCTTCAGGAGTGGAAGCAGAGAATTTCGAGACCTTAAAATGTAAGTTGAATTATTGTCGCTTTGGTTTAGGGTTTCCGAACGTCAAGTCGCGCTGGAAGGAGTGCTGGAAGTGCCAGCACCGCTGAGGGGTGAAAACGAGAGGCCCTGCCCTCTATGTGCAGACATGGCTCGCTTCTTGTGCTTCGTCTTCGTCGTTGTCTTCGCGAGAATATCGGTAGAGGGCCGTGGAGCGCTCAGCGAAGGGAGGACTTAGTACTTGCTACTCGGAAAGTTGAAAGTTGAAACATCAACCTGGGAGGGTAACGTGACCTCGGCCAGTTACTATATTAGGTAAAAAGCTGTGCAACCTGAACGCTACGGGAATTCAAACTCAGATCTACCGGTCTGTATATCGACAGATTCCTCCCACAGATCACGTTCTGTCATATACAGACGGTCACCGGTCTACATGGTTGTCACTGGCCAGATGTTATCGTCGGGAAAATGCAATCTTCTGTTTTTAAATATTGCAGTCTCTAAAATGTATTCCTTTTGGAGTACCGGCGGTACTCCATTTAGGTGCTCGGTACTCCATATAGTAATGCATTTTCGAAGCTCCAAAATTTAAAAACAGAAGATTACATTTTCCAACAGGGAATATCTGGCCCTGCCAGCAGTGTGTTTGGTACTATTGCCATGAAACCCAGGCTTCTACCTCGCTCACTTACCCCTTTCTCTACCTTGTATCGAACTAAATTTCCACTTCGAGCTATGTCCACACGCATAGACCTTCTCCGTCGCGTCGAATTTCCGTCACACTGGCCTTCCAAAGGGGTTGACCCGCGTTCTCCGCCCTTCGAGCTCTCTCCCCGACCATATAGACTTTCCGACATACCCAACGACTCTGTATTCCACGTCACAGAACCTATTTATGTTGGCGAAGACCGCTGGTCCCAAGTATATCGAGGAACTTTACAGTCCTCGTCACTGGGGACCCGAGAAAATGTAGTCTTGAAGGTCTTTTTCCAGCCTTATTTCCCTTGCTCCGATCCCGACGCGTCCTTCTCATCCCCGCCTGGAACGTTCTCAAGCCCCACCTCTTATCGTCACACAGAGGAACTTTTGGCTTGGGCAGAAGTATGGGCGTATCAGAAGCTCGGCCACCTTCAGGGCACCAAAATTCCTCGCCTCCACGGAGCCTTCCAGGTCGAATCACCCGCCATCGGTGATTCGCAACCTCATTTCGCTGTTCTAATGTCATACGTCGGGGGCGTTACCATACTCGAACGGTGCATAGAGCTTGGCAGCGTCTCGGACAACGGCGACACAAGATGGTGCAGCCTGGTGCGAGACCTGTTTAAACAGGTCCACGAATTCCATCAGCTTGGCCTGTGTAACCTCGACATTCGTGAAGCGAACGTCAAGGTCGTGAGCTCTCCGGAGGGCTCAGACACCCTCGTTTTCCTCGATTTTGCCACCGCTCGGCCATCGACGTTTGCCACCGAGCTCCAGAAAGAGCAACACAAAGTTAACAGGGCGTTGGTCAATGATCTAGCACACCTCAGGGGTCTACTGCTCACCATATGTGGGGATGTTCCTGGCTGGAAGGGCGGCCCTAAGCCTCTCTTTAAACGGCGATGGGACTTTTTGCAGTGGGCCCGCAAAGAGCATGCAGGAGACGCCTGGCTTAAAGAGTGGGGATCAGACTTCAACTGTTGGAAGGTAGACTGACCACATCTTTCCCTTGTGAACGAATTGGGGATGTACATACTACAATCTAGAGAAGAGAACGTCCCTGCGCTGATGTAGTTTAGTTCCTTGACGTAGTCTACAATCTCAATGTAGATAGCGTGACGTAGACCGACATCCACCTAGACTTTGGTCAACGCAGGGTGCCTAGGGGATGTTGGAAGCGTGTATTCGAGACCTCAACGAGGTAGACGACTTGTCGACAAACCAAATACTCTGCCGTGTTCTCCCAACTTGGAAGAAATGGTGTGAGGGCACCCGAAGAACGAGCTAAGATCGAGGAAGCCATCCGCATCGCAGAGGAGGATATAGCCGCTTTGAACCGATATGCTGTCCACAGAACATTAATTCATCTGCAGAAGTCAGGATATTTCGCTAGGACCCGAGTCCCGTTGGATCTGGAAGCGTCTCTTCTTCCTCCAGCTTTACGTGCAAGAACACAAGGGCCTCCTATCACCGTTGCGACGATTTCCGCCGGAACTCCTCAGCGAGATCTTCATGTATGCGGTAATTCGACGCCCGTTCCACACCAGCCTCTCTATGAATATCGCCGTTCTTGTGCACAGCCACTGGGTATAGATTAGATTCTTGATCCTCCGCTTGGCGATATTTTCTTCTCCTCATTGGCTCGGCAATTTTTTCATTAATCTTCGCTTCAGTCCGCCCCGAGTCTAACTGGTTGGATGTATTTTCTCTGCCACCCCCACATCCCTACTCTCAAACCATTCAAGAATTCCCGTTTCCTCCTCGTATTCTCGCTACTTTTACGTCAGTCGCCTGCACTCGGTACCATGCCGTTCTCTGCGCTCGTTCACACCTCAAAATTCACCACAACTTCTGTCCGACGCGTACCTTCAGCCTGGACCCTAGGAGTTGCTAATTTGTGCACACATGGTTATCACAGCCCCATCACGAAGCACCTATCATTACTTTTCGCTAGTACGGGAGCGACTGCATTAAAAGGGCCATCGTCTGTAACAACGCATCTGTGCCCCCGCCCCCACCTCCACCTCCAAAGCACTATGAGGCTTTTCGCGACGTCTGCACGCGTCCTCTCGCTCTTTTGCCTCTTTCCTCGGTCACTGCACATTCTACGCCTCTTGCTGGACACCGAACGAAGTCGACATGTAAGGAAACCCAGTTCTTTCCGGAGATACTGGAGCTGTTCAAGGGCAATGAAGAATACATGGCGGAGATGGCGAATGAGAACCCTGGGCTGCTCGCTACACTCGCAACAGAAGGTCAAAGTACGTGCTTTTCTATTTATTGTATTTTGTTCGTAACAATTTTTTTTCTCTCTATAGAACCACCTTTCATGCTCGTCGACTGCTCGGACAGCCGGTCCGTGTGACCCAACCTTCGACGCACCTCATCATCCGCTTAAACCCGATGCTTGCCCTCAACAGAGTCAACGAGCAGGGCATATTCTCCGCTAAACCTGGGACGATGTTCACAGCAGGCAATATCGCGAACCAGTTCGACGAAGCCGATCTCAACTCGTGCGTTCCAACTCTCTAATTCACGATTTATGCCTTCTATGCATGATGTCATGTCTGAAGAACAACCCATCTGATTGGAACGCGCGCCTCTTTTGCCTCATAGAAACGCTGTCCTTTCTTTCGCCGTTGGGACGCTGAAAGTCAAGCACGTGGTCGTGATGGGGCACTATGGGTGCGGAGGTGTCGCGGCTTCTATGGTGACGAGCAGTACTGCAAGCCCTGCGGACATAGCAGTGAATACTTGGATCCAGCCTATTCGGCAGATATACCTTTCGTCGACTCGGTGAGTAGCAGTGATGGTGGTATTCTGCAAAATGCATAAACATTTCACGACAGTCCAGAGATTGCAGAACATAGGCGAAACAACCTGCTCGTGGCTGCAACGACACCGGACCTACACGATCGTATGTCTACTGCCCTTTCCATTTCCTTCGCACAGATTTTCACCTCGTCTCTCTTTCCAGCCACCTTCCGAGCCCTAGTGGAAGAAAACGTCAAAGCCAACGTCCAGAAGATTGCCAACTCACTTATCATTCGCAGCGTGAGCGCTTTCCTTCCTCCCTCTTACTTCCATTTCTAAGACTCGATTCCCTGTCCTCTATAGCACTATGCCTCCATCGTCGCCAACTCATCATCTGCCGGAGATATCTTCATACACGGCTGGGTGTACGACGTCGAGAACGGCAAAGTGTCCGACCTCGACGTCTCTGTAGGGCCGCCCGGGAGGGCTGTTCCTCCTAGCCCGTTCCCCGTCCTCAAGACGCATTAATACCTCTATCAGTTTCCTTTTCATTCAGGTGTAGTTAGTGGAGGGTGTAATATCTTGGGGGTTATCTTTAGTAGTCCTGTCCTTCCTTGGTTTTCTGTAATCATGGTCCTTTCGGTAATGTCTACTCTATCGTGCTTCTTTTATGTTTGAATATAATGTCTACACCTACATAATGGCACGCCTGTTGTTTGCGTAACACATTTTGGCTATGTCCTTGCCTTGAGGACACAGAGACTGTCTGTCAAAATTTATAGGGCAAGAGTGCAGCGTTCCGGCGCTTATTTATGCCTAGGTCGAATCCGTTACATCAGGTATGGCGCCATATTGCGCAGTTTCGGTCATCCCTAATTAGTTCTAAGTAACCCAAGGTCTCATAAAATGAACTGTCCAATTTGTCGGGGTAAGCAAAAACATCGTGTTTCTTATGAGCAGAACAATGCATTCGTAACTAAACACTAACACTATAACTATATGTACAATGGGCCGCTCAAAAGGAGAGCCACATACAAACACAACGGGCATGCTGGGTGGACGACGAAAGAAAGTTGGGAGAATAGACGCGAACGTGGGTCTGGAGGATGTTGTGAACAAGAGTAGCGAATAGACTTGGGTGTCAGATAAGGTTAGGCGTAAGAACGCAAAAGCCGGAAAACGAATGAATAACCCGACCACAACCCACGGTTACCTCGAACCACCCAGCCTGAACCATTCACTCTACGCCCCGCCTCTACGCTCCGTCTCGACCCAAGCACCTCGATCCCCTTCCTCATCGCCTGAACTCTACAAGAAATGCCGCCCACTCATGAGACGGTCGCGTTGTTATAGATAAGAAGGTTGACGGTCTTGGCCGGCAAATCCGCCAACATATCCTTGCTCGAGAGGGCCAAGAGAGCCTTCTTGAGCAGCAACGGCGTTAGCGTCTCCGGCTTCTTGGGAATCGGCGCCAGCACTGCGTCAAAGAGGCGCGGACTCGGAAGGAAAGCCGTCATGAACGATGGAAGGGCACGGTGAGCGATCGAATAGAGCGACGAGGGCGAGACGGATGAGGAGAATGGGGAAGAGAGCACACGTTGGGATTGCAGAGAGACGATATTCCCGAATGCGTCGATCTCGGGGTCGAATTCCGTCGAAGGGTAGATGGAGAGGAGGTAGGCGAGGAGACCAGCGGTATGGGGCGAGGCCATGGAAGTACCGGAAAGGGTAGCAGTGGCTTCGGGCGAGCCCTTGAAGGTGGACAGGATATTCAAGCCTGGGGCAAAGACGTCGACACATGATCCGTGGTTGGAGAAGTAGGCGCGTTCGTCGCCAATGGTGGAGGCACCGACGGTGACGGCATTCTCGGCCGCGGCCGGGGAGTAGTTGCAAGCATCCCGATTGTCATTTCCTGCAACATTATGAGCACAACCGAACATCACGGAATCATGTTGTATTGCTTACCAGCTGCGACAGCGAAGTGCAATCCATTCTTGACAGCCTTGTTGACAGCGTCATCCAGGGACTGGGACTTGCCACCACCGAGGGACATGTTGGCGACGGAGCCCTTGTGACTGGTCTTGCCAGTAGCAGCGAACTCGGCGGCGGCGGCCTCAGCCTTCGCTTTAGCCTGCGAGGCAGCCCAAACGACACCACCGACGACGTCGGACATGCTTCCGCTTCCATTGGAACCTAAGACCTTCACGGCGATGACGTTGGCCTTCTTAGCGACACCGTACTTGCGAGATGCGATGGTACCAGCGCAGTGAGTACCATGGCCGTTACCGTCGTCATCGACGTCGTTCACCGGGATGGTCTTTCCCCATGAAGCACGGCCTTCGAACTCGACGTGCTTGATGTTGATACCAGTGTCGACGACGTACACGTCAACGCCCTCACCACCCGAAGGGTCGTAGACGTAACGGCTGAATGTCGAGAAAGTAAGCTTGGGGCGGTGACTGATTCTAGCCAGGCCCTAATGCAGATATGTCAGCGCCTGATGCTGTGTTCATGTGACAGGAGAAGTGGAAAGAGGAGACTGGCCTGTGCCAGACAAGCGATAAGAGATGCTTACCCAGGGTGCCGACCTCTGAGTAGTGTCGTCCTGGGTGCGGACAATCTGGTCCTTCTCGACATACGCAACCTCAGGCATGCGCCGGATCTCGTCGATGACGCTCTCTGAGAAGCGTCCAGCGTAACCGTCAATATGGCCCTCATAGATATGAGTGACGCCCGCGAGGTCGTCCCCTTGAAGAGGTGATCCCTGTGCAGCTCCTGATAGGAAGTTCATGTGCGTCTGCTTGAGGACACTGGGGATGTTATCCTTGAGCATGATGATGTACGAGTTGTTCACGGTGCCATGGGGGTGGTCGGCAACCATAAGAGGGGCCAACGTGAGCGGCGACGGGCTAACGTCGACATACGGGCTGGTTGAGAGAGGAGTTGAGAGGACATTAGCGACGGAGACGGCCACCAGGGACCATTGGAGGAGGGCGAACATGGTGGTCGTTGTGAGAGAGCAGTGACGCGCAACTCGGCTCATAAGCCGCCTTGTTGTCGCTTGTTTGGCTCAGCTCCTCCGCCCGAGTCACTGCGCAGCAACCTTATTACACCGTACCAGTGCTGTACTCAGGTTACAGCTCATTGGCCTAAGTAGGATCCTCAATCCACACGATACCGGTCGTCACTATCTCGTAGATAGCGGACGAGGCGATAGACACAAAAATGAGCTCTGCAACGCAGCCACTACGCCCCCGAATCACCGCTTGTCACTTGCGTCAAGAGCTTAAATTGCCAGCAAGCACCACACGAGCCTTGAGCCGGGCCATCTTACCTGCGGGGCCAGAGGTGGAGTTAGAATACTGACGTGCATTTTCACATTTGTGCTCGTGCCATGCATACTTCCATTACGCTCCTACCCCGAACCCCGTGCCAGCTGCCTTGCCACCAGCCAGCAGGGTTCAGTCAAACATACACTTACTCGTCTCCTTGGAGGATACATAGAATGCCGTTAGTCTACTTATGTTACTCCGACGACTGCCAAGAGGGCGCCCGTTCTTTATTGGAGCGACATACAGGCCTTTGATTATATGGTGCAAGAGACCGCCACCACACCCGCGCCTTGAGGTTGGTACTATTGGACAGGGGTGAAGAGAGAATCCGAAGGTGCCAAAGGAGTAAAGCGATAGCGAGCCAAGAACCGTCCACGATGCTGGAACTGGGTGGAAAGGTCGCCATTTACTCTTCACAAATGACGATGAGTAGAGGTCCGTCCTCGTAGAGCGCCCAATTGCCTCAAGAAACCGCCGTGGTTCTAGCCGGCCCATTTGGTTGACAGAAAGAGTTCGGAACGAAGAGGATGGATCATCCAGAATACCAAAAAAAGCGGAGTGACCAAAGACTCAACCGACGGAATTAATTCATGGTCGTCGAGGATCTCCAGGATCTCCATGAAGGTTGGTTTGGTTTACATATACCTCTATAATGAAGCAGATCCCTCGACTTCGTGTACGCCTGTTTGCACTTCTGCTCGTGCCCTATTTCCCGTTTCGCTCCTCTCTCAGACCTTTTTTATTGTTCTACCCTAAGTCATTCACCCGTGTCTCATCTCGGTCGGTCTGCCCCATGACCCCATGAAAGCCTCTTGATTCTTCTCTTCCCCACTCACAGTTACACCAATTTTTATCATACTCGAGTTCATATCTTTCTCTGCTTCATTATAGAGGTATCATCATACTTTTATTGCGAGCTACGTGTAGGAACGGCAAGGTTGTAGAGCACAGACAAGAATCCATTCAGCCGAGTCGTTATCAGACTCTGGTGGAAGAAGCTTCTGAGCAGACGGCGAAACACCCTGCTTGCTCTCCTGCCGCACTGAGCTGAATATTGAGTCTAAAAAATAGAAAGTCTGTCCCCTGTCTCTTCTCCTTTCATGTAAGCGCTCGCTCATAAGCGCCTGCTCGGCCGCACTGCTCGTGTCTATCGCGTCAAGTTTGCTCTTCCACATGAGCCACAGCCTTGCCTTTCCAAGTCCCATTAGCCCCAGATTTTAGTGTCTTGAGATGGCACCCTTTCAAAAATGTCGTCTTTTCATCGTATGATGCAGGTTCCGCATATTCTCGAGCTGCTAGTCTCTGTGTCAAGTCCACGAGTTTGGTTCATTTTTGTGCCGAATTTCAGACAAAATCATTCTTTTGAGAAATTGTTCAGTGACGGGTTTTGTTTATGGCCGAAGCGAAGCGAGGCAAAGATCTTGTAGTGGTTTACGTATAGCCTCTGTAGCCACTAGCATGGCTTTGTGAGATATCTCTTAGCCGCCTGAGCATACCCCATCAACAGCATACACGCATCCTGCGTCGTCTTCGAGTAGATGTGAAAAGAGTGCTGGACGAGTGAGGTCGTGGTGGAGAAACGAGCAGTGTTCAACGCAACAGGAACCAAACTTTGGCGGGCACTCCGAGCCGCGTTCGAAACACGGGCAGACAGAATACAGACATCGAACATCGCAGGAGGAGACCCGGAAAGAAACCGAGAGCAACCGTGCAAACGGAGAACATGGCCACCATGAAGGAACGAGCGGCTCATGACTGCGCACATAGTACGAGAGCCGGTTGCTGAAAGCGATTGCAATTACGCAGTGCATGGATAGGCAGTTGTGGCGTATCCTCAGAAAGTGGACCCGACGCCCACACCCAGGCAACATTACGGTCCATGGACGTGCATCGTATCGTGCAGACAACGCACAAATTGGTTGCTTATATGGGAGCTGATCGTCTCGAAGACAAATCTAGGGTAAGTGTTGTCGTGGGCTGTGCGGCAAAGACCTGCAGTGCGAGTCCTCGAGATGTCCTGGAACCTCGCAACCTCTGAAAAAAATCAACGTTCGTCATTTAGTTAGTAGAGAGAATCCGTCTTTGAAAGCACGTACACACGAGGTCTCTTTCGCTCTTAACGTTCGTTCAAAGAATCCAAAGACGTCCACGCCAACATCCGAGGAGAACCGTGAAAGATCAGGGACCTGCTCGCATCTCGAGCGCCGAAAAGAAGAGTAGAGGAGGAGCAACCAGTCCCGTCTAGTCAAAGGCGATAATGGCGCGATGTAAGCATACAGCAAGTGATGGTCCTCAATGAAGGCACACGACGCGAGAAGATGCAATAAGAACCAGGACATGCCGGAAGTCCTCGATTAAGCACCCCTTTCGAGAGTCCCGCTTCGAGCTGTGAATGCCTTCGTTAATGGCACAGTCGGTGATAAGGATAAGAAATGATTTACTTTTGCTATGCTGATAGTCTGGTCGACTCGGACTCAGAACTGCTCTGGATAGAGGACGAGATAGTACGGCCTAGGAGGACGACCTTCCTCGTGAGAGACACAATAGATGAAACGACTGGGTTGAAGTGCTTAGATCGATATAACCTACATCTCCCACTGATGCCTGGAGAGGAGAAAGCACGAGAGCAACTTCCCACTCCTCATCGACGCTGGATTTCGGGAGAAGGGTACGATCGCGGATGCGGCCTGATAGTCAGAAAGGACGGCGAGTGCGAGCATGGTTGGGCAAAAGGAACATCGAGCAGACAGTGCTCGCCTCCTTATGTAGAAGATTACTGAAAGTTCGCGAATTAGTGTGGGCTTGAGTATTGAGTCGGCTACGAACGGATCGGGCCTACAGAGATTAATTAGAAATGTAACCGCGTATAAATTCAGGCAGGACGTTGAGTTGAAGAGGAGAAAATACCATACCAGTGACCTGTCTTCTTGAACCCTATAGTTGTTGGGGAAAAACGAGGGCGACGACGGGATCAAGAGCATAAATGGCGCATGAGATCGCATTATATGCATGGCATGCCGTCGGGCGGCGCGTGAGGCTGAGAGGGCCACCTTCGCGTGAAAAGAACGTAACGTGGGAGGTCTCGAGCCGACGACCTAGGAGATGCTTGATTGAAACTCAGAGGCTTCTCTACCTTGAGCTTGAAGAAACATCTGGAGCACTGTTTGTCAGAAGAACTGAGGAAGGATTGTCATACTTGGAGAAGTGGGGCAGTTATCGACGTAACTGGTCTAAATTTAGTGAAAGAACGGCTGGCCAAGTGAAGTCAGGACACGAACCTCTTCTCATTGGATATCTCGGGCCTTGGGCTGAAGAAAGCCTCAACGAGCAGGTTTCACAGCAAGTGACGTCAACCATCCTCCTTCGTCTGCAAAAAGCTAACTTGAAGCTCTATTCGCAACTCTTGCTTTCTTCAGACGCTATAAATGCGAGCGACATATCCTCAGGGCCCCTGCTTTTTGTAAAAACATCAGCGGAAAGAAGGCGGACAAAATGTCATAAAAATCAAGACTTACCAAGCGTCTGGTTCAGTCGATGACGATATTGCATCTCGTGGCTAGGCTCACTCGTGGTAAAGGCGACAGGCTCCTGCTTTTAATGCGAACTATAGAAAGGTTCGGCAGATACAACGGCGGAGAAACCAAAGATAAAGGAGAAGCCAGCGGAGAGGGAGAAGCGAAGAGAGGCAGGAGGGGACTTCGGCATCAAAAAGAATTTGAACTTTGGCAAACCCCTCATTTGCTTCCGTCAATACCTCATGCCATCACCCACGACGTTGGTAGGATATAGACCCTGCTCTCTATCGCCTCTTGTCTTCTCCCCGTTTGCGGTATTGATTTAAACGAATCCTGCACTCACCTTGGCTAAATGGAACATCGACCTTCGAATATGTGGCATTGACCAGAGCTGGGAACTTGAATAGTGTCTTTTCCCTGGTTGTCCAACCGTCGTATCGAAGGCCGGCAACGCAGGCGATGATCGTGTACGACGCGGACCTGGACCATGCTGAGCAGCATTTGTGGACGGAAGATTTTGCCGGGCGGAAAGGCCACTGTATACAACGCTGTTGTATGATGAGCACGCTTCGGTACGTCCGTTCGTCGTCCTGGACGATTCAAGGCCTAGACATCATCCTATTTTCACCAGTGACCGACTGCAATCCACCTGGGAGAGGACGGTGCAAATCCGTTCATGCGCCAGCATGACTGAGCAAAGATGCTTCCGCTCAGAGCCGCTGCACCGCCAACAAGCTGCTAGCCAGTCTGTCTGGACTGTGGGCCTATTTTGTCGCCTCCTCTTACATATCGACGTCTCTCGGACGTCTTCAGCCTTCAGGATGTTATCCAAGGAGCAAACAACAAACATGGTGTTAGTGCGTCCGAGCTGAGGCCCAGTCTGTCCACGCGTATACCGACGGACCACCTCTAGGATACCCACCCATATCCTGAGCATCGTTCCTCTCCAGTGACTTCACTGTGGCACAGTAGCATCTGGGATTTCGGGACCGAGAGGATGAAAAAGATGTCACTCCTCGAATGCCCGCTCCACCCTTCTTGCCATACACGAGGATCTGCGTTCAACGCAGCGCGTCATAGGCTTAGGGGGCCAGATCGGATACGCCATACAAGTCTACCACCCTCCATTCCCATGGTAAAATGCTTCCTTGATCCATTCGTAGCGACGATTGGACTTTCTGGGAAAGCATTGACCATGAGATGGGGGGTGAAAGGGAAGGATGGGATATGCCGCGGCCGGGAGCAGGGAAAGTGCTTATGGTGGCATGAAAGACAGATAACGGCGTACCCGAAGCCCAACAACCTGGGATGTACTAGCTGCATGAGGAGGCACCTTGGGCCGAGTGCCGTCATCTGTTGGCAGCGGTGCTGGGCCTTCAAATATAAAGGACGATGAGCAGAATCTGCGTCCTTCGCACCTCGTCTTTCGTTGTCCTGGTTCCAGTGTCTCTTATACCACAGCCTTAGCTTCTATCGCATGCAGATCGAGGGTGTCACTCACTGCAGACCAGCCAATCTCGTCGTGCACCATCCGCCCGGGTCGACGCAGATCCCACAGCGTAGAGACCCCTACACTTCTGATCCACCCATGCGATATCCTCTTCCATGTCCTTGCTTCATTTCCTTGGAACACCGCAGTCAGCATCTTGCCCCATTGCGAAGGTTGAAAGAGAAGTCTCACAGCTCACCCTGTCGATCCTGCTATCAGTTGTCTAGAGCCTGAAGCCGTGTCCACGTCGACGGTCGGTGACCTCAAATCGACTCTTATAGGTATGCTTGTCGTTCCGTGGTCTTCGAGGGGTCAGCTTGCTCATGATTCAGCAGGAGACAAGGCCGTCTTACGTGGATGTGATTGTTCGTCATTCCCAGCTCGTTGGAGGGCCCCTTGACGCCAATCAGCTGCGTGTTTTGCAGGAGGTAGGGTAGAGCTGCAATGGCCTAGACGAAGAAGAATATCGGCGAAGGATCGAGTCGCCATCGTGGATGGTATGCAGGAGACCTGTTGACGCCAAAGTTCGGGGCCGCGTCAGCAAAACGGTGTAGGTGTCCCCACGTTTGTGATAAAATTTACCTTCAAAGCGGAGACCGGCCAAAATACTCACAACATTGACAGCCATCATAACCTACACACCCCGTCTGCTATACGTCGTTGATGAGGTCATCAAAGACAACTTCGTTCTATGGCGGCTGTGGGGGCCATTCATTCTGCGAAGAATGTCCCTAGCTCTGGAGCTAGTCTCGAACAAAAGGAGGTGAGCTTGGGCATGGGGCGCTGCGCTATCCTTTGTTCACCCTTTCCTTTTATCCTTTTTCCAGACCGCCTGAGGATTTTTTTTGGGGGCCATGAGTATACGACAATTCTAATTCTTTCCTTATTCTCCAAAAATGATACGAGGCCTAGATTTTTGGATCTCCGGCGCCTACACGGATATCTACGCGGTGCCCTGCTCAGATCTGTCGTGAACATGGACCACCCAAGCTATCCTTTGTTGCATCTGAGCACCCTGCACATCATATTTTTGGGACGAGTCACCCGGCACGTAAAAAAAATTGCGACTGACGGCCGTTCTAGGCAGATGCATCTCGCGATGGAAACAGCCCCAATCCTCGAGCTCCGTCCAATGGACAATCCTGTATCCTTTTCGAGATGCCTAACATGCGGGTCTTATGCAGGCCTCGTTACTTTGAAAAGTCTTGTCCCGCGACCAGACCACAGCCAGACGACCAGTCTCCAACTGGGCGTCACTCGAACCTCCGTACGGCGACCCGTGGCTAGAACCAGTGTCCTTTCCTCGATAATCCCACCCTCCTGAGTGGTGGACGAGCGGGCGGAAACCTTTCTGTGATTTGTCGTTCCGACTTGCGTCGTTTCCCCGAGGTCTTGGCGACTGGGGTTATGGGCTTTCTGCGGCGCGCCTCACGCGCGAGTGTCAAGTGTGGAGCATCAGACAGGACTCGACCGGCACCGTGTACGGATGCCCCCTTCGTCGAAGATCATTGGTATCCTGTCTTCCTTTGTCTTACGGCAAGTGCTGAATGAATAATGAATGACCGCCTGTAGAGTTGTGTCAACTGGTGACAGGCCTACGATTGGTCCTTAGCAGCCAAACGCAGACGCCATGGATTCCAAGGATGAGCTGCTGGAGACAGCGCGGGATCTAGCCGCAGATCAACGCTTAAAGCGGCAATCCGTGATACGCCACATTCAGCCTGGGCCCTCGTCTTCCTTCTATGCTGCGCCTTCCTAGAAACTCGACGTTTCCCTCCTGCTACATGTCGTCCTTTTGTCGAGCTTTCCTCGGGTTTCTGGTCCTCGAGGCTTGCTTATCTGTGGCATCTTTTGACATTGTGCGTGCCTCGGATGCTCTGGTCGAGAAAGTGGAAGGCTGACTGCCTTTTCGCTTTTCGTTCGGGCAGGACCTACTTCCACTGGGCAGCCCGCCACATGAATCATGATCAGAAGAACCTTCCCTTTCAAGTATTCAGAAAGACATCTGAATTGTCGGTTTTCTCGGGCTGTTGCAGCTCGCAAGCGGCAGGTGGAAGAGCTGTCCATGGCTCGGACAATGGCCTTCCGGAGGGTAGTCTTTGGCGAAGCGCGTTCTCTCGAGGACGATCTCTCGTTTTAGGCAAGTGGTAAGCTTTTAGATGTGGTCGAGATGGGTTAAACGGGTTTATCAGCAGCGAATCTGAGCAGTCGGGCGTTGTGATGCCATCAAGACTCTGGTTGTTGCCGATGCTGCGATCGTCTGTAGAGTCGTCAAGGTGGTCGGACCGATCCCTTCGTTCCATACTACGTGCTTCCTGCAGTCTTTTACTTCCCAACGTCTTCCCAAGGTCGTTATGGGTGCAATCGTAACCTCGCGAAGATTCCTTCAAGATAAGCGGCGACCTTTCATTAGGCCGATAAAGATGTCTTGTTGACATATATATCGGTGGTCTTGATCAGACTCATCAGAGTGAGAAATATTGGGAGCGCCGCTCTGCTTGGCACACGTAAGTAACAGTTGGCGAATGGAACGGTGAACCCGATTGCATTGGATACACGGCTTAGGAGGAATCGTTTTCGCATATTTCCTTCCTTAGGTTAACAACGACGGTGTTCCCTTATTTTACAGGGGCGATGGTGACCCAGAAAGCTACCAGTTACATTTGATTGGCAAGGAAATAGCGTCCTTTGAATGCCCATTGGTTGTAAGAAATTCGCGGCATCATCGATCGAAATTTCAGCCTGTCCGAGTCGGTTTTGCCAACTGTCGGTGATGTTCTGATAGCAGACACGTCCATTCTTTGCATCTGATGTTTTTCAAGAGTAACATCCTGCTTACAGAGAGCGGCCATATTTTAAAACTTAGGAATTGACAAACTGCCGCGAGTGATATCTGTGCAAATTTGCTGTCCTTCCTACCCTTTATCTGATGGTGGTAATCTTCCTAAACCACCAACCAACGAGCTGAACGAGCATTTTCACTACGCTTTTATCTCTTCCCAGCAACCCAGAAATATGAAACATTCAAGCAGCCGAGTTCCACCCAGCAGAAAAGACAGAGGGATAATCATCAGCAATTAGAAACTTTGACTGAAAACTTGTAGAACGTCAGGCATATGTGGAACAATTTAAAGGCTATGATATCCCTTGCGGCTATTACTAGTTCTGGGTGTCCTCCTATGTCTCCTTGACTGCCCTAGGGTATCCTTACTTCGTCCGTCATTTCACACGTTATTCCAAGTACTCCCTTACTGTCGTGACTTTCTTCCGTGCATTGTGCGGAATTGAAAGTCCTCTGGTTCGGAACTTAGAAGTCAGAAATGTGTTTAACGAGAAATTATGTGGTCAGTGCCTAGATCCATCCGGATGACCCTAAATTTCAGGCTTTGGAATACGAATTTCTGAGGTCTTGGTGGAGGGTGGGGCCAAGGAAATAGGCATAGCAGCTGATGTGCAGTTGAGCAACCTTTCCCTAGCAAGAGGACTGGTTTTTTAGATATAGACCCTTGCTTAAAAATCGAACTCACGGTCAAAAATACTTTAATGATAGCAATGAGTAAAATCAGATCATATCCGAGAGCGTGGCATGAGAGAAAAGGTACGTACTACAACGCCGCGGCGCTGACTTCCTCTTTTCAAGTTGGAGTTATTTTTAGCACTGGTCATGTGATGGGGTGAGAGTCCGAGTTTGCCGGGACGGTCACTGCCGCTTGCATCTGAACGAAGACAGTCGCCAGCTTTTTTTACGCCCTGCTATAACCATTGCGGCGTTCTCATGAGCCACACTCCAGTCAGCAACCCGGATCCAGGTCATCCGGCAGGGCCAGCTATCGCCTCTTCGTCTGCATCCACCACCTCCATCATGGGCATCGACACTGTCGCCCATCCTACACAGGCTCTAGAGGACATTGAGGAGAGAACGGCACTGCTGGACGAGGAGAGGGGTCACAATTATGGTACAGCGACGCCTCCAATACATGGTAAGTGTTCAGCAAAGACCGCGAGCAGACGACGAGCAGGTTGCTCGAGAACCTGAGCACCCTCCTGAGCACCATGGATGCCTTTCTTACTTTCGCTTTACAGATCCAAAAGATCTTCATGCCGAATCGACGTTGGCCAAACGAATAAAGTATTACATTCCCTCGACTGGGTGGATTCCCAACTACTCGTTGTCTCTGTAAGTCTACAACGAAGGGTGTTTCCCAGTTCGGATCATGGGACTTACCCGCTTTGCTCCCCAAGATTCGGTGGAGACTTCCTCGCTGGCATCACCGTCGCCTCCATGCTCATACCACAATCTATCAGTTATGCGTCGACACTAGCTAAGCTCAGTCCAGTGACCGGTTTGGTGCGTCGAACCCCTGCCTCATTTCGTGGAGCTCGGAAGTCATCCTTATAGCACTTCATATCTACAGTTCTCGGCCTCGATTCCTGGTATGGTGTATGCATTGCTTGGAAGCTCAAGACAACTTAACGTGGCACCCGAGGCTGCTCTGAGCCTCTTGCTTGGGCAGGCCATTTCGGAGATCCGTCACGAGTACCCTGACCCCCACCACGGAGAAAAGACTGATGTTTTGGGCCTGAGTGTGGCGACTGTTATCTCGCTACAGGCGAGTTTAAGATTACTCTATAAATATATGCGCCTCTAACTTTGGTCTGTAGGTCGGCCTCATATCTTTCCTACTTGGATTCTTCCGCTTGGGATTTATTGATGTCGTCCTGAGTCGGGCTCTACTGCGAGGTTTCGTTACCGCAGTTGCCGTGATAATCATGATGTAAGCCCCTTGTTGCTCTCTTTTTTCATTCATACCTCATTCATCTGTCGTAGAGAGCAATTTATCCCTATGCTCGGTCTGAACGAATTGCGACATTTAGTCGATCCACAAACTACTCTTGACAAGTTCCTGTTCCTCATCAAGTACTCTATAGAGTTCACACAGCCTACAACCTTAATCAGTTTCTCTGCCCTCTTTGCATTAGTAGCGCTCAGGTGGTCCAAAAACAAGTTTCCTAATCGGTGGTACATTTACCGCATCCCCGAGGTGCTCGTTGTCGTCGTGGTCTCGACGTGTATGTCTTTCCACCCGTCTACGATGCTCTCATCCTATTCTAACACGTGAAACAGTTCTCTCTGCTCAGTTCGACTGGGATGAAGCTGGCGTCGACATTCTCGGAGCCGTCGATGCACACACTGGCGAATCACTGTTCGAATTCCCTCTGAAGCGCTCCAACCTCAAGTTCGTGCATCGAACGACCTCGATTTCGATGTGAGTATTTGATCCTCCCTCTTATTCCTAATGCAATCATGTATCATACTTGCTCTCGTAGAATCATCGCCGTCGTCGGTTTTTTGGACAGCATCGTTGCGGCGAAGCAGAATGCTGCGCGATTCGGCTACTCCATCAGTCCAAATCGTGAGCTGGTTGCCCTCGGAGCTGCGAACATGGCTGCGTCCTTGATCCCAGGGACCCTTCCTGCTTTTGGTTCCATTACGAGGTTGGTTATTCTTCTTTTTAATCTGCTTACGGTTTGTCACTGATTATGCAATTGGTTCTTTACAGGTCGAGGATCAACGGAGATGTTGGCGGGCGCACGCAAATGGCGTCATTGGTGTGCTCAGGTGTCGTGCTAGGTTCAATTTTCTTCTTCCTTCCCTGGATGTATTACCTGCCGAAATGCGTCCTTGCGGCCATGTGAGTCCTGCGCTATCTCATACAACGTCATTACGCTGATGCCCACATCAACATGGGTGTTAGTATTGGCCTTGTCGTCTTCTCTTTGCTCGCCGAAACGCCTCATGACGTGTTGTACTACTGGAGGTTTGTGTCTTCATTTTCCTCTTGTCATGCCTACGCTGATGATTTTGTTCTTTTCTTTGGATTACAGGATGGGTGCATGGGTCGACCTCTCGATTATGTCGCTGACGTTCTTCCTCTCGATCATCTGGAACATCGAGGTTGGCGTGGTTGTCAGTTTGATCGTGTCACTGCTGTTGGTGGTGCATCGCTCTTCGAAGACAAGGATGACGATTCTGGTTCGTATGGTCTTGTTTCTGGTTCAGTAGTGGATTCATTTGTGTCGTTCGTTAGGGTCGCATTCCTGGTACGGACAGATGGAAACCTCTCAAGGAGAACCCTGAGGCTGAGGAGAGCGTCTCCGGTGCCTTGATCGTTCGTATTCGAGAGAACTTGGACTTCGCTAACACTGCTCAGTTGAAGGGTGTGTTCTTGTCCTCCGGCGTTCTCGTCCTGTACTTTATTAACTCATAACCGAACGCAGAACGTCTACGAAGGCTGGAGCTGTACGGGCCCCACAAGACTCATCCTTCTGAGGCGCCGAGACGACAGCAAGCGTCAATCTTAGTCTTCCATTTGTCCGATGTTGATTCTTGTGATGCCTCGTAAGTTCCGGATTCACCTTTCCTCTAGCAGCCTGGAGCCTAACATTGTTTCATACAGCGCTGCGCAAATCTTCTACGAACTTCTGGAGGAGTACAAGGTCTGTTGTCTTCCCTTCCCACACATCATTTCTGATGGCCAATTGTGTTGTCCCTCTAGAGCCGTGGCGTTGGTTTGTACATCACCCATATTCGGCCTCGCGTGCAGCGGACTTTCGACAAGGCTGGTATTGTGGAGCTCCTTGGGACAAATGCTTTCCGGGAAACTGTGGCTGATGCTATGTCGATCATCGAGGGACCTCGAGTGCGCGAGTACCATGCGGGGCATTGATATTATAACGGTCTCTTTGGATGTTGGATCTTATGGACGTGGAGTGGATGGGTGGATGATAATGATCTGGATATTTCTGAAGTTGGTTGTAGGCGGTTGGTGGTTGGAAAAGGTCGGATTTTAATCGATTTGCAAGGCTTCTAGATATGACACTATGCCGTTTCGTTTAGCATTTAGCACACTTGCATCTTCCATAGATAATCTTTGGTAAAGTACCCTAGTTCATGTCCATACGTGTCTGATATGTCTTTAGCCTTATGATAAGAGGCTCGGTTTCTGTCTCTCCCACTGAGACATCGCCGTCGAAGGCACTGCATTCCATCCTGTTACCTTAACTGCCAATGGACCGACGAACTTCGGTGTGCACATGGCACGCGACCAAAAATGGAGACAATTTCCATAAATAGAACACAGGATTTGCTTCCGTCCACGACTCTGACTCATCACAACATCTCCGTGCGCCATCACAAAAATAACATTTCCGACACCGCATACCACTTCTCACAAACCGCTTTGTGAAGAACGCCCGCTGGTCCTATACAGGCGGCGACTCCGTCGTTGCGTCTCTTGTTCTTCGGAGGTGCTAAGAGCCTTCCGTGGGCTTCTTAGTCATGGAAGCCCGCTCTGGGGATGATCGCCTTCCTCTGGGTGGAGTTCCGAGTCTGTGTTAGGCGCTAGGTGTCCTCTCAACCCCGTCCTGTCCGCAAACAGCAACCGCACTCGAAAATGCAGCTCTTCGCCCATGTCTTATAGACGATAACAAAAGGCAGCTCCCGTTCTCCTTCCAGCTTCTGTTGATATCTTCCTTCCTCTGACAGAGACTTTCAAGATGCGACGAAGTTCCTTCTGCCTCTGGGCTGCCCTTACGCTTACTGCCATTGGGATCGCTGCTACCCCTCTGCCCGCTAAGCAGTGCCCTACGGGTGTCTGCTCGGCGCTGACCTTCTTCCCGCGAAAGACTCGCACAACACGGACGGAGGTTGCGCCGATTGGGCCTTTGAATACGAACGCTCAGAGGCTCGCTCGTGGACTTGCTCCGAAGCCGCCTGTTCGTCGGTCACCCACAAGTACGCCCTTTTGTTCTTCAGTCCTGTTCTCGGATTAACGTCTTGTGCCAGGCACAATCAGTAAACGCCAACAGCCGTCGCAAGTTCCGAGCCCCTTCACGTCCTATCGGGGTATTATCTCTCTGCGGAGTGAAGGAAGCGACACGCCCTACTACATCGACAAGACGTCGTACCACTCCGGCCACATTTTCGTAAACACGTCTATTAGCGAGGCCCTTGTGGTCTCCTTCACGTCCCCGAGTAGCGAACTCAGCGCGAGAACCTCAAGATCATTCTTAGTGGGCGCTCAGCTCTTGATGGAGGTACACTTATTCCGCCTAGAATTTTGGGCGATGATCCTTACCATGCACCTTGTGTAGAACTGGAGTTACGGAGGAGAATTTCCGCTCCTCGGATTGGTCCAAGGCGGAAATAACACAGACTCCGACATTGGATCTGGCTCGCCCGAGTACGCATTTCCTCTGTCCGGAAGTTATAGCGAGGCCTGTAACAGTTGGCGTCTTTTCAGGTACTTGACGCTCGGAGGAATTGCCTCACCGGGAAGTAAGTTGGTCCTGTGAAACGCCCACTGAGTCCGGGCGGCCATTTGCTGACGAGATATTCACAGCGCCGAAGGACAGCATTCCCGTATACGCGAATAATTCGTACACGTTCGTCACTGGGCAGAATCGGACATCAGAGTCTGCGGTAGTACGTATCAGGCCCGTGATGCTTAGAGAAGAGGCGTGCGATTGACCATGTCCTAGTGGAATGCCGACCTCAATACGGGCCTGTTGACGCCTCAATGGACCAATACCAGTAGAAGTAAGTCCCTACTTGACCAGTCGCGATATCTGTTTATTCTTTCTGATTAAAACATCACCAGCCCAACCGACGACATACTTGTTTACTCGAGATAGCATTTTGTATGCCGGTGGAGACCTTGAAGCGTTTACTGCCAATTTGACTTTTGGCATCGAGGCTGAAGGATCTCAAGAGAAGGTCGTCCCCTTGGTAAGTCTCTCTTACCAGGTCAAAGGATTGTTTCTGATTGATTCCTCAGCTCGCCTACTTTGTTCCCATCTAAAGGTTTTATCTAGTCTTGTAACACCACCCTCTCATGGACTACGGACCTTTTTTATACGGACCCACACAATCCTCACTTATCACGGACCTTCTCATAGGCTAAACGTGTATTTATAGCCAAGTGACTGTAACGTAAAGTGAATCTTGGCCGGGTCTTCCAGAAATCGAGAACGAAAAGGCAATCCAGCTGTCGAGGATACATTAATTAATAAATACGGTTGCATGTCCATGGTCCACTTTATAGTACAAATGAATCTAATGCACGACAGCAGGAAAGCACTTTCTCTTGAGAGCGGAAAACGATGGCGAGCGACCCCAGCAGGTTATGAAGGGTTAGGGTGAGAAGGATTGGACACCCTGGAGTCAGAGACGGTATAATTCGATGGCGCGGGTGTTAGAAATGATGATGGCTGGCCCCTAGAGGTGTTGGAATTGTCGGATATCAATGGAGGATTTGAACCGAGAACAGACGAGTTGACTGCAGACGGTGCTGTAATCACGGTGTATGATGGCGCTTCAGTAGTCGTAAAATGGGTCCTCGTCGTGACCTTTCTCGTGTTTGCAGGCGGGTCATTAGTCTCGTCGGAGGAGTCTTCATCTGTATTCGGCCTGAACCTCTTGTAAATCAACATGACGACTACCAGCAAATTGCAAGCGAGGAGAGAGATGGCCGCCTGGTATGCAGTCAGGACATCCCACTAAAACCGAACAAAATAGCACTCACCTGCATATGTCCTAACATGGCAAAAATGAGCTTTGAGTCTTCCCCAAACCGGAAGCCAAGATACCATAAAGTGCAGTAAAGTATCGTGACGAGAAGTGTCAGGATGCTCGCGGAAAACAGGATCAGAATTAAGATGCGCTCTCTCCTTGGGAAATCAATATGCCAAAGCATGAGGAGAGGCGCAGCAACCAGCGCCACATCGACTACGACGTCGCCTAGAAGAGAGCAAGAGATGGAGGCACCGGCCATCAATGGGTATACTGGGGAAATGAAGCAACAGGACACGTACAAACGACGCTGATAACAGTCCCTAAGTCATGGGTGCCAAGCGAGGTCGTGATGCATTTTGAGTAGTCAAGCTGCCACCATGGAGATCCTGGACAGGTGAAGGTCGTGACAAGGACGATGCCTGTGTAGAGGAAGGCGAGTAGGATGGCGAATCGTATTGTCCACGCCCGGTATCGTTCACCCGGTAGGAAAATCCGTGCGAGGGATAGGGCAAGGCTGGTGCGAGATATCCTGGAAAATAAACTGTTGAGTAGGAGGACGAGAAGGTAGCAATTTAAGGACACACCAGACGACGGTGAAATACAGGAAAGAGAGAAACCAGGTGGAGAGAATAAACACCTGGTCTTGGGGCAGGAACCATGTAATTTCTACGAGAAAAATCAGGGCATAAACAGGCAGAAGAGGATATAGCCGGGTCTCAGAGACACACTCTCGTTTCTGTATTTCACCCAGAGCAATATGAAGTATGCAAGGTCGACGATGAGTGCGATAGTGACCACATGGTCATCCCACCAGAGCCTCGCTTTCCGCCAGCGGTCCCACAAGCGGACAGCCGTCGAGCTTATGGCCAGTAGGTGAAGCAGCGTAATGCAGACTGGGATAAGTAGATTCAGCGTAGGCCAAAGGAGTAGACGGCTGGAATACATACTTTTCCAGACTAGGTGGTTCTGAGGCGCAAAATTGGCGCCCATACTCGAGCGCTTTGACCTGTCGTTGGCGGTAACCCTTCTATGGAGGAGTAGATAAAGGGGGAAAAAGTAGAAGACATGCCAGCCCGCTCGCGGCCTCGCTTATAGTGGAAAGAAACAACCAGGCGTGACTTGCAAGTTACCCCGATTTCAGGGACGCCACAGTCGGTTCCGCGGTTCCGAGCCTTGAGATCTAAGGCAAGATACCTCTGCGCATTCTGAGACCACCTCCGCAAGTGTATACTCTCCAGTATTTTAAATTTTCGAAGAAACAGACGAATTGGATGACTTTCCTTAACGTTTAGAGCCCATTCTAAATGCTAAATCTCGTTTCAAATGGTGAGGCCGATGCATGCCGTTGTCACCTGTCAGGACCCCGGAAAACATTCCGCTCTCCGCTCTCTTCAAAGGCCGTTTCAAACGAAAAATCTAGGAGGAGGGTAAGTACCCCCTTCCCAGTTCTAAAGCCTCATTCTAGGTGTAAAAGCTCTCGTTTAGGTATGTTCCTGACCACGGCAGCCTTCGGCATTCCTCGTTCGTGCCTCATTGCCCTTTCAATATTCCCTACGATTCCAAACCCCAACGTCTATAAACTCTCATCTTCCATTTTAATCCCCGACGCTGGCACCCCGTCATTTGCTTTAGAGCCTCAAATCCGTTAAGGAAAGTCATCCATTGTAAGTTCAATGACCGACCGCATCTTTCCTAAATTTCCCTGTTTTTCTTTTGCAACAAGCCCAAGAAGGCTTTAACTGAGTTCCATGATTTGCACCTGCTGGGAAAAATTAACTGTGGGTATTCCAGAGTTACTCTATGCTCGCGGGTTGGGGGGATAAGTATTGCGGGGAAAGTAGACCAAAAAAAGCAGCGTGAGGACGGAATGAGTGAATTTTCAGTTGTTCTCACCAGGAATTGGCGACCCTGACGGAAGATAAAGAGTCTAGACTCCAGAAATAAATTGGTGGATTGACGATCGAGGAGTGGCGTCTATGGCACCCGTCAACGTGAAGCACTCTAGAGTTGATCTAAGAGGAGCTTGTCAGGGAGAGATCAGAGAACATGAGGAACGGCGACTACGAGGCCTGTAATGATTTAGAATAAGGACAGCTTATTATTATAGTCGGACTAATTTATGAGGAACCTCCTCGAACCAACGGACGATATTCAATTGATTCGGGCTTTCAAGAAGTGCACCTTGAACAATTTTCTTGGTGCAAATCAATCATGATGGGCTTACTAAAGGCCCCGAACACGAGCGCCAAAACGACAAAAAGGGATCGAGTCGCCCCGTTCTGTGCTCCAGTACGGTTAATGTTACGCCAGTCACCCAGATACTCCACTGTATTTGAGTATGCGGTCTAACTTAGCTTGTAATTGCCATGGAAGCAAGAAATAGCGATCTGCCCTGAACTGCACAGTGCCTTAAGTAGATCGCAGAGCGCTTGAGCACCCACCGAAGCCAAACTCATTCATATCTCGGGAAATTGTCTTGAAATATTGCTATCCAACAATATACAATATGCGCAACACAAAAGCACAATACTACGACTATACTACCAAGCTGACTATGGTCCAAGTGGGACGGGTTCAAATGAGACTAGGGCTACTACTACTACGACTAAGTAAGAGGGTATTTTTATCCCGCAAGTATACGGACGGTAGGTGGGGTATACTATGCAAGCGAGCGGTGGGTATCCATATCGACATCCTTGCAGATAGAGGTCGAGGACGCAGCCGAACGGGAGGTGTCGCGGTTTCGCAAGAAATGTCCAGGCGGTAGCTGAGTCTGAGGATTGCGGATGCGGAGACTGACAGAATGGATTGATGAGTACTGAGCATTGAGTATTGCGGCGGTGCGTTAGAGTACATATGGTATGTGAGAGAGATTTTGCAGATGCAGTCCAGTACGGTGGATGGAGGCACGGATTATCCGCCTTTCGGGTGAGGGTGAGTAAAAGTGTCGAGAGGCAGAGAGGGGGAGAGAGATGGACGTAAGGAACGAAATGAACATGAACATGCAGGGAGAAGAGAGCGGACGGCGGTCAAGCAACGAAATGTCCACCAAAAAAGAGAGCAGTCGCGGAGGATCACTTTTCATAACGAATTCGAAGAGAGAAAGCAAACTAGTTTAAGAAAAAACAACTCTCAAGTATAAAATTCGTTACGAAACGGGAAGACTAGAGGGCAATAAAGAGAGGATGAAAGGGCAAGCATATATATGGTACCTCGAAAAATGCAAACGAGAATCGAGCGAGGAGAACGGAGAGGATAATAAAGATGCCACAACCAATAGCCCAAAGACCCAACCTTGAAAGACGGAACAACAAAACACTGTACCAAATGACCCAAACATCGATTGGCGAAGTGATTGCGTGGGATCCCGGTGCCATACGTATCTCCCATCCACTTGTGGATGGAGAGGAGGGCGGCGTTTTGAGGTGGTTCGATATATCGCGGAGAGGATAGATGAGGTGAGTGACAAGTCCGAGTCCGAGACGAAGCAACGAGCGACATGGGAGCAGACGGGCAGACGGGCAGGCAGGAGATAGGAGGCAAGACAGAGAGGATGATGGGCAGCATAGGAACACGAGGTCGGATATAGAGTATGAGCAAATAATAAGACGAGGAGCAGGGTTCGGATAAGGGAGGAGGTTGGGAATCCGGTGGACAAGGGGGTATCCAAAGGCGTCTTGTCGCACCCACGAAGGAGCAATCGTGAGCATCCTCAATGGCCTCAAGCAGTCACACCATTGGCATGATGCTCAAGCCCATCGACGTGCATCGCCTGCACTTCGCCCGCGTCCTCTCCGTTCAACAGCGCCGGGTCGAGTTCATCGCCAGCGCCATCACCCACAACACCCGCAGCCTCTACAGAGGGTCCATTGGCCCCGCTCACATTGCGCTTGCCACCCGAGCCGCCTTGAGGGCCAGAGCGCGGTGGGTTCGCACACCTGTCCTTGCCATGTGCGATGCGGAGGTTCGCGTACTCCGGTTTGTTCTTGATGCCCTCAATAGCCTTGATGGCGTTCGAAATGTTGGTGAAATTGACGAACGCGCAGTTCCTAGAAAAAGGTAAATATATGCGCGATCAGAATGAGAAATTGAGGGCGACGATGAGAACACGTACTTCTCTTTGAGGAAGTTGACCAGCTCGATGTCGCCATACTCGCCGAAATCACGCTTGAGCCTCTCCTCCGTGAAAGTCTCATAGTCCTCCACGTTGCCGATGTACACATTCCGGGTTGCCCCAGAATGTACCGCAAGAGCAAGAGCGGGAGGCAGCGGCCCCGAGTTCTTGCCCCAGCCGATCTTCAGGCGGCGGTTGTTCAAGGTCAGACCTTGGTACGAAGCTACCTGGAAGAACGTGAAGGCGGCGGCCGGGTCCACAAACGTAACGAACTGGAAAAAAATTAATCAGAAAATGTCATCAGTGTGATCCCATCCCGCGCTGAACACCCACAAAAAATTGAAAATGATACTCACGGCAATATGCTTATCCTGCATGTATCTAATGCTCTGCAGGACACCTCCACGAATAGCGTTGCACAGATCCTCAGTGGTTGTCTCGGGGTGGATGTTGCCGAGGTACACCGTCCGGTTCATGGCCTGGACGCCACCCATACCGTTGGCAAGGTTATTAGCAGTCATCATGTCGACGGGGGTGAAGGGTGCAGCTCCATACGGGTTGAAGGCTGCCGAGAAGTTGGCTTGCTGTGGTGACATGGCTTGCTGGGCGACGAGGCTCTGGGCAGCGGCTGCCTGAGCCTGCTGAGCGGCGACTTGCTGGGACTTTGGAACGTAGGCGCAACGATCCTTGCCATAATTAACTCGCTTTCCGGCCCACGAAGGCTCCGTGGGCAGTGTGTTAACGACCTGCGAGAAAAGGAGCATTAATAGGCGAAAGCTTAACCAGTCGGTGCAGAGACGCACCTTGGTAGCAATAGAGATGCTTAAGAAGTGAACAAACCCAATATTCTTATCCCTCACGATCTTGACCTGGTCGATCAAGCCGAAACGGCTAAGCTCGTCACGGAGCCCTTCCTCCGTCATGTTCTCATCTAATCCACCGAGGTAGACGTTCCTGCTCGCGTTGCTCTGACTGATAGCCAGCGCGACCTGAGCGGGGACAGGGGACGGCTTTCCCCAACCAATCTTCAACTCCTGACCGTGTAACGACAGTTTCTTGATAGTGGCATCGGCATGGAATGCCGCGGCGGTGGCACCGTCCAAAAAGGAGAGGAATACACATGACTTCTCGGGGAGAACGCGGATAGACTCGAGGGGCCCGAAGTGAACGAGGTTAAGTAATTCGTCGACGGAGGCGGTCGCTGGCAGATTTCCGACGTAAACTGTGCGTCCAGTGGCATTGTTTGAGGCGTTCATGGCGGCGGTTAGTGCCACAGGGGAGTATGCGGCAGCGGCAGCAGCTTGGGCGTTAGGGATGGCGAGGTTCAAGGAAGGCATTCTTTGCTGTCAAAAGGTTGAGCATGTGAGCCGAGAGTGCAAAGTAAGGAAGGTATTCACCTGGCCGAAGTTCCCCATCTGACCGTTGTAGGGGAATCCTTGGAGCATATTCATTGCCGGCATGCCCATCCCAAGCATGTTGTAAGCGTTGAAGGGGTTATAGTTGCCGTTGGGGCTGCCTTGGGGGCCCTGCTGTTGCTGCTGTTGCTGCTGCTGCTGCTGCTGCTGTTGGAGAGCGAATGCGGCAGCAGTGTTAGGACTGAGCTGGGCACCGATGACGCTTCCATTAGCCTGTGTGTTGACGGTAAGGGAAGGAGTCGAGTAGAGGGGACTGCCAGCGAATTGCCCGCCGTTGGCCTGGGAGTTGGCGAACGCGGGTTGGGCGATGCTGGCTTGAGGCCCGTAGCCATAGTTGGCGAACGCATCGCGAGCAGAGTTGTTTGAGACACCAGAGCCGTTGTTCTGGCCCGAGAAGGCTGATGTAGGAGACCAACGTGCCTTTTTGGCCTCGGGACCACCAATGGGTTCCATAGAGCGCTGGCAGGCGTGTCAGCAACGATGAGGATAATCTAGAGAATGGCACACACCTTCATCATTTCCAGGTCAAAGGGATAAGTGGCGTATTGGGCAGCGAAGGCGGTCTGTGCGTCGTCCATGATAGCGATATAGGATGGGGGTAGCGGGGTAAATGGATGGGATATGTATGGCAACGGCGGAATTATAGTGAAGAAAAGGATGTTAGAGAACGGTAGATACTAAGAGTAGGGAGCGTGTGTGCTGGAATACCAGCGAAACGAGTGTAGTGGTTGGGGTGAAATAAAAAGACACGCACGCAAAAGAGAAAAAAGTTCAATAAGGAGGGAATTGAACAAGTCTCTGCGCAATTAAAGGGGCGCGGTGCGTGGAGGTCAACGACGAAGACCGACGAAGACGGCGGGGAGAAGGGGAAGAACGACGACGACGCTACGACAACAACGACGGAGGCGACGACAACGAACGAAAAACGAACAATACCGTTCCATTTCTATCAACTGTCCCACACGGCCCTTGATGCGCACGGACCACTACTACCTCCGCATCATTCCTCCAAAGCCAAGCCGCGTGGCTCTTAAATTTTACCCATAAATCCTTGCTTACAACTCTCCAAGACCTCCAAATTTTCTAGTATTTTTGCTCCCTGAAATTCATCTTACCGCCGACCAAAGGTGTTCAGACCGAGCCAGAAAACTAACGGTCATATCCTGGCTTGTATCCACACAACTCCTTCTGCACCCAGAAACTCTTCTGTACGCCCCAAAGCTTCTCTGATTTTTCTGATGCAATAAACCCGCCGCTTCCGAATTCAAATGCCCGCCTCTTCTATCTGACGGCTTCCCAAAATCTTCGCCAACCCGCCTTGTCGTTTCTATTCGAAGGTCTATCCCCAAGGGACTTGCCCGACGCCGACCGACCGCTGGCTGAACTTTGTTCATCACCAGACCTCCAGATGAACGCGACCTAGACATGTTCACCCTAAAGGAAAAGATTGAGCTTATTTACATAATTCAATTACGACAACTTCCTCAACCTGAAGAAACAAGAAGTCATTGCGATTACGATACCTCGATAAGCTACAAAAGAGGGCTGTTCCACCTTCCAATAACCACAAATTTCGCCATGATTTTTGGCCTAGGACTGTCAAAAAACAGCGGTTCTGGTGCGAGACGCTCTTGCCCTCAATTCCGAACTTCTCGGAATCCCATGCCTCAAGTACATACGTACTGCTGCTTTAGCGAGCCGCGCTTGTGGTGCTGTCTCTAAGATCGAATTCGCTGCGGCGCTGCCATGGCAATGTCTCTAACGGGAAATTGAGGCGATACGTCATTTCGGACTCCACCTCGGCTGGAAGCCTTCGCGAAAGCAAGAATACGTACCAATCATATCTGGCCAGCCGCTTTTAGTCTCAGGAAAGTTCCCCTCCCCTCGCTGTCTGCTGCTCCCGTTGAGTTGCTTGCAGCAGTAATGCTGATACCGCACCGACAGGATCACATCTTGCATATTTTAGAGTATGAAGCAGGCTACAGCTTTGCAAGCTTCACAACCCACGCATTTCATTGTCATAGCTTGCACTCGATATCGCTGAACATGAGAGCGTTGCGAGCCTCCATGACTTTCTCGAGGCGATTGCTAGGCTTCGCCTAGAGGTTCTGACTCCAGAGGTGCCTTCGGACGGAAACCATCACACCTAGCAGCCGGCCGGTATAATCGCCTCGCAAGCTTCGATGTGAAAACCTGGTGCAAATCACGAAGGGTCGCTCAAATGTCCATACGGATTTCCTGGGTTGGCGATCTCCGGATCTGCGAGGCCAATAATCCATAATTCGTCAGAGGAAGCTGCATCTACACTCTCGCCTCCACTCACTCACCCGGGTCGAGCAAAGAGCCGCGGTAACGGTTCAAACGTTCATGTTGAGCTCCGCCTTCGGCGCCTGCCGAGATGGTCACAACCTCGACACGAGGGTGCCCATTTCCCACTTTTACGTTCCCCCCCGCTCTGTACGCTCGTCATGATTATCACCATTGCATTGCCTGCACCGTCGCTACTCCTGACCAACAAGCGGCCTTCTGTCGAAGAGCAAATAGTATGCCATCCAAGGAACAGATCGAAATCAAAGCTCCAGAAAGAGAAGTATTGACGGGATGGTGACGAATCGCACAGCACAACCTCCAATCTCATCGAAGCCCTAAAAAAACCAGGACCAGAAAGTACATCGATTAGCTCTAAATCTCTACCTCAATCTTCCTCGGCCCCAACTCATCTCCCAACCTCAACGTCCTCCCATCTTCCGATATCTTCCACCGTCTCCACTTCGCACTTTGCTCCACAAGCGGAGTCCACTTCCTCACAAGTTCTCCTGCCCGAGCGCGAAAGTGTAATCCGGGATCCCCGTGAGGATGCTCTTCAAACAGGTCCCGGACCGCAGACATGATTCTATGCAGCCGGGTCATCTGTACGACAAATTTAAGAGATCAGCTAGACTCAGGGAGGCCAGGGGAGGGATAAAGAAATATGCACACCTCAAGAAGCCGTCCGTCCTTCACGTCGTATGCTTCTACAACCTTGAAGAATTTGTCGTACCTCTCGCTATCCCAAGAGCCTTTGGGAAAGCGCCCTCGGCCCGTAAACTAGTGCAGGAGGAATCAATCAAAATCCCAAACTGGCAAAGACAGATTTAATCTTACATCGAAACGCTTCATCACACAATCAGGCCCCCAGGAGTCGAAACCCAGGAAATTCTTGACGAGGTAACTCGCCCAGCCAAGGAGCATCGTGCACTCGGATCCTTTCTCATGTTTTCCAGGTTCAACCTCCTGCCATCCTTCGATGAGGTTTTGGTATCTGGCACATCCACGGGCGCGGCGGTAGGTCAGGAATATAGTTAGATCGTGGTCGACTGCTCTGGCTGTTGACGACGGATCGCTGGATTGACAAGAGGAGAGCAGACGAGACTTGTAAACCTGCTCCAGTGACTTGAAGTCAGGGTCCGAGAACTCGCGAATGGTCAGAGAACGCAGACGAGGTACGAGAAGCGGACGTGGCTCAGCGCCTTCGCTTGACATGTGGCCGGCTTTCATAGAGAGAAGGTGAATGGATGATGACGGTATATCCCAGATGTCCAAGACCTCCAGAAGCGGCATCGCTCCGAGCAGGAGGCAGAGCTCGACCTTCGTCACACCACGTACATGGAACGTGAACGAGCGAAGCAGAGACGGCTTCGCGAGCGTCATGCCTAGGAGCTCTCTCACCACCGGCGCCGCCTCAATTGTCCCTGGGCCCTCAATCTCCAGCACCTCAAGGTTCGGCATCTTCATCGACCAAAAGAACGTCGTCGTAAACTCCCCACCGAGCGGCAACGCGCAATTCGTGTTCACCAGCCTAAAGCTCTTGATACCATCATGCCGAAACGCGTATGGTGGGTCAGTGACCGACAGCATCCCAGCCGGACCTCGGAACTCGCACTTCACGAGCTCGGGGCACGGAACAAGGCAAGCCACGCTGACTGGGAGACCGATGAAGGTTGTCAGCGGGGTGAGGAGCTCGTCCAGCTCGGGAAACATCGGCTTGCTGTCTAAGACGAGCATCTGCAGCCGTGGCGTGCTTTGGAACACGGTGTTGGGAGCACGGTAGTCGCCTTCGCGAATGCCGTCGGGGCTGGTGGGCAAGACGACGCGGAGGTTGAGTGCGTGAAGGAGGGGAAAGTCGAGTGTGGGGAGTGACTCGTAGATCGCGGGGCTGACCTGGAGAACGGCGGATCTCCACCGGTCGGTGTGTTGGAGAATGGAGCGTAAGGGCTCGGACGAAGCAGCGTCGGCCGGGTCGCCTTCTGCGAGGCCTGAGTAGGGCAGCCATACCCTAATATGGATGGGGAAATCCCTCGACCGCTCAAGGTAGAGCCTGACAAGGTTGACGGACCCTTTCGATTCAGCTTTTTCTGACCCATTGGGATAAATCTTGTCGATGAATGGAATGGAAGTATAGAGTTGCGGCGTGGAGAGCGCGATCTGTCTCCAGTACGCGCACACGTGGGTGAAAGCAAGAGCTCGAAAACGGTTGAAGAACGCCAGATCGTACGGGTAGGCGACTGAATGCCTGGTAGGAAAAGGAGACTCCTGCACGATCCAGGAGAATATCTCGATGAGAAGTTCGGGTGGGAAGCGGCGGATGGGGGAAACGAGAGCTTCGTGTTGTTCTATGAATCCGACGAACATGCTACGCACATTCAATTCCAATCTGAACAGGGGAAACTTATACGCATCCACGTTTTTCTCGTCGACTATGAGGCTTCGATTATCCAGCAACTGTTGTGCATCTGGAATACCTGATCGTGCAATCTGCTCTATGGCATACCAGACGCCTTCCCGCCTGACATTCTCGAGTTCTTGTTGTGCAAGATGGATGGCTTCTCGAATGCGCATTTCCTCCTCCGGCGACGGTATTCCATTTGTTTCGACTAGAGATGGGGTAGGTGAGGTAATGAGAGGGATGATGTTACCTGGCATGGTGGTTGCATACAAGGATGTTTCAGCCGCGCCCCTGAGGAACGGAGAGACCGGCCCGGATATGTACCCACGTTCCTTAATCGCCCACCCATGGCTCTTGAGCTTGACTTCCAACCAATCACCTCCTCCGGACGAAAGGTCTCTAATCCTAAAAACCTTGCGCAAGATACAGAACAAAATTCAGGCGATATCTCAAAGCATCGAAGAGAGAAACACGCCTGATCACCCTTTCTCCCAAATTCATCTCTTACTTCAAAACCCATTTCTTACTCAAGGCGAGCATAGCTAGCATCCACCTATATGTAAGATGTCATTTCGGAAGCCCAATCAACCCTTATAGGTTGATCCCGGCAATGTCTTCAAATGGTGTTACATAAATGCATATCAGCGCCGAACACAAGCTATCGTCACTGCGTTGACATCGACCGTGCACGTCGGGTGCTGGCACAAGCGTCCTTCCCTGACACTCTCAACTGTGCCTCAGCTTTGTCGTTTGGTTTTCCATGGCGCCACCATGCTGCAAATCTACCTGCTTTTGCCCGTCGGCCACTCTATTTCCAAGAAATAACGATGGTAAAATCCTTCTGCCAATGCCTTCGGGCGCCCTGCAGGGTTCTAGAGGTGTGAGGTCGTAAGTGCAATCCTCCAATGCTGTACTGAGTCAAGACTGAATGCCCTCTGGTTTCGTTAGCCCCAATATGTCTCGTAGCTCATGCAAACAAGGAATATTTTGTCCCCCGAAGCGAGCAAGGGCAACCACTCGACTGGATTGGCGTCGATCTGGTACAAATCCCCCTCCGTTTCGCTGAACGCCTGCCCTTACGTGTTGAATCAGAAGACCGACTGCCAGCGCAAAGCGAGCAAAACGAACGACGGGTTGACAACTCGCCATGTCCTGAAAATCAATCACCTCTCCTTCGAGTTTCCAACCAACGACCTTTCATACGGCGATACAAGAGACAGAGCTACGTTATGGCTCCCAAGGATGCGCAATTTCGTATCTACGTATGTGAATAGTTAATGATCTACACTCGTCGTTCTGTCGTGTCTTCCAGATCTAAACCAGTGTGTCAGCAACCCTGAGATTTGGATATCACCTCGCGGATCCGACACTAAAACCTTGCAGGATATTCCAAGAAAACAGGCGAAGCACAATTGTCTGTTGTTGATCAGGACGTATTATACCAACAAGAAGCGGGGCTACAGATAGAATAGCAACACTGTTCATCATGGATCGAAGCACCCCTCCTGAAGGAACTGGTAATCATAGGTAGGTGTCCTTACGACGAGTATCTGGTCGGGACGGGACGGGCCTGTCGGCATCCCAGTCTCGAAGGCCGCGAGATATCCATCGTCTATTTAAAGAAGCAACACCTCTCCTGGATGTCCTTGATCTATGGGATACACAATCACCCCTCTTCTGGCCCTTGGTGTATAACAAGGCTTCCCCCACACCCACCCTCGTCACACGCCTACAGACTCTGAAAACACACGAATTCAGGGGCCGCAATCTGGAGCCTTTCAACGCCGTCTACCACTCGCGACTTGCACTGGAGCGGGACTCACGGATCTTGTTACCTGCTACTGAGGCGAGCAACACAGTCTATAGATATTCTGCGCCTGGATTCAGAACGTTCCAAGGTGGCTCAATTCCTGCGTGGCACACATACCCAGTGGGGCAGTTTTTGGATCCTGCTCAAAAAGCCAAAAAAGCTGGGGTAAATTTCTATGTATAATGCATTCGATGTTCGGCTCATTGTTGATTTTGCTTATAATTATCGCTCTAGATTATACCTCTAGACTACAAAAGAAGCGCGCTTTGATGGGGCGGTGGTGCGCGTCTAATCAACACTAGAGGATTACCCGTGCTTTGCACGGGGGCTGGGGGTTGGGTATTCTAATAAGCCGAGAGAATACTCAATACGCGCAAAATTTATTTTATTTGAATTTCACTCAAGGCCACTCACCTTTCCGTCGTGCCGAGCGACTTCCGGCGGTCTCAATTCGTACAGGCATCGTGGTTGTTCATGGATTTTCTCCGTGCGAGCCTCATGTAGGAGAAATAAATGCCGCAAATTATGTGTGCCGTCAGTCTGAGTGGTGTCCTTATGCTAGGCTCGGACTGGAAAGGCTGTCTACCTCATTCCGGTGCTAACCAACTTCACTCAAATGGGCCCCCTGCTAGTTATTCTCGGCTTTATGCTCGAGTAATTGGAAGTTTCCGCATTTCCGGGAGGTGAATTGACCTACTTGAAATTTGTTGTCCAAGCCACTCAATATTCAATGCTGGTGAGACACTGCCAGTGTAAATTTACTTATTCTAGTTCAGCAAGAAATTTCCTGCCGGACATAGTCCTCCATGTTCGGGTTGCACGAGCCCTAGTTAGAGCTGCACAACTGCAGAACCCATCATAACATCTCAGACCTTAATGAGAAGTTCACCTGTGCAAAGCACGGGGTGTGGGGGAGTTGGGGAGAAATGGCACTACATACTCACTGATGAGCCGGCCCGCTGCTTGGCCTCGGAGAATACCTTTTTTCGACCTTTGTCATCGCATTCCCGTTGTTCCCTCGATTCCAGACACCTTTCCCGTCGCACCATATGATTCCTCGACACACCCGGAAATCCTCAGAGCAAAAGCAGCCGTCCCGTGACCGACACCGCCTCTTTCCCTCTCTTTCCCATTTCACCGAGACGCTCGGCGCGCCTCCCTTTCCTTGTTAGGTAGTCTTTTCCTCCCATCAACACAGTTGCCACCTCGCCGCCTCTCCCCTTTTCCATATCTGTTTCATTCTTATCTGAAATTTTCTGTTTTTCTTTCTTCCTTCACACCGGTTTGGATATCTCCCTTCCTGGACTCTCCCTTCTTCATAGATATAAACTATGTCTACACACTCACTCACACAAAATAGAGAATTTAGTTCATTTTCCATTTCTCGCCTTTGTCCCTTGTCCTCGTTTCGACCGTATTTCGGAGGTGCTGCTGCCTCATTCGTCTCGTTCCCATGCTTGGCGCCCACATTCGTCACCCATCTTTGAGTCGCGCATGCCATCTGGTTAGAGCCGCACAACCACGGAACTGTCCTCGCACCTCAGAGCCACTCGTTGCGGTGTTTTGGGTGTGTGTCTGCCATTCCTTATTCGCATGATCACCCTACCATAGGCACATCATCATATACATACTGAAATTCCTTATGATTTTACCTCTGCGACTCTGCTCGCCTTCGCTCCTCCCACGGGTTTAAGGGTATGGATCCTGGGCCATTGTAGATCAGCTCAACAACAACAACGGTGAGGGTGCTGGTGTCTGAGTCAGACCTGGACAGCGCAAAAGGAATGATTGAACATACAGGTACAGGGTGGCCATACACACCCTGATGTTCGACCATCGCAAAAGTCCTTGAGGGGGTACCCGTCATAAAGCCAACATATAGAATTAGACAGCGAAACATACCTCTACTGCTAGCTGATGACGCAGATGAGCCGGCACCACTACTTTCGCTTGGCTGCTCAGAGGTTGGTAGCCAGTGAGGCGGGTCCTCATGCCGTGTCTCTGCTCTGAGCTCGTTCACGTTCTTGTAGCTGCTGTCGTTCCTGAAGTTCGAAAGCGGTTACAATATTGTAAAGGCCTATTAGGTGCTGCTGTCAATGTGCCATGTCAGTCAACGCTCAGCGCCAGTTGAGTGGGCTGAAGGGACGCACTGGATGCCTTCGCCCGCTATTTTGCGCATCTCATTTTAGCCCAGGGTGCAATGGATCAATCGAAATGATAAGTGCTTTGACAGCGTTCATTGTCTGCGAGCATGGTGGTTCGAGGTGGTCCCTAGTCGAGGGGATGGGCACGTCGAGGTTGTCCGCAACGATAGTTCGAGCAATGATGGACGCGTAATCAATTATGTAATTAACAGACACGGCCCGGGCCTGGACTGAAGGGTAACACACGGAGTCAACTTTTGAAGTTGTCCACCAGGAAAGGGATACCGTTTTAGTATTTAGATGAAGCCGGCCCGGTGCCGGCCGTCGGCGCTTGATCACAAACTTTTTCGCATGTACTTAACGGCGTTCCGTTTCTGCTGAGAGTTGTCGCCACTCTCTCCAATCCAACTACAATGGCGCCGCTTCCACCAGCAGACCCATTTTTTTTTCCATTTTCCCAATATACGCACTGCGTACATGCTCGGTCTGGCTGCCGAGAAGGCCACGGACCCCCAAGATGAGATGTCTGCCCGAATCGTTAGTTTTCTTATGGTCAATCGACATCTCCATGAAGCGAGATCATCTCTCGGCGACACCCCAGTGCTTCACGTCATGAACGAGGTCGTATCCTGCAACGCACATGATGACGTTAACGCTCGGATTCATGCTCTCGGCCTGCATTATCGCGAACGGTTACTGCGCGCGTGTCGGTTCAAATTTTCCTCGCTGACCCCTATGACATCAATATTCAGGTAACTTCCCCCAGTGCGTCAGTCGAAAGACCCGCTGCCAGCCTCCTATGTGGACGTGTCCCGCCCATGTTTAGATACCATGCAAGACATGATTAATGATTGCCTGGGCGAACATCCGAAAGACTCCCACTCAGCAGGAAAAGCCGTGCGTTTATTCCTCCAATTGGCTCATCCTGCTACTTCGAGTAACCCTTTTTCGTCTAGCCACTCGCACGAGATAGCTTCCGCTGTATGCTTACCGGCGTGTATGAGATTTATTCTCGGATGATATCGCCCCAGATCCGTTCCCGTGAACGCGCACCCATCGAATGCTGCCCTATTCTCAGTGGATCTGCAAACGATCCAAGGCATCCGACCGAGTGGCAGAAAAGGGTGCGTACACTACAATCGTGGAGGCTATTCTTAGCAACGAAATTACTCCTCTTCCCAGGTGTTTGCCGTCCTGAAGTCATTTGGTCTCGAGTCTATCGTTAGCACTCTCACAGCCGCAGGAGGTATTCATGATTTGTCCAATCTTCTTTCTTTGAGAAGCGAACTTCATACCGCCTTCGACGACCTGGAAATCTGGCTGGAGCCTACATCTCAAGTGAGCAACGACATCCCCGTTTACTTTCTATTCTAATGTCTCTTCAGCAGAATACTTATAAAGTCTGTACTTACTTCAGACGATATCTATTTCATAACATATCCCATCCTCGAACGCACAGTGCATTTTGAGGTCAACCCAGACATCGTCGGTTCCGGCAAGAACGTCCAGCTTCCTTTACCATACCCAAGACACCTCGCATCCACGCAGTCTGTGCAAAGGTGGCCCACATGTCAGGCGCTGCTGAATATCTCGATAAGCTTGAGTGGGATGTTGAGGATACTCCTGTCCTTTCTGCAGACGGGTCCTCGGCACCCCTACTTCTAACTGGGGTAAGCTTCAGGCATAAAGCAACTTGGAAGAGGATGTGTAGACCTCCTGCAAGATCCGAGCTTTTAATTCAACTACTGCCAAAAGCCCACTCGATATTCAGATCCCTCCCTTCTGAGAATTGATCAACCACGATTCCGGGACGACCCCACCCGCTCAGCGTCTCATCTGGTATTGTGTTCCCGAGGTCGATTTCACTCCTTCATGGCTGCGTCACTTCCACCCATATCCTTGTCTTCCGTCCCCTCCTTAACATCTGACACAAGACCCTGAAAGAAAGGCCAGTCAAATTCTCCAATAATCTGAAATACGACGCGTAAAACGCGTACCTCAGAGCTCTCCTGCCCCTTAGCCTGTCCCCCCTCCTGCTCTTGTTCATGCTCAGCCTCCTGCTTCTCAAGATACTTTGCCACGCGCTTGTTGCCTGCGATAGGCCGCTGCTCCCTGCGCAGGTACTGGTAATACGGAAGGCGGGAGCCGAGGAGCATCTTGAGCGTGTCGCTGGGACGGTCGAGGTCTTCCCAGGAGAAGTCGTATTTCACGTTTTCGGTCATGTAAACGGAGGGCATGGTTAATGTGGTTTAGGTGTCGGGTTGCGGGATGATCTTGCAGTTCAGGGCTTCAGGAAGGCGGAAAAGGTGTGGCACTTGTCGTATCGGTGTTTGGAAGAGGGCGAAAAACAAAGGAGGGTGGTTTATATATGCACCAAGGAAGAGTTTGTGCCAAAGACGAGGCCCGTCGGCACAAATTGAAAGTCCCATTGTTCTCCAGCACGTGCTCTTGCATATCTGGCCCCTTCACTTCGACTTCCTGGCAACCCAAAACTCGGCCTTGTAAATCCAACGCATCATCGCGTTCCTATCCCCCGTATACTCGCACTCGATGGTCCTCTGCGCGCTTGGACCTTCTTCATCCCTGTCGAGCACGAACCCAATCTCCTCTGCGGCCTGCAGGACCTCTTCGAGGCTGAGTTCGACTTTGGCTTGTGCTCCGCCTGTCCACAGAAGCGGGCCAAGGTTGATCCAGACGCCACCAGGACGGAGGAGGGTGTGGATGTGGTTCAAGGTCGAGAGAAGGTCGAGGGAGGTGTCGATGAAGAAGAGAGTGACGATGAAGTCGTATCCGTCCATGTATGCATCATTTCTGTTGGATGATGGGGCTTTGAGCTTCATAAAATCTTCCTCGACGAGCCTGAAGGTAGGGCTGAGGCGGGGTACGGCGTCAGGAAAGGATATACCGCGGAAGAGGGAGTCGTTTGTCCGCTGATGGGAGAACCAATGCGCATATGGGCGGAGAATATGTTCGTTGGGAGTTGTTGTTGTCTTGGGGGAGAGAAGAAAACGAAGAGAGAGCGTCATGAAGAACGAGAGCTCGTTTGCTGTAGTGTCGTATCCTACAGCTACATCAACCTCGCCTTCGGCTAGGAAGAGACGAGCTGAACGCACCCAGCTGAGATATCTCCCATGCCAGCCTTCCAAGACCGCATCCAGGGACGAGCACCTTCAACCCTCCGCGCTCCTGAGGATCTACACTTCGTAGTAAATCAAGAATGGGAGCGAATATACGCGTCCGTTCCGCCGCTCCTTCCTCGCTCCAATCCCGAACAAAATGCTTGAGCGATTCCCGGACGCGTCCTAGGTCTGCTGACCCCGCCGCCACCGGATCCTTGGTCTTGAGCGACGGGAATTCTTCGATCGCTAGCTCAGCGACGCCGTCTGTAATCGTGGCGTTTAAGTCGGTGACGTCCTTCATCCGGTCTAGCTTTCTCGGATACCCAATCTTGTACCCGATATTCTTGTTGGCGCGTCCCAATGTGGAGTAGGACCTGCGCATTAACGACAGCTCTTGTTCCGAGAGGCGGACGTATTGGGTGTAGGATTCGTGGGCTCTTTCCAAAGAAAAATGCCCATAGTGGCGTGTCTTCCTACGTCCGAGTAGGAGAAGATCCTTAAGCTCCGAGAATGAGAAACTTGGGACGTGCTTGTACCCCAGAAAAAGGATAGCGAGAGGGAAGAGACACGCCAGCAAGACGTCCGACGCGATGATGAAACGCAGGTCTGAAAATGACATCGTTCGAAGTCCGTCGAAGGAGAGGAAACAACGTGTCGATGCTTTATTGGCGTAAATGAAGGGTCATTTTGGCATCCTGTCGTACGTGGGGAGTTGGTTGTGGTAGGCAGACGAAAGAGCCGAGGACGGAGTTGCTGGAGGGGCGGCTGGTCGGTCCGGCTGACCTTTGAAACTTGTGCCAAGCCGGGTCGAGACTCTCTCTTCATCTCCACTACCATCCCCACCTCCACCTCCAGCGTCCCTCTTGTTTTTATCCTTTTTATCGTACTTCTGCACATTCTCTGATGTCATTATTGAGTACTGATTCTTTGCTCTAGTGCTAATACGTCTATCTCTGCACTCGAACCACCAGGATGCCAACTGAAGCTACAAGGACGTTAGCTCGGCTTCTCTCATTCCAAGCTCAAACGCACAAGTTAGGATCACGTTCGTCAAACTTTGTCGCCGCTGCCTCGCACCGCTTTTGATTCAACACGATTAGCTGCAGAAATGAGCCTACAAGTTAGTACAAGAGGCTTCCTACAATTGGTATAAAAACTGGCAACCGGACTCCTTTCAATGCCCCACCAACAACCAGCACTGTCTTCAACTCGATGGCTCTCAACAATTTCTTCTGCGTATACATCCTCGCACTCTTGTCTATAGCCATCGCGAGCCCTCTCTTGGAGGAGCGTGGTGGGTACCTCTTCCTTTTCAGTGCCCCTGCGGAAGAAACTCACTTTACGCGTCACAGATGCATGGAGCGACTCCGTCCTCGCGAGCCATAACGCTGCTCGGGTTAAATATGGCGCGAATCCGTTGACCTGGGACTCTGCTCTCTACACGTCTACACTTCAGTGGGCTCAAGGCTGCAAGTTCACGCACAGGTATGCAGCGTCTCCTCGACATAGGCCGACTTTCTGATTCTCGTTGCATCAACCAGCTCTGGCCAATACGGCGAGAACCTCGTACGCTTTCAATTTAAAGCGGACTGACCTGTCGGCTTACGAGTTACATTAGTATGCTAGTACTGGCACCAATATTGGCGTTGAACCAGCAGTGAACTCCTGGATGTCGGAAGCATGTCAGTCGCAATATGAGCTCGTATCTCCCCAATTTCCTGACAGTTACTTTTTTACACAGCGAAGTACAACTGTTGGTGACTCTCCAATTCCGTTATTGCTATACTCACCAGTGTCTTGTAGACAACAACCCAGGCTTCTCGTCTACGACAGGACACTTCACACAGGTAAGAACCATTTTCCTGACTACACTCGGGTATGGCACTCACGAATCTTCTCTGCCGTACCACTAGGTCGTCTGGAAGAGCACCACGAAAGTGGCATGCGCCAGGGCGACTTGCGCCTCTGGGACTATTTTCTCCCAACCCAGCACCTACGTTGTGTGTCGCTACAACCCTCCTGGTAACTATGCGGGCCAATACGCGTGAGTTATTTGCCTATGTACCGCCTGCAGTTTATCTCTGATGCGACCGTTCTCTCAGGCAAAACGTGGGTGTCCCGGTATAAGTCTCGCGGACTGAGTCGATTTGGACATTACGTTGATCTTGTGCGAAATTAACTAAATAAATGAAGCTCATCTGTTTCGACCAGTGAGTCTACGATCCGCAAGTCAGAAGTAGTTAGAGCCCTATTTCTCTCACTGGACGTCTAGACTGCAAGCCCAACCCCAAAGCCACCTAACCTCAGAGTCTTGTAATCATCTGTCAGTCTCCACTTTGGCACAGCTTGCACGTCTGTCATCAACGAGCTCCATCGCTTGTGCAGCCTCCAGGCCCGTAGTCTGAAGTTATAAATTGCGTCCTCTTGAACATCTTCGGCAGGGAGCTCATAAATGAGTTTCATAACGTTTGCCAGCCTGGTCACCTAGTTGCACAGAAGGTGAGCGAGCGGTCGATGATACGACTTTTGTTTCTTACCCCCCATCCAAGGGTGCCCATTGGCTCAAATTCAGGGAAGGGATGCCCTTCAAGAAGCACGAACAATTTGTCGACCCTTGCCCAGTTGCTGTGCTGTTGTAGTGCATCAGCGTAAACCTCAATGCCATAGTGTCCACGCTTACCAAACGGGCAAAACGTTCTCTCTTCTTCCGCGCAAAACTCATCTGGTGAGACAAGGTAAATTCAAGAACCCAAAGTGCATGAGAAACAGCCGCCTACGCCAGCCTTTTTGGCTTTCTGAACAGGATCCAAAAACTGCCTCACAAGATACGTGCACCAGGCACGGACCAGTGCTACCTCGGAGCGTTCTGAATCAAGGCACAGAATATCTATTGGTGGTGTTGCTCGCCTCAGTAGCAGGTAACAGGATCCATGAGTCTCGCTCCAGCTTTTGTAAGTCAGATTAATCATTATATTCGATTCTATCACCGCGTTCGGTCGCGCGTCGCACTCCAACGGTGGTGCTCGTCGCGAGTGGTAGACGGCGTTGAAAGGCTCCAAATCGTGGCCCTTGAATTGGCGTATTGTCAGAGTCTGTAGGCGCGGGACGAGAGGCATGAAGATATTCTTGTCATATGCCAATGGCCAGAAGTGGGATGACGGTGTATCCCATAGATGGAGCACTTCCAGGAGAGGTGTTGCTTCTAACAGACGACGGAGATCTTGAGCATCCATCCTGTGCATGTAGAATTTCAGGGAGCGGAGGGATGAACCGGGAAGGGTCTTTGAGAGCAGGTTGCTGATAGGACCCGTCTCAACTGCGTACTCGTAACGAGGGTTTCTGCCCGCGATTGACAGACGTTGGAGGAGGGGTGCTTCAATGCAGCGGAATTCGGTGTTCCCGATTGGGCCTCTGACGGTCAGAGATGTGAGTCGGGTGAAACGGATGGGGGGCTGATTGTCGTTGACGCCCATGCGGGTACGCGGGTAGAAAGGGTACTGCACTTCGCATTGCTTCAGAGAGTCCGCGGCACCTGCGAATGCACCCAACATTTTGCGATAGCCAGTAAAACGCTCAAGAGAACTCCAGCGTGCTTGCACTTCGGGAACGAATAGGCACTTGTCTGTCTCTCCTTCTCCTTCAAAGTGTGTGAGGCTGGGGAGACCGGCAAACACTTCTCGATAGGGATAACGTGTTTTTATGTGCAGGTGTTCTAGGATAGGGACTTGGATTTTGCCATGCATTGTCAAACGTCGGACACTGACACATTGTATGTCAGCGCTTTTCCACCTGTGTGATTGAGATAAAACGAGGGAAAGATTTCCCTCGAAGGGGCAGCGATCAAATTGGTTGTTGTTGTCGTCGTAGCGGTTGTAGTAACTAGAAGTTATCCTAACATGGATTGGGGCTGGTTTGGATCGTTCAAGAAACAGCTTGATGAGGGACAACCTGGGGCCGGGTGAGATATTCGGTTTTAATAAGGTGTAGTCGACAAGGACGGTGGGGATCTTGGTCCAGATTTGAGGCGTAGACTGAGCTATATTCCTCCAATAACGACATGTCTGCGCGAAGCCGTAGGCCTTCCTGGAATAGTAGTATCTGTCGTCGTAGAATATATCGATGTCCACAGGTCGTACAGGGATCGAGAGGATGAAGATTTCTGCGAGCAGTTCTGATGGAAAGCTACGCAGAGGGGAAAGAATGGCACGGTGCCTCCTCAAAAAGTCTTCGAGGACTTCCAACTGCGTCCAGGTATCCCGATCAATTCTGGAGAAAGGGTGATCAGGCGTGTTTCTTTCTTCGATCCTTTGAAATAGGGCGTGGATTTTGTTCTGTGTCTTGCGCAGGGTTTCTAGGATTAGAGATCTTTCATCTGGGGAAGGTGGCTCGTTGGAAGTCAAGAGCCATGGGGTGGGCGATTCCGCCATCGTGAAAGTATCTGATCAAGGTGCATGTGCCGTCGGCTATTGAATATTCTGATGCTGCGCCTAGCCTTGAACAATGAACGGTTGTCTATATACATAGGCCCTGGCCACAGCAACATACACTAGAATCTGCCTCGCTGCCGTTGTGGAATTTCTTATCCGTTGTATTGAGACCAGTAATACTGAATTTACATAGTTCACAGTCCATCGTATTAACACAACTCGAAAGCAATTGCAACAAACAAAACAGAATGAACGAACGATCTATGAGTGTATTCAAGGAGGCGTGGAAGGCGTGGCTGATGAGAACGGAGCTGAATACCGAAGGCTTAGGTCCCCCATTCCCAATTGGCGCCCGGCATTATCTCCGCTTGTCTGGACGTCCGTCAACGAGGAGATATAGGACGTCTCTTTAGGCTGCACGCTTCGCGTCGAACACATCTCCGAGTCGTCGCTGCCTTCTCCGCTGCTGTCCTCAATATTGTGAATTCTTCTGCATAGACGGTAGAAGAACATTGTCACGACGAGGAGGTTGCATACTATTAGTGAGATAGTCGCCTAATTTGCAAATATTAAGTATATGACAACCCCGGAGCGAGAATTACTTACTTCAATCTGCGCAGTAACGGAGCGAAGCAAAGATCCATGCGGGCCCATATTGATACCACCGTACCAAAATATACAGAGCAGAACGGCGGACAGAAGAGTCAGGCCGCTAGCGCAGGAAACGACTAGGACAAGCCGCTTTTGGTTTCTTGGTAGTCTGACGCGCCAAAACACGTAGAGCGGGTACACGATGAGTGCGGCATCTGCAGCTATATCGACTGAAAGTAATGGATGTTAAGCAAGACGCAAGTCATTGCAAGAGAGCAGCTTTCAGACTTACGTGCTGTCGCGGTCAAGCCACCGATATAATGCCCAGTTCGTGTCCTCAAACAATGCTTGCTCTCCATTCGATACCACGTCCGCCCACCGCCGCGGCACGTCAGCGTCACAAGTATTATAGACCCAGCATAAAGCAAAAAGGTGACAGCGAGAATGAAGCCGCCACGTCGGGCTTTGTGTCGTTGAGGGAAAATGCGTGCCACTGAGAGCGAGAGGCTCATTCGAGAGAACCTGGTGACAGGACGTCCGGTTAATTCGGAAAACCAAGAGAAGAGAAGAACGTGTCACCTACCACACTACGGAGAGGAATAGGAATGACGCCAGCCAGAAGGACTCTATCATTCGGTCTCTCGACACGACTGTAGCGAGAGAAAATCTAATTAGCGACTCGCTATATCTAGAAAACAAAAGGCATACATTTACGAGAAAACCTGCACCAGAGCTGGATGAAGAGTGCGCAGTCCATGGTGAGGGGGATGAAGGCCAGGTAGTCATCCCACCATAACTTCTTCGTTCGATAGCGGTGAACAATCCGGAATACCGTCGACCCAATCGCGATGAGATGCAGGAGCGAGAGGATGACTAGAAGTCAAAGCTTTTTCAGCTGGACGAAAGAGAAAGACGACGAGAGGATAGCCCACCTCCCCAGACAACGAAGGATTGTGGTGGAAAGGAAAAGGCCATGTCGACGACGTTTCGCACTCTCCGCCATTTTCCAGTTGAAGTTGCAGCATCACAAGGGCTTTCAGGGTCCGAGGTCGAGCTAGGGTCGACGTTTAAATTGGTTGATCTGACAATGCTGTCACTGATAAGTCGAGTCTACGGATCCATCAAAGGGTCGAGAACATGAAGATGGTGACTACAGTACATGTTCTCATAATGCATGACCTCATGTTGCATAATTCTAATAGTGCATGGACTTTTGACTAGAACTGACTCCGTACAGGGGGAAAATTGCATAATGCATAATGCATGAAGGCTCGGGCCAAGTTATGCATTATCAGTAGGGTCGTTTTCATCTAATCCACACTACATATCTATGCGATCGTGTTCGAGAATATTCTAAAAAGCACCGCGCATCCAACAAAACCGCCGGGGGAACCCACCACCCACATTCTGTCTTCCCATGCCTGCCAAACGTAACACAGACGAGCGCAAACGGAAAGTCCGAACCGAGCATGCCCCCTACAAACCGCGTAAGCCGCAGAAGGTCGTCCACCTCTTCCCCAACTCCAATCCGCAGAAGAAGACTTGATGAAAGTCGTTCAAGATTTGAAGGCACGAAGGAGGATCATTGGGGCTCCTCTCACGTTGGAGGAGATGCTGAACCCGGTTGGCGGTGACGAGATCGGAGAAAGGGAGTTTCATTTTGAGGATGATGATGAGATCGTGGCCAGGGTTCGTCATGAACAAGCTGTGGCTAGAGGAGAGGTCATTGAGCTGGATTCCGAAGATGAAGAGGATGACGATCACCCTCGACTGTCAACCCGCGAGATCATGGACCTTTGCACCCAGCTTGAGCGCGCATGCATCAGTGAGAACGATCCGGAGACCTCTCTTGACTTTCTCCATGGGCTTAGACGCTTCAGAATACATCTTAGGAGGCGGGAGGCAATGGGAGCGAAGCAGACAACACTGACCAACTGGTTCAAGCCGAACTGATGTCACGCGCACAGCCAAAGTCACAGTAGTCACATTAGTCACACATTGTCGTTCTGCATAAATCTAATAATGCATCACTTTTACCCCAGAACCGACGTTATGCAATATGAGAACATGTACTGTATCAAGGGGCGATACTTAGCTGGACCTGGTATTCAGCAGAATAAATGTTCTTTGCCTGGAGAAAGCTGACAAAAGAGTTGTGAGAACAGGTGCGAACTCGAAGCAGAAAAAGGCAGAAGCTCGGACATTTCCGCTGCGGCGCTCATCAGACACGGCGTTTGCCGATGTCTGGTGTGATGCGCCACTGCCAAGACTAACGTGCGTCGGGGTTTGACCACCAACAGCGTTGCTTTCAAAACGCCTGAGGGTCCTCTATCGAGGAAAAAAGGACAGGATGTTTCCTCAGGACGACATCGCCTAGTAATTAGTACCCCCGCTCATGCTCTCGCCTACCACCCACAGTGCGTAACCGAGACAAACAATGACTCCTGTTCTAATTGCTATCTTATTTTCAAGTTTGATGGTAAATGTCGTCCGCGATATATGTTCGACGACCCTCGAAGTCAATTCCAAATTGAATTGCCTGAAGCTTTACATCAGGGACCTCCGCAATTGGAAGTCGAAGAGCTCTAGCCTCTTCAACGTCTTGAGTGCTTGTAAGAATAGAGGTTGGCCATATCTTGTCCTATTTGGAACCCTTGCGAAGCACTTCCACCGGAACTTGAAATCTGAATCCGGCACTCCATTCCTTCCCTTACCTTCGTCGAAGAATTTACTTATCCGACGATTCTCGTCGCAAGATCTGAGTACAACATTGCTTCAAGTTCACGATCGGAGGTTGCAGATGGCTGGCGAACTTGAAGATGTGGAAAGAAACTTGATTATTGGAGGTCAGCAACTGAAATGGTCTGTAACACTCAATCTTTTTATCTCGTTTCCTCGCCCAACAGATGATGAGGCTCACTAAAATTATGGAAGACATCGAAGGTACTCCGCTCGGTGGTATCCCAGGTGACAATGTCTGCATGATTCAGAGACGTGCTGGGTCAATTTCAAAAAGATGACATCCCTCAAAGAAGGCATACAAGGACGATGATGGACCTTAACGGAAGACGGACAGACTGTTCGAATTGTGGTTAGTCGACGAGCAATCGATCTAGGATGAGTGAGTCGCTCCCGTACTATACCGGCGACCAAGACCCAGCATAATGAAGCCGACTCAGCCGAGCCTTGTTTACTTTTGTTGGATTTTGTAGGACCCCTCGACTGAGTCAGTATACAGTCGCCGAGAAGCAATTTCAAGTTGATACTCGTCGTATGGTATGACTAGATGCTGAATTATTGTTTCCCGACTGTTATAAAGGTAATATATTTGGCATAAACTTAATACTAGAAGAATCCATGAATTCTTTGACCTCGACAACTACTCCTCTTTCACCCCGCAGTGAGATAAACACTGATGGGGAAGGTAGGCGGAATTGCTACGCAGCAGGCCCAGCATCCTTCACCTCCAACGGGCCTCTGCCTGGTCTGTTTTGGGGGACAATTAAAGTAGGTGAAGCTGCCTCGCAGCATCCCCAGCATCCGGGACTCCCACCTGGTTTTTGTCCAGCAGGACAGATGGGTTCAACCTCCCGGCAGACGGCGGCACACACTGGGATCTCGGTTGGCTTCGGCTTTGGCGGGATTGATATAATCGGAGGAATAGGGACACAGCAACCCCAGCACCCTTCGGATCCGGTAGCGATTAGTCCCGCAGGACAAATGGGCTGAACGGGACGGCAGACGGCAGCACATACGTCAGGAGGAGGACGAATGGGCTGGCAGCATCCCCAACACCCCTCAGATCCCCTGGGCGCTTCGTTAGCGGGGCAAACCGGCTTCGTGGGTCTGCATACCGCCAAACAAAGTCGCGAAGAGACTTGGGGGTTTGGAATAGCTTGGACGCCAATGAGAGCGCTGAGAGAGACGATGATAATTGAGAAGAAGCCTATCATGCTGAAATTGATCTGGAGTATGCGCCGGAGGTGAGTTGACGGGTCACTTCTTGGAGAAGAACGTAGCAAGGGCCTCACCTTTGAGCAAAAAAGATCCTCGATGAAGCAGGGGCAACACTATTGCCAGCGCTAGACCTGAATCAAAATGAATATAATTTTAAAGCAGGCCACAAAAGTTTGAATACGAACCAGAAGTTGAGTTGGGCTGTTTTGGAGAAGAAACGTCTCCATCCTAGCGGCGTTTTATACTGTTCGGATTCCTACCAGTCTCGCCTCAACCTTTCAAACTCGCCAAGCGAGTTACAAAAAACTTTGGGGCCACGTACACAGATCATTACCTGCTCGTAGGTCTGGCCCCTGCTAAAATTGGGTCATAAGTGATCAGCAAGTACGTCACCGAGCCCCCGTCAGAAATTACTGAGGGCCAGAAATGGACCAGTTGTCAATTGCTTCGTGGCTAAGCCGTAATGAGGCACGGCTTTTCCTGGACAAATCTTGACTGCCATCACGAAAGGCCTTTCAATAAGCTCTAAGGTCTACGCCTTTCGACTCTTGCAGTCTTCTTGATTGTCGTCCCTTGGTTCGTATCGATTCTCGTAGTTTCCCGGATCTCCCTTGAACGCCCAAGAATAATGTTGAGGGATGCTGTGGAAAGAAACAAAATCGGATCAAAATAGATCGCTCGCATTTCCGTTGCCTGGAGCGCGTCATTGACTGAGAAGGACAAAGCACCGTGGCCTGGCTGTGGAGTGCGTTCACTGTCAATGGGTTCCTACCGTCGAATCTCCATTACATTTAATCGACACTTGGACAATCTCATGAGAAACTCTCACCCGGAGCTCGTTCTTAACCTCCTTTGGAGGTCAATGCAATCAAAATCTTAATTTCTGCCTTGACTGGGTGGTCAAATTCGGCCGAGCGGTGCAGAGATGCCTGCAGAAGTTATCCCGAGATGTCCATGGAGCAAACACCAGGAGGCATGAGCATCTGGCGTAATTAGTTAGCAACATAAGAGCTGGAATAGTTGATGAACGAGCTGGACTTCTGCTCGTCATCATCGTGGAGTATTCGAAGTTGCGGCTAGTGCTAGTCTTTGAGAAGAACACGAGCAAAACACCAAAAAGGTTAACTGCACCTTATACGCGCTGTTCTTCCACGCAAATCTTCAGACTTCAAGGACTTCTTCGCATGAGCGGCCGATAATCTGAGAAACGTCAAGTGGGCCTTAGGCACCTACTTAGACTTGCAAAGAGCATCCTACAACATCCAAGTGCAATATAAGGCCGAAGACGTTCCGGTAAAAATCAACTCAGAAATCGGTATGTCGAAAGTCTCCGGATTCGAATCGATCAAACGTCCGAAGGTAAAAAGGTCCAACCGCCTGGACAGCTTGACGGGGCAGTTTCGGATCGTCGTAATGCATTCCAGAGATGCCCAAGGGTAGATTACAATGGATCATCCGTGCACCACCCTCGCTGCGTCGCAGAACGTCAATTCCAGGTGTGTTGCGCATAAATCCCGAGGGCCTGGTTCGCCAGCACCGGGCTATACGCCTGAACATCAGAAGTGGTAAAGGTCTTCGTCTTCTAGACGGTGTTCAGGATCTGTAGGAGTCGGGTCTCGATGAAGTCGACGAAGACGAGATCGATGAGGGTGTCCTCGAAACTGCTGGGGGCACAGAGCCGATGAAGTCAGGGTGAAGTGGAATGGGACAGGTGTGTGCAATGTGTCGTCTCCGATGCCTAGGCAGGCCTATGTACGAAAGACGTCAGGGGAAACGAGAAGCAGAAGAGAATGCAGGACGCACGTCAGTCGTGACGTATCTCATTGTCAGATTACTGGTTGCATACCTCTCAAAACCGATATTCCATATATCCATCTCCTCCAACCACTTGCGGCATCGACATATCCGCGACCATACAATTCCTCTTCTGTCTTTTCCATCAACGACCTCCTCTCGTTCGCACCAGCACTGTTCGGAGTGGGAAGCACTTGTTTCGCAGAAGTAAATGGGATGCCAGGTATGAAGAGGAAGGAGTCGATGAACGGAGAGGCTGTCAGCTGGTTGTTCTTAGTGAATGGACCAGCGTAGATGTCGAATCGTTGCGAGCCCGAGTTCGTGATCATAATGTTCGATATCGAAAATCTCGTGTTGTTGATAGCGAGCGCGACGGGTACGGCCTATATAAACATGCTAGTCAATGACCGTGCCTTGTTGAACCGAGTATTTACGGACATTTTCGATGAACAGGCTGAGAAGAGAGTTGTTAGAAAGATAGGGTGCTGTAAACGGACGTGAGACTCGACTGCGGCAAGAAAATGTATGTTGTACACACTGGGTGGTGGTAAAATCATGAGGAGCTGTTCCGAATTGGAAGGACAGATCGCGCCAACTAATGTGTTAGCATACGTTTTCCGTTGAAACTAATAAGTGAAGAATTTACCAATTGTCTCCATGTATCATCCACTTTCCAATGACGTAGACCGACCATCCAGGTGGACTAGAAAGATTCATCCGACATAAAAAATGGGGGTTAAACAGAACTTGACGGGCGTATACGCACGACAGTCGCGAATCTGCGTATGACCTGAAGTGGTGGCAACAAAGTTATAAGATCGTGGACTTGAAGTGTAGCGACAAGGTCCTCACGGTGATGAATCACCACGTTCTCTGTGGGGTTGATGACAAGAAATACGACTTCATATCGATCACCCCGCCGAACAAAAGCACCCTTTCAGGCACAAAATTATCAGCGAGCGAATTCAAGAGGCTCATGCAGCCCCAAATTGACACTGAACTATTGGTCGGATTTCCCTCGAACGGTCTCTTGAGGATCAGGGGCTTCGTCACCAAAGAGCAGCTGGCCAACCCGGAATCGCTCGACATTAACGGCGACCCCTGCCTCGTCGTCCTCAAGGACGGATGCGTTTCCGATCTCACCTTCGGCCGCTACGCTGGACTTACTTGAGTCGTTTTTGTGTGACGAGAACGGCGTCCGATCTGTTGAACTTGCAATCTATAACTACGACAAGCAGAGCAAACCCTTCTCATCCAAGGGGGACTCTGGTTCCCTCATCGTCAACGGTACAGGGGAAATGGTCGGGCTTCTTCACTCTGGCAAGCGAAGGACCCTGACCGGTTCGACGGCCACCTATGTCACCTATGCGACCCCTTCAAGGAGGTCTACCCTAAAGCCGACTTCGCCCGCGAGACCTGGTAAAGGCGAGAACAATGTCGTCGGCCTCCTGCTCTCCTGTTTCCATACTCCTTCCCCTCTTCTACGGCCTGCAAGACCTCTTCGAGGCTGAGTTCTACTTTGGCTTGTGCTCCGCCTGTCCAGAGCAGTGGACCGAGGTTGATCCAGGTGCCGCCAGGACGGAGGAGGGTGTGGATGTGGTTCAAGGTCGAGAGAAGGTCGAGGGAGGTGTCGATGAAGAAGAGGGTGACAACGTAATTGTATCTGTCCATGTACATATGCATCATTTTTGTTGGATGATGGGCTTTGAGCTTCGTAAAACCTTCCTCGACGAGCCGGAAGGTGGGCCTGAGGCGGGGTGCAACGTCAGGAAAGGAGATACCACGGAAGAGGGAGTCGTTCGTCCGCTGGTGGGAGAACCGGTGTGCATATGGGCAGAGAATGTGTTCGATAGGAGTTGTGGTTGTCTTGGGAAAGAGAAGGAAACGAAGAGGGAGCGTCATGAAGAACGAGAGCTCATTTGCTGTAGTGTCGTATCCTGCAGCTGCATCAACCTCACGTTCGGCTAGGAAGAGACGAGCTGAACGTACACAGCTGAGAGCACCTTCAACCCTCTGCACTCCTGAGGATCTACACCTCGAAAATCAAGGATGGGAGCGAATATACGCGTCCGTTCTGCCGCTCCTTCCTTGCTCCAGTCCTGCAGAAAATGCTTCAAAGATTCCTGAACCCGTCCTAGGTCTGCTGACCCCGCCGCAGCCGGATCCCTGGTCTTGAGTGACGGGAATTCTTCGACCGCTAGCTCAGCGATGCCGTCTGTGATCATGGCATTTAAGTCAGTGATGTCCTTCATCCGGTCTAGCTTTCTCGGGTACCCAATCTTGTACCGGATATTTTTGTTGGCGCGTCCCAACGTGGAGTAGGACCTGCGCATTAACGACAGCTCTCGTTCCGAGAGGCGGGCGTATTGGGTGTAGGATTCGTGGGCTCTTTCCAAAGAAAAAATGCCCATAGTGGCGTGTCTTCCTACGTCCGAGTAGGAGAAGATCCTTGAACTCCAAAAACGAAAAACTCGGAATGTGCGTGTATCCCAGAAAAAGCCTGCAAGACATCCGACGCGATGCTGAAACGCAGGTCTGAAAATGACATCGTTCGAAGTCCGTCGAAGGAGAAGAAACAACGTGTCGATGCTTTATTGGCGTAAATGAGAGGTTATTTTGGCATCCTGTCGTATGTGAGGAGTTGGTTGTGGTGGACGGAACAAAAGAGGGAGTTGTTGGAACGCCGGCTGGCCATGCCAAGACTAACTTAACTTGCCTCACCACCCACACCATGAGGCATTCTAAATGGATAGGGTGTTTCCTCAGGACATCATTGCCTAGTAATGAGTACCCCCGCTCACGCTGTCGCCCAGCGCCCACAGTGCGTAACCGTGATAAACAATGACTCATGCTGCAATTGCTGTCTTCTTTTCGTAGCACTGCAACGTACGGTCTGGTGTTAGCTAAAATGTCGAGTCAAGCCGCAGCAACATATGCGAAAGAATGGGCTCTTCTCAGTAATCTGACCCACACAATCCATTTCGACAGCGGGAGGTCTTCGAGGAAGGAAGAGAAACGACGTCAGTTGCGCCGTATTTCCACAGTTTCAGCTTTGAATTTCTTCACTATTGCTAACTGAAACACCCTTCGCAGCTGCAACCTCAAATTCTGTCGAAGGTCCTAGTTTTCCCCGCCCCATCTCAATTATGGGCGAAATTCCACCAGAGCTCCTTGGAGAGATATTCAAATGGGCCAGTCCTATTCGTGAATTTACAGCATCCCCGCCGATGTCGCTTCCCGATGACCCGCCGTACGCGATGGCCTACGGTTTCACCCAGACTTGCTTTCTTTGGAGAAACGTCGCCTTGTCAACTCCCGAAGTCTGGACATCGATCCCAGTTGTACGCCAGGATATCAATACGAATGGTTTCGTGAAGCATGTCAAAATGTTTCTCGAACGCTCCAAGGACGCGCCGATACATGTGGCCCTCGTCACAGCAGGAAAATCAAGACCCAGAAGCGCTATTTTCTCGCAATCGCACCGATGGAAGACGGCCATGATCCGCATGAGCGATCTGCCTGAAAGTCTGGGGCTTCCGATCCTGGAAGCTTTGAACGTCAAGTGCCCCGAGTTGTGGCTAGATCGCGTTTGTGGAAAGACGAATGCCCCCCTCCTTCGCCACCTTGTTATCGCTGACCGCCCGAAATGCAACTTCATGAGGCAGGGAGCCGTCAACGAGCTGACAAGCTTCGTTGGATTGCCGATGGATCTGGATGTCCTGGCTCCCTACTGTTCCCGCCTGCGAAGTTGTACGCTTGGAGGCCAGCTTCAATTTCAGTTTCATCCGCCGTCAAGTGTGCTGCGTTTTGAGGTGCTCGAAGAACTTCGTGTTTTCAACATTAACAGAGGTTTCTTCGCGGATGACACATGCACGATATTGGGATACATTCGGGCTCCTGTGGCACAACGTCTGGAGGTAGAAGGGAGACGACGGATGGGGGCAATAGCAGGAATATCGGAACTCATTCGCGATATATGTTCGACGACCCTCGAGGGAAATTCCAAATTGGATTACCTGAAGCTTCATGTCAGAGGCATCTGCGAAGAGGATATGGTCAACCTCTATTCTTGCAAGTCACTCAAGAGGTTGAAGACGCTAGAGCTCTTTGACCTCCCATTGTCCTGTTTGGAACGCTTGCGAAGCATTTCCACAGGAGTATCTGAATCCAGCACCCCTTCCCTTCCTTTTCCTCAGTTGAAGAATTTGTTTATCCAACGATTCTCGTCGCAAGATTTGACGACATTGCTTCGAGTTCAAGATTGGAGGTCGAGCCTGGCCGGCGAAGACGTAGAAAGAAACTTGACGATCTACCTCTCCTATGCTCCTGGTAGACCGCGGAATTGGATTCAACGACACGTTAAACAGTTTCAAGACCCAAAAGCGCAGACATTAATCTGGTCAGAAGATAGCAAACTCCTCAGTCGTGGAGAACATCTTGCGAAGCAGTTTGTGGGACGAGTCCCACGTGCAATTGACAGATTCAAGGCGAGCTCTAAATCCGACTGACAAGCAGCCTAATTAATTGCTTTCCCAGGTTTCTGGAAGACCAAGCAAGCGGAAGGAAAAATGGTGTCAAGTAACTAACTCAACTGTTTTTCATTTCGGAAAATTTGACCCTTGAATCGTATTTATTTAGGACCCGTATCGCCTAAACGAATTCCTGACGCACCTCGAGAACTATGAAGTCAAGGACCCTAGATTATTAGAGGTCAGCAACTGAATCGGTCTGTCACGCTCGACCTTTTTATCTCATTTCCTCGCCCAACAGATGACGAGGCTCACCAAAATCATGGAAGCCGTCAAGGACACGCCGCTAGGTGCTATCCCTGGAGACGATGTCTATATGTTTCAGAGACGTGCCGACGAGATTGCAAAAAGATGGACATCCCTCGAAGAAGGCATTCAGGGACGACGATGGGCCTTGATGGAAGACGGAAGGACTGTTCGAATTACGGCTGGTCGACGAACAATCGACCTAGAATGAGTGAGTCGCTCTTGTATACCGGTGACCAAGAGCCAGCATGATGAAGCCGACTCAGCCAAGCCTTATTTACTTTTGTTGGGGTAGGTAGGACCACTCGCCTCAGTGTACAGTCGCCGAGAAGTTTCAAGCTGACATCCATCGTATGGCTAGATGCTTAACTCTCGTTTCCCGACTGATATAAAGGCACAATATGCATAAACTTGATACTAGAAGTAACCCTGAATTCTTCCACTGCGACAACTACTCCAATTTCACCTCCGCAACGATTCGAACTCCAATGGGGAAGATAGGTGGAATTGCGACACATCAGCTCCAGCATCCCTCACCTCCAGCAGGTCTCTGTCCAGGGGGACAATTCACGCTCGTCAAGCTGCCTCGCAGCATCCCCAGCATCCGGGACTCCCACCTGGTTTTTGTCCAGGAGGACAGACGGGTTCAACCTCCCTGCAGACGGCGAGACACACTGGGATCTCGGTTGGCTTCGGCTTCGGCGTGATCGGTATAATCGTCGTAATAGCGACACAGCAACCCCAGCACCCTTCGGATCCCGTGGCGATTTGCCCAACGGGGCAAATAGGTTTAACGGGACGGCAGACAGCAGCACATACGTCAGGAGGACGAATAGGCTGGCAGCATCCCCAACACCCCTCAGATCCCGTGGGTGCTTCGTTCACAGGGCAAATCGGCTTCGTGGGTCTGCATACCGCCAAACAAGGTCGCGGAGAGAGTTGGGGGCTTGGAACAGCTTGGACGACTACGAGAGCGCTGAGAGAGACAACGACGATTGAGAAAAGGGCTTTCATTTTGAAATTGTCCTTGTCTATTTGTCAGAAGTCAGTTGAAAGGTCATTTCTCAGAGAAGAGTGTCGTGTGGGTCTCACCTTCGAGTAAAGAAGAAGCTTGACGGCTCGGAAGCAAACGCGATACCGTTCAAGACACTAAAAGTAAATTAAAATGGATTCGAATATTGGGAAGGCAATAAAGACTGGAATACTCACCGGAAATTGAGTAAGGCTCCTTTGGAGAAGGAGCGCCTCCATCCTGGAGTCCCTTTATACCGTTCGGATTCCTACCAGTCTCGCCCTAGCCCTTGAAACTTGCCAAGCGAGTTGTAATAAAATGAGGCCACGTACACAGATTATTATCTGCTTGTCGCTCTGGCCTTTGCGAAAATCAAGTCATGGGTGATCAGCTAGTACGGCACGGAGCGCTCGTCGGAACTCGCTGAGAGCCAGAAATGGGCCAGTCGCCAATTGTTTCGTCGCCAAGCCGAAATGGAGCAGGGTTTTTCCCGTACACATCTTGACTGGCATCATTGAAGGCCTTTCAATAAGCTCCAAAGTCATTCTACGCCCTTCGACTATTGGAGTCTTCTTGACTGTCGTCCCTTGATTCGTATCTGCTCCTATGCATGGCTTTCCCCTGATCTGCTGTGAGCACTAAAGCATAATGTCAGCGCTCGTGTCCAACAAAAGGGAAACCCGACCGAAATAAATGGTTCACGTTCCCATTGTCTGGAGTGCGTCAACTGAAAGGGACAAAGCACCGTGGGCTGGGGTCCTTCCACTGGGTCCCGGCCGTCGAATCTCCATGACATTTAATCGACACCTGGTCAGTATTCATTGCGTAAAACTTTCACCCGGAGCTCACTCTTGACCTCCTTTGGAGGTGAGTACAATCAAAATCAAATTTCCTGCATTGACTGGGCCATCAAATTCGGCTGGGCAATGTAGGGATCCCTGCAAAAGTTATCCCGAGATGTCTACGGAACGACAGGAGGAAATGAGTTTCTGAGGTGTCTGACATAATGAGAGCTGGAATAGTCGATGAACGAGCGGGGCTTCTGGTCATCGGCTTCGTGGACTGTTCAAAGTTGCGACTAGTCTATGAGAAGAACATGAGCGAAGCACCAAAAGGTTAAGTGCACCTTAAATGCACCGTACCTGTTGCACGCAAATCTTCGAGGACTTCTTCGTGCCAGCTGCCGATAGTCTGAGAAACGACAAGTCGACCTCAGGCACCTAGACTTGCGAAGAGCACCCTATAACATCCAAGTGCAAACATAAGGCCGAAGAGGTTCCGCTAAAAATCAACTTGGAAATCGGCACATTGAGTCTCCAAATTGGTCAAACCTCGGAGAGTCGAGTCCAACTTGACAAAGATCGCAATTTGACGGCATAGTATCGGATTGCTCGTAAAGCATTCCAGAGGGATTCAAGGGTAGATTACAATGGATCATCCACGTACTTATCCGTATCACCCATGCAGAGCCTCAATTCCACACCTGTTGCGCATAAATCCCGAGAGCCTGGTTCGCCAGCACCGGGCTGTATGCCTGAACATCAGCAGTGGTATAGGTCTTCGTCTTCTGGACGGTGTTCAGAACGTGCAAGAACTGGGTCTCGATGAAGTCGACAAAGACGAGGTCGATGAGCGTGTCATCCGAAACTGCCGGGGGTACACCTTCAGCACTTGATCAAAGGGACGGGCAACACAAACCTTACCCAAGCTTCCTTGACCATATCCTCGACCTTCTGAACAGTAGTATTCTTGTCGTTGCCGGTAAAACCGAACGGAACACCCAACGACGTGATTTTTCGACCTCTTCTCTCAGCGTCGGCAGAGCCCAGCCCAAATGATAGAGACACTCACTTCCTGGTCCTAATTTAGCAAAGCGACCTGCAAGTCATCTTATCAGGTAGAGGTCTTAGATATATGGTTGCCCACAGGCACTTCCAACAGGAACGCTGACGGCTTGGCCTTGGTCATTCACGACTGTGATGCTCGTTCGAGGACAAATATCTTCCACGGAGGCTCGGAGTGAAATTTTGATGCCAAGACATGACCCAGTAAGATGTGAGATGGTTGGCAATTAACCTACAGAATGGTTCCTGACATGTCAAGTGTGTTAGCATAGATGTGCAACTCGTGGGTTTGGTTAACGGTCAATAAGAGCGGCCCCAAGGAGCTGCGAAACAGACTTACTTTCCAATAGCCATCTCATCGTACGGCAGCATTTTAATGAATTGGTCGCCCTAGACGAGGATAGCTCGACAACCAGAAACACAGAGATTCAGGTTGAATGCAAACTTCATGCGTGTCGATTCCTCCCGCAGCGAAACCGTCAGTTAGCCCAGTTCCTGAGAAATCATCAGAACATATAACACTGGAGTTAAGTGAAAGACGCACCATCATGGAGGGCATTAGAGTCGACCAACAGGAGGTCCACGTCGCATTCCTATCGCACGTAATTGGTTCGCCATTCGCCCGAACGTCACAGAAAGGGGCAATCTCCTTCATATGAGCCACAAACGACGCGAAATCTCCGAAGTCTCTACCCCATCTGCACGCATCACTCTGAGGTGTCCTGAAGGGCGGTGGCCGAAAAATAACCAAAACGCCTAAATGCGAAAGGCCGACATAACAGAGAAGCAGAGTAGATTCTAGTTTCTCTGACCTGGGCGACCTAGTAGAGGAATGGTTACGGTCATAGCCGGTCAGCGTGCGAAATATCTGTCGGTCCGGTCCGGCATCCAGTTTTGTCCTCACTCCCGACTCCCAACTGGTTGCAAAAGAGGGCGAGATCACAGCACAGCAGAACGACATTTATGGGTCTCTCCCAGTGCTTATGACCTTGAAGATATTTTTTCGCCCAACGTCGATCATGAGCCATGGGCATCAGGGAACTCCGAGTCAGGTCGTTTCCTGCCAGTGTGAGCCAACATGTATCGTAGCGATCTCCTTAGGGGAGATCTTCGTCAGCGGATACACCAGATGAAAATGTTCTTCACAGGCCTACTCATAAACCAATCATAGTGCCAGATATGGATTGCTACGGGCTTTGAGAGGCCGCGAGAGCTCGCTATCCGATTGTGGTTTGATATACGGTGTTTCTTCTTGGGGATTTGAGCCTCACGGTCCTCCTGAGACGGAAGACTCAAACACAGCAACCTGAGTCTTCTATCACTACCAAAATGGGTTCCGCAGCTCGCTGAGTTTTGATTGATCCGCTTTGACCACCTCGCCTCGTGTTCAGTCGTGCTGTGTAATGCATCCGAGAACAGCACGAATTCCATGTACAGGGCTTCATTTCAATTGGTGCCTCCATAGAAAGAGTGTTTATGGGAGGGGATCTCAATAAGTTATAACTTTATTCCATCCCCCTTTTACTAGCTACAGTGTCCTCAAATAAACTCCTGTTGTGAACGAGCCCCCCACCTGTTCAATTGTGTTTGCCAGAGCTAATGGCGATTCTGGAGACTCCTCGACATAAGGAGTAAACGATGAAATTTTGGACGAGAAGCGTTCTTCTCAGGGCGAATACTTATGAGGAACATCTCACCGCTGTGCAACTCGGGTTGCATGAGTACCTAGGCCGGTGTTCACATGGCCACGGGCGCTGGCTGGGCACTGATTGACGCATGATGTCGCAATCATCCAGCTCTCTCAGGAGTGATAATAATTCCCCCCATGCCAGCATGACTGACAGAAGCTCCGTTAGTGGGTCCACTTCGACGAATAAGGCAACCATAACCATAACGGGAATGACCGCGCTGTGTTGTTTGGCCACCTGCTCATTTGCTGTTAGGTTTTGAACAAATCATCTACAGCAGTAGCAGGATCTATTCTGTAGCCCAGCTATGTATAAATAATGGGTCGTCTTCACTCAGCCCCTCAGAGTCCCACTCGCAGTTTTCCTTGCAACAAACATGTCTTCTGCATTCTTCCACCCCCCGCCTGGCGCGTGTTGGAATCTAAACGCGCTCAGTGTGTGAAGGGACAACTGAGGTACGGAAAAGGGCGAAAGGAGTTTAAATACAGGTATGTGAATACATGGACAAACAGAGAGAAGGAGGAGTGGGTGGCGCGCATCGAGTTGACTGTATAACCTCAACACGCCCCCTCAACGAGGTGCGAGACCAAGGCGTTCGACATGAGATTGAAAAATGACACGGGAGAGGGGTTTGGTGAAGATGTCCGCAGTGTTAATGGCGCCGGGGGTGAACGCGATGGTGAATGACTGGTTGTCGACGTGAGAGCGAATGAAATGGTAGCAAATGTCGATGTGCTTAGCCCGGCTGTGATCCGAGTCGTTCTCTGAGAGTGATCGGGCACCGTGATTGTCGGTGGCGATAACGAGAGGGCTTGGGCAGTGGAGGTGGAGAGTGAGGAGTGACTGCCGGATCCAGATGCCTTCTTGGACTGCCCGGGTGAGCGCAATGTACTCAGCTTCCGTGGTGGAGAGGGCAATGCAGGTTTGCTTCTTTGCAGACCAGCTGATGGGGCTGCCAGCGAGGGACCATACAAAGCCCGACGTGGAAGCACGGTTGGTTCCTTTTTCCCCCGCCCAGTCCGCATCGGAGAGGCCCGCAATTGGCACGGCCTGCTGAGCCCCACCATAATGGAGGCGGTGGGTGCGAGTGCCCTTGAGGTAGCGCAGGACACGTCGGGCAGCAGCAAAGTGACGCGGTAGCAGGGACGAGCAGTGCTGAGAGAGGAGGAGGACAGCAAAGGATATGTCGGGCCGTGAGCAGGATTGGAGGAAAAGGAGGGATCCAACGAGGCGTTGATATGAACGCACCAGGTCAGGCACATCGAGAGGGACATCCGATTCGTGACCCAGCGGATGAACAGGGTCGAGAGGCGTAGATACCGGGTTGCAGTCGGTGAGGCCATATTCGGCAAGAAGCACATCCGTGTATGCCTCTTGGTGGATCCAGAGCTCACACGTCTGAAGGTCGCGCTCGAACTGCACACCAAGAAACATGGTGACAGGCCCAAGGTCCTTGATGCCAAAAGCCTTGCCGATCTCCCCTTTTATGAAGGTCAGGAAGGGGGTGAAGTTGCAGCCAGACAATCCATCATCAACATGCATGGCGAGGAGACAGTGAACGTCGGTGTTGGACCAGACCCTCTTGAACACAAACAGGGCGTGGTCAAACTCTGAGCGGACAAAACCGAGAGCTTCGAGGACCTTCCGGAGGAGTTTGTACCAGATCAGGCTCGCTTGCTTGAGACCATAGAGGGATTTGAGGAGCCGCCACACAGCGCCGGCAATGGAGGGGATGTAGCCGTCAGGGCAGCGCATGAAGATGAGACGTGACAGGTCGCCCCAGAGGAAAGCCCGGGTGGCATCGAAACATTCAAGGTCCCACCCCAGCAGTGCAGAGTACACGGCTACGAACCTGATGCTGACAGCTTTGGCGACTGGGGCAAAAGTGGCGTCGTAGTCGACAAATGGGACCTGCGAGAATCCCTGGGCAACACATCGAGCCTTGTAGATTTTGTCACCCCCCTCACCAACCTTGAATTGTGGACCCAGCAGCAACCAATCGCTTTGCGGCCCTCTGGCAGCATTTCCTCCACATAGACCCCCATGGACTTCAGCATGTCCAGCTCCTTCTGCTCAACCCGCCGCCACTCGTCTGCATCAGGACGTAACATAGCCTCGCGGTGATTTGCGGGAGGAATTGACATGTCATAGGAGGCCACACGAGGATCACGGCGAACGTCGCTGCGAATGGAGAGGAAGACGGCCTCATAACGTGCGTCGATGTCACGCTGAAGATAGTCTTCAACGTCCAGAGATGCAGTGGTGACAGTGTCAGACTCCAACAGTGTGTCAAAGAGGCCATCACGACAAAGGCATGTGAAGTCGCTGTCAACATCATCCCCTGGCCCTGCCTCCTGCAGCCCGTCAGCCTCCCTCTCCACTCGAATCCTCTCATCCCTCCATGCAGAAGCTGCCTCTCAGACTTTAAGCAGGTGAACACGGGCAGCCTCCATTTGATCTGCGTACGCCTTTCCCACCTTTGTTAACGTCCGCACATGCACTGGCTGGTCCGAGACAGAAGAGTGAGTAGGTGTGGGTGGGGGCACAGGGGCAGGAAGAGAGGGAGCTATGGGCGTGGATGGTTGTGGCGCATTGTCCGGGTTATGTTCACATTCAGGCGGGGAAGCAATATTGTCCAGGACGGAAGAAGGGAAAGGGAGGGAGGAGTAGTCCATCGGCGTTGAGGGAACTTCGTGCAGAGCGTGATACGGGATGTTCTCGTCAAAAATGACACTGCCTGAGGAGAAGAAATGATGAGTTTGTAGGTCCCGAACGCGATACCCTCGTTGCGAAGGTGGGTAGCCCATGAACAGGCATTCCCTCGACTTGGGTCCCAGCTTCTTCTGCATCTCGGCAGGGACTTGAGCAAAGCATCGAACACCCCAGACACGGAGATGACTGACGTCGGGTCGATGCCCATGGAACATCTCGAAGGGCGTAATGCCAGAGGGAAGAGTGGAAGTGATGGTGAGGTTGTGAAGGTAGCCGGCGGTGAGTGCCGCCTCGCCCCAGTAGGTCATCGAGAGCTGCGCGGCGGTCAGCATGGCAAGGACACATCCCTGTAGGGTGCAAATGACACGTTCAGCCTTCCCATTCTTCCAGTGCTCATACGGTGGTGTGATGTCACGCTCGATCCCCCTCTCCTGCAGCTGCTGGACAAACTTCTGATCCTTTCCCTCTAGCTCTCTGCCCCCATCGCACCGGAATCGCCCAACCTTCAAACCCAACTTGTTCTCCCACTTCGCCTGAACCAGTAACCACGCATCGAATGCTTGATCCTTAGTCGCGAGAAGCTGAACATTGACAACGTTTGAGAAATCATCAAGGAATATGATGAAGTATCGCTTTCCGTGTGGAGTTTCAACGGGGAAGGGGCCGCATAGGTCGCAGTGAATTAGCTCAAGGAGCTTCGTGGTTTTGGGGCCAACAGATGATGGTGCTGGAGATCGAGCGTGCTTTCCGATGATACATGGTTCGCATTTGGAGAGGGCATTGGTGGGTGAGAACGAGACGCTGGTAGTGGATTTGAGGAGACTCCGCGTTGCCCCCTCGCCTGCATGACCGAGGCGGTGATGCCAGAGGTCCAAGGTGACAGCGACGGGGCTGAAGCAAGCCACGTCAGGCATGGGTTTGGGAATCCCGTTGCTGATGGGTGTGGGAGGCCAGAGAAATTCGACATCGATGACAAAGATGTTCCCAACCATGGGGCCCTGACCGAGTGTCACGCCCCCTTTCGAAATGACCACTTTTTTGTCAGCAAAGAAGCAGCCAATGCCTTTGGAGACAAAGCGGCCGACAGACAGCAAGTTAACACAGGTGTCTGGGGCATGGAGGCAGTCACGGAGCTTCAGCACAGTCGACTTTGCATTGAACGTGAGACGTGCTAGGCAGTCGCCCGCCGCCCGCATATGGAGAGTCCCATGGTTCACCGTTTTCACATGCGTGCTTTGTCAGGGCGGTAGCTCCAAAAAAGTTCTCGGGCGCAGATGAGGTGAGATGAGGCACCGCTGTCGAGGAGCGTTGTCCAATTATGCTCAACAAAAAGAGCGAGGTCTGCAAGGGAAGGGGCATCCGAGTCAATAGACGCGCACGAGAGATCTCCGATGAAGCACATGGACTCCGCAGGGAGAAGGAGGAGTGGGTGGCGCGCATCGAGTTGACTGTATAACCTCAACAGCGCGAATGTCACCAGGGAGCCACCCAGGATTACAGCAATTGATTATTTCAAGGTCGTAACTCCCTCTTCTGGTAGGCTCTTAGTATGTCCTACTTTCCATCGAGATACCATGTGTTTTCTTACTATGCATTGATGCTGTGTTCTAGAACATGCCTCCCAACACTATTTACCCTCAGGACTATGATAATTTTTGGTGAAGTGTCAAAACTACTGCTGATCCACACAATGTCATAACCTTTCGTAAGGTTGCGCTGATGTGGGAGGAGTTGCTAGCACGCTACCCTGATGAGCCATATTTAATGTTCAGGGTTGCCAACGTGCGCTCCAAGCTTCGGTCCTATGTCATGGTGTTAGAGTTATTTGAGAAGGTGCACCTCATCTCTGACTATAAACTCTGTGTTCTGATACACGTGTTTTCTTTTTTCTTACTGCAGGTTCAGGCTTCACTGCAACAATATTTCAGAGGACTGGATGCCAATTTGTGCCAGTTTTTGGACACATATCGCATTACAGTGACTAAGGACATCAACGAGCATCGTAAGTCGATACTCAACTATATCTTCTTGAGATTTCTTATCCCAACATCAACGCTCCTAGTTTATATTGGCACACAGGAATACCAGAGGGCCAATCACTTTACCCAAGTTTATGAGCATGCTCAAAAAGCTTCTCACCTGGCCCCACACATGTGTCCCAAATTTCCAGACAGGGCAGAAAACGTCGCCACCAAATGGAACTTTCTTAAATGTCAATCTGCTAGGTTGACAGAGGAATACCTGAGGCTCTTGACGATCGAGTCTAATCACTTTGAAAATACATTCACGCTTACTCGGGAGGTCAGGACACCGATGTCTGCATCTCCTAATTTTGTAATTTTCTGATGGGCTTTCTTTTCCATGATCACAGAGTACAAAGGAGCTTGTTCGCTTAGGGTTTTTTGAAGGCACTAACGTCAATTTCACGACCACAAGCACTCTACAGGATAAAAACATCATTCTCGATATCCTCAAGGATACAAATCAGGTGTTTATCCTTCCTTCTGGTCTTCTGCCAGAGGTACTTAAAATCACTTCCTTCAGGCCCATCATCGGTTCTATGAATTATTCATTCACCCCGTGACTGATGAGGACAGCTACAAAGGATTAACTCGTGCCAGTATTTGCGAACTCCATGCCCTTATGATGAAGAACTTGACAATTTTACCGGAGCTAGACAGATCGCCCCAGAGGTGCCTTTGCCTCAAGTACATCAATCCAGGAATCACAAGGACGAAGTCTCAGAAGACCGTTGCGATCTATACAGGGAGCTACAAGGTTGATTCTGCTTGTTCACTGAAGTCGACGCAGAATTGGATTGGATCTGCAATCAAGCGAGAGTAGGTGCCAGCTTTGTTCCTTGGTCTCCAGATCAACTCATAGTAAAACACCCAGCAATACAGAGTAAGATTCGCAAGATATCCATTTGCGGTTGCAGCCTGGCTTCAGATCCTCCTCGTAACACTTCACCCTTTTCAGGTAAGTCAAAGCATACTCTCATCAGATGACTGCATGTTGATACTCGATGTGCAGGACGGAAATGGCCGGCTCACTAGGATGATCAGCTCCATCCCATTGATCAGGGCTGGATATCCCCCTATTTCTATATTGCCTGCACAACGTGAAGAGTACTACCAATGTCTTCGAGAGGTACATGCAGCTTTGCGAATCCATTATTGGGTCAAACTATACTTACATTGTTATGTTCCTCATGCGTAGGCGCGAAGCAGCTTCCCAGGGGTTAGGAGCACAACCTTGGAATGTATGATAGTATGCATCCTGAAGGGCATGCAGGAGATGATTGAGAAGCTCAAGGCATTGAAGGCACACTAGCCCAGTTTCCAAAAGAATGGAAGGAATAGATAAACGTGTCGCCGTCTTTGATATTTCCTAATGACGTAGCGAGATGTCTTCGAGGCAGAATTGACGGCGTGTATTGTAAGTGGAAGAGTGTCGGTCAGGATTCGTGTTTTGTAAATGAGCCAGTCCTGACGTTATGCCATCCCTAAACACTTGGAGGATTTGTGAGTAGTCGAAGTGGAGGCGAACCTGCGATGGTGGCTAGATCAGCAAAGTTAGTGAAGAGCATACGGGGCCCAATATACCTTTGAGATGGCGGAAAAGTATTCTTCTTTCAGGTGGTTGGGATGCATATCGGAGGAAGCCCTGCTTGCAATAGGGGAATTGACACAATAAGCTGTGCTAATCACCCGTTGCCATCCTGGATAGAATCAACCGAGAAGCCCGAGTGGCTATTCATCAATGTACTGTGAAAGGGTGACATGTTATCAGCACCATGTGCAGCCAAGCTGCTTGAGCGAAAGGTCGACTGTGATGCAATTCTTCATATCTCTGCAATTCTGGTAAGATAGGCGGTGGGTTGTTCAAATTGTGCAGTTACATGATATAAATTGATGAGGAGGTCGAGCTCCTCATCCACCTTTTCGAATGGGCAAAATTGGACAATGGAACCTCCACAGCCTTGGATATATACATTTGTTTTGCTACTGCTTCGGGAGACGCTGCCTGGATGATATTGCAGAGATTGTGAAAAGGACGAGGTTTGAGTGAGGAGACAACCGGAGGTAGTCAATACGAGCTGATGGACATCCAGCACCATCTTTCGGTCAATGCGTGATGAATCACAATTATTGAGATCATTGATAAAAGCAAAAGCCTGAAGCCTCGTGAACAAAAGGTTGGAAAAATGAAATCGCTAGAAGAAGGGAAATACCTTCATGGTATCGGCCAAAACATCTGCAATTTCGAGGACGTCTTGAGTAGCACTATCAAAGGATATTTGGGTGATTTCGTCGGGTTCGATACTATTGAGATTTACGAGGCACTCTATAACCTAACCATGGAGTATAAAGGTTCAGCAACATGGAACGATGGAATGATAAGATGGGATAACACCTCAGCAGGGAGCTTGAACACTCCTTCCATAATGTTTGTCTGCAAGGATGAGAAAATCTCATATCTTCGCCTTGTCTCAGGAGATGCTGAGGACCACAGAGAGAAATCGTTGTATATCAGGGCAGGTTCTAGTTCAGTCGGAAAGTCCATGGATCGCACAGAAGTCCAAGGCTCTGAAGGCTTCATCAGCGACCAAGCCTTTGCTAAAATCTACAAGTCAGTAGTAGCTAGATAAATACCCTACAAGACCTACAATTTTCTTCCCTTCTCACCTCACATTGACAGGTAAACTCGAGGACGAACTTATGGAATTCGGGATCGCCCGGAGGTGAAACAAGATGGAGAGCCTGTGTTAATCAGTGATAATAGCTTCAAGAAAGATGGGGGCAGGACGTACTTCTGTATAGAGCTGCAACACCCCTTCAAGATCACCTCCGCGTGCCCGACCATCTGCAACCAGGATGAGAACAGGGGTGCAGCGATATTTCGGTAAGAAAGTGGCTTCCCAGAACTGCAGCATTCCTCCGTATTGATCTGGTGGCGCCTGTATGCTATTCATAAGAGCGATACGATCCATATCTTCCATATTCGCAGGAAGTAAGGCCTGTCAGAAATGTTAACTCATTAGTTCGGTCTCAGAACCTAATATTGTTGAACTCACGCATGGCCCATTTGGTGCATAAGCAGCAGAGACAGTTCTGATAAGGGTTTCAAACATATACTTTAAATGAAAGAAAATCCCAAGTGTCCTGGCTGTGCAAGTGAGTAGGGAGTGCAACGTGAGTTGAAGAAAGGTTAGTTCTGGCAGGCTATACTTAATTGGCAATGATGCCATCATCTGTCCCATATGACGGTCCATTCAGGACAAAAATCATGGATTGATTTTTTTTGAGCTCGGCTAGAGTACTTCGGGCAAGACCTGTGAGAATCTGCCAGAATGGGTAAGAATCCTCACATTTCTGGCTGATTGTGGCTGATTCTGTGAGAATCTGTCAGAAAAGAGAGGTACTTTTTTGCTCGGCTTCGTAAAGAATCGCGCAGAGTGCAGATGCGGGCATAATCATTACGTTTCTTATAGACTCGTACCCCCATCTTGCAATGCAATGCATTTATCATTCTCATAGATTCTGCCAGATTCTGCCTACAAGGTTTGCACTTTTTTCGGTGGATAGCATTGTTTTTCCTTTTCTTCAGCTGTATTCTGACAGATTCAGCCCGAAGCGTGACCATGCACATGTACATGATCTTTACGTGTCACCGCCATGTTTGGGTGATCGCACTGTCATCAAATTGAAAGTCTGGCATCCATCATTATAGAAAAGTTCCCAGCCATATCATCTTCCCCCAAAAAAAGAAAAAAGGACAAAGTCAGTCTTTGTGAGTGAGCCTCTCAGACTCTCTCATTGACTGAGGGGTTACTCGAGGAAGATTGAACCCCTACTTCTCCCTGGGTTCATTTCTCCCAAACCACTTGGTTTCTGGGCTTTTAGATGTAATCTCCATGTCAAAATTTATTTCGAGTCAATACACGGTCTGGCTGTCAAACTAGGCGCTCTTGACTGCAGCGCTCATTCAGCGCCTATTCGTGGGAACTTTGAGCTCTTCACGTCTTTGCTGCCTATAAATATGATCAGAAGGTGAAGAGAGCGGCAGCCAGATCATCAATTCGCCAGTTGAATGTCTGCTCAGGGGAACCATAGGAGACGGGATTACAGTTGGAATAGAGAGCAGGACAACAGGCAGGTACACCTGCTCCTCATGTTGTAGTGGCTGTCGGGCCCTCAGACAGACCTGAGGTGGAGAACAAGATAAGGCGGGCCAATGGTTTCAATCAAATATGACAAAGGAGATGTACATAGACTCGCATGAACAGTATAGTTGTGCCCTTCTGGCAGATTCCTATCTGAAGAAGAAAAGAGCAGTCATAATACCCGAAATTAAAGCAAAGCGTTCACCACGATTCTGACAGAATTTACCAGAATCCTCTCACATGCACTTAAATTCAGATTTTGAGAAACAGTGTGTTTTACTTTTTTTCATTCAGAATTGCTAGGAATCTGACTGCACTGCGAGAAATGAAAAGATTTGCTCTGCAAGATTCTGCTGGATTCTGCCAGAAACGGACTGAATCTCATTGAATCTTCCTTCACGGACGTGATTTGTTTCGTGAGTAGGAGAATTCGTCTTAATTAGTGGAGATTCTTACGGAATCAGACAGAATCAGACAGAATCCTTGTGATTCATGAAGAATTTCAGGTAGAAAAATCAATCCATGTATTTTTGTCCAGTATGGCGCTCCATAGTCCATGCAGCGCCATACTGGACAAAAATACATATTTACATTTTTTCCTCATAAGTCCCTCTCCAATCTGTCAGATTCAGGCGGAATCCGTCCAATACGGTCCCAATCCGCAGGAAACACACCGATTAGACCCGCTTCGTTCGCCACTCAAAAAAAAAATCAAAACCCCTCCCGATCTGCAACACATCGCCCTGATTCTGACCGATTCCGACCGATTCCGACCAAAACCATAATTTTTTTTAAGATCGCAAGGTCCCAAACGGTCGGATTCGGGACGAATCTGACCACACACGAGGGGAAAAAAATCACTAGATGTTTCTTAAAAAAAGAATTGAGGAGGAATCCGTACAGTCATCCACCATCATTTGATACACTGAAATTTAAATTTGATCCCAGAACTCAACCAGCCCATGGATTCTCATAAAACCACTTGGAATCAGTGTAATAGAGCCATTAAAATAAATTTATACCAGTTGTATGCCATAAAATCAACCAAACGTGAGCAGAAACAGCCAGAGATGCTGTACCAGTGACTGGTGTGACAAAATCAACCAAAATGAATATTTTGGTGATATTATTACCGGGCATTGACTTCACCAGAACCCACAAAATTTTATACACAATGTATTAAAGACTTATAGAGAATGGGGTTATTTTTTCAAAGCAAACAGTTGAATCCTTCATGGTGTTCCGAGGTGTATCATTAGCCGGTGGTGTCTCATTGGCCGGTGGATGACTGTACGAATTGTCCCGAATTGTCCCGCGCGGCCAGATTCCTCCCATATCGGAACGATGGGTCATAAGAAAAGGGAGGGTCGATCTGGCCGAATCGAGCAGAGACGGTGCGAAGATGGCGGATCCGGGAGGATAGCGTCGGTCTCGGGACGAAACTGGCAGATTTGGTCAGATTTGGTCAGGCTCTGGCCTAAATTAGGGTTTCTCATAAAAAAAACTTCAATCGTGTATTTTCGTCCAGAACGGACCGTCATAATAGTCCCGCGCACTCACAGTTCGACCTTTGACCTCAACCACCATGTCTCCTTCGATTCAAACTGATGATGGTGTGCTGGTGAATATCGAAAACGTGCATCTAAAGGCAACCTCAAACTTACGATCTTTCCAGTTATCTCCACCTTCGGATTTGCCCTGGGATGTGAGACAGCTATCCGAGGCAGTAACTTTTTCGTACCCTGCCGACCGAGTTATATGTCTCGAAGAATTGGTCCGGCTCACTGGCAGACATCCTTTCTTTCTAACTCAGCTCGCCGACCTGTACGTCGCCATTGGAGCCTCTCCGTCGCTGGCGTATGGTCTCTATCGAGAGGTTTCGAGTATGCTGTGGCTTTCTTCTGCATCCTTGTCTTATCCGATCCTCCTAGGTTCAGCGCTCCTTTAAACCCGGGGAGATCTCCAAGATCGATTCGTTGTGTCATCAACTCCAAGGAGATTGCCAACACAATCAACTTGCCCAACGTATGTCTCGTCTTACTGGCCCTTGGGCTCATACTAATGTCCACAGAGGAGCGATGGAATGCAGGCAAAATATGGTTGGGGTGGAAAAGTGCTGGTGATTCAACCCTTCCATCCGAGAAAACCGAATACACTTCACTTCGGGACTGGTGGCGACAAACGACCCAAGATCAAGAACGCCTCAAGCGGACCTTCCGCGCGTTCATTCTCTACACTCATAGATCAGATGGGGTTTACCGTCTACATCCACAGGTAGTATTCTCTTCCATTGGCGAACCTTATCGGTAATTGACAATACATTCATTCTGATTAGACGATCGTTGACGCCATACGGCTGGGTCCGGTGGCCGCGACCTTTCGAAGAATTAATCCCAATGGTCAGGTCTCTTTCCCTCAGACGATCGAGCTCATATATCGAAATGCGATAGCAGTGAGTAAAATCGAGTGATTACCCACACTGCGTAGACTCACAATGTTCAGGCCTTTCAGATGGTCTGTGATCAAGCCAAAAGTGGAAAAGCGTTAACCAGAGATTGTCTTTGCGAAGTCCACCGCGTTGCTACAAAGACGAAACACTCGATTCAAACCCCTCGTCGAGATCGCCTACCATGTCCTAACTTCTGGGTTTCATTTTACCCTTCTGGCGTTACACGGACGCAGAGCGAGCGAAATTTGTATCAGATGACGGAACTTGGAAAAATCCAATACTGCCCCTTCCAGGATGTTGACAATGAATTGGATTGTATCCTGAAGAAATTCAACGAGGTGAGACCTGGCTTCTTTTTGTTGCTTACTTGCTGACAGCTCCCAGTCGCTTAACAGCGACCCTCTCTTGGTGGCTGCTTGGATGTACACACAGATGATGTCTATTGCCCCTTTTGAGGTCTTCCTTCTCTCCTTTTCACATCCTATCACACTTATAACATTTTGTCAGGGTGCCAATGAAGAGATTGCACGGTTTGTTGCATCTGTTCCTCTGCTAAGGGTCGGACTTCCTCCATTCATCGTATGCGATGACTCGCAGATGGACGCGGCTATAGATGCGGCAAGTCTATACGTACATCTCAATGCCTCGAGATTAGCTGACCTTTCTCGTTCAGAGTCGTGTGTCCGGGGATTGTCGTCCGGTGAAGGACATCCTTCTGAATGGTCTCCAGCATGCATGTGAGATGATCGACCACCTTGCCCCGGTTTTCAGCTTGCCAGGAGATTCGGAGATCGTGTTCGCGAATGCCGGGACAGTTTCCGCAGAAGACATCGTTCCAGGTGCACTGGATATTGAACTATAACTTTCATCTACATCGTTGGAGGTAGAGTCCAGTACTCGCTCGCCTTATTGGCTGTCTTGCGATAGGGTTTATCCGTCGAGTGTGCAGTGCCTTTCTCAAACGCACTTCTATCTTTGGTATGAACATCTTGTCCTATTTCCAACCTGAGACTCGAGAGGTTTGCGACGCATCATAGCCGTCGATTTTCTCTTGATGCGACATACGGCGCACGCCAGAGTAATGCCCCTGCATCGGGGCAAATTTCGATTAGAAGTCTTCGAGTTTATAGACATCGTATGCAACTTCCCCATACGGGTGGACCTATTATACGTCCTGTGTCAATCCAACAGATATTCAAATAATGATGAAATACACGCACGTCCTTTAACTTCATCCCCCCATCCCTGCTCGCCCTGGCCCTTGTCATTAACAACTAGCTCAACCTGATCCTCCTCCACGAGCCTAAGCTCTCAGGCAGTTTGAGATATGGTAAACAGGGTCGAGAACGTATTCGTGGGTCAGGAGCTGCTCTCGCTGAAAGATCTTTAGAACAAAACGTCTTTGAGAAGGATGCCTGAGCCGCGTCTGGCATCATTGATTAGCAACATAAAAGGTGGAATAGTCGACGAACGAGCTGGACGTTAGCTCGTCATCTTCGTGGGCTGTTTGAAGTTGCGACTGGTCTATCAGAAGAACATGGGCGAAGTACCAAAAGGTTAAATGAGTGCACCTTAACCGCGCAATTTTTCGAGGACTTCTTTGCATTAGCTGCCCGAATTCTAAGAAACGGTCAATCGACCCCAGGCACCTAGACTCGCGAAGAGCACTCTATAACATCCAAGTGCAAATTCCGGTAAAAATCATCTTGGAAATAGGGCGTCGAGAGTCTCGGAATCGATCAAACTTCGGAGGGTAGAGGAATCAAACAGCCTTGACAAAGATCGCGGTTTGACGGTGGTTTCGGATTCTTATAATGCTTTCCAGAGGGATTCAAGGGTAGATTACAATGGATCATCCACGTACTTATCCGTATCACCCATGCAGAGCCTCAATTCCACACCTGTTGCGCATAAATCCCGAGAGCCTGGTTCGCCAGCACCGGGCTGTATGCCTGGACATCAGCAGTGGTATAGGTCTTCGTCTTCTGGACGGTGTTCAGAACGTGCAAGAACTGGGTCTCGATGAAGTCGACAAAGACGAGGTCGATGGGTGTGTCGTCCGAGACTGCTGGGGGCACAGAGCCGATGAAGTCCGGGACGGAGTGGAATGGAAGAGGCACGTGTGATGTGTCGTCTCCAACACCAGGGCAAGCCTACGAAAGAGGTGTTAGTTGAAACGAAAGGCAGAAGATCATGTAGGACGGACATCGGTCGTAACGTATCCCAGTGTCAAATTACTTGCAGTACGCCTGTCAAACCCAGCATTCCTCAAATCCATCTCCTCCAACCACTTGCGGTAAACAGTATCAACATATCCACGACCATAAAGTTCCTCCTCCCTCTTGTTGAACAATGCCCTCCTCTCATTCGCACCACCATTGTTCAGAGTGGGCAGCACTTGTTTTGCAGAGACAAATGGGACGCCAGGTATGAAGAGGAAGGAGTCGGCGAATGGAGAGGCTGTCAGCTGGTCGTTCTTAGTGAATGGCCCAGCGTAGAGGTCGAAGCGTTGCGAGCCCGAGTTCGTGATCATGATACTGGGGATAGAAGATCGTGTGTTGTTGATAGCGAGGGCAACGGGCAGAGCCTATACATGGTAGGTCAGTCAATGTGGCTGCCCAGTTGAATAGAGTATCTGCATACATTTTCGATGAACAGGCTCAAAAGAGAGTTGTTAGAAGGATAGGGTGCTCTGAAAGAATGTGAGACTCGACTGTGTGGCAAGAACGTGCATATAATACACACTGAGTGGTGGTGAAGTCATGAGGAGCCGTTCCGAATAGGAAGGACAGATCGAACCTCTTCGCAAGGTTATTCAACCCTCTGGTGATATCGTTGCCCTCACGAGTGTCGAATTGCAAGTCCGTTCGCTTGCTAGTGAAAAGAAATAAGAGATTGGAGGTCATAGTAAGAGTGGAATTTCTGGTACCTCGAATGTGACGCGATTAGGATCTAAGTATCGTCGACTGAAGGTGGTGTTCGTTGTACTACCTTTCCTGTCAAGCTTCGCACTTTCGGAAGGATATCAACGACAATAAAGCAGAAATGGTGGAAGATCCTACTTAGCCAACCTGTTCGATCCAACCAATAAGATGTTTCTGTCGAAAATTGTAAGCGAAGAATATACCTATTGTCTCCATATATCGTCCGCTCTCCAATGACATGGAACGACCATCCAGTTGAACTAGAAAGACAACCCATCCCGTGTTTAAAAATAAAATGGGGCTAATAGGCAGATACGTACGACAGTCGCGAATGTGCGTATGACCTGAAGTGGCAATCAGTTTATTAGAGTGGAATCGAAATGCCGTGCAATCCTTACCTCCGAGGATAAGAATTGGCGTCGTTGGATGGACAGCTCGGATGGTATTGAAAACGAAGGGCCCTGGAGGGGAGTTTAAGCTTTGCTGTTTGAACTTTGATTCTCGTATACCACATACATTTGTCGCGAGCAACTGGCATGTGCCTGTGAAAAAGAGATGAATTAAACGAGCACGACGCGAAAGAACATGTCTAGGTACCCAACGAGCAGGAAGAAATCAGGTTCGTCCTTAATGGCATCGGCGAACTACGTCGAACATCGTAAACACTTAGCAGCAAAGATTGGTAATACAAGCCATACCCAAGCTTCTCTGACCATATCCTCGACCTTCTGAACAGTGGTATTCTTGTCGTAACCAGTAAAATCGAACAGAACACCCAACGAGGTAACTTTTCGACCTCTGCTCTCAATGTCAGCAGAGCTCAACCCCGAATGACAGAAAAACTCACTTCCTGGTCGTAAATTTAGCAAAGCGACCTGGAAATCACTTTATCAGGCGGAATTCTTAAATATATGGTCACCCACACGCACTTCCAACAGGAACGCTGACGACCTGGCCTTGGTCATTCACGACCGCGATGTTTGCGTTCGAGGACAAGTATCTTCCATGGAGGCTCGGGGCGAAATTCTGGTGCCTGCAAGGAATGCCCAAGTAAGCCATACGGTCGTTGTTGTAGAATGGTTCCTGACATGTCGAGTGTGTTCGCGTAGACATACAGCTCATGGCTTCGGTAATTGTCAACATCGGCGGGCCCGAGGGGATGTCAACTAGACTTACTTCCCAATGGCCATCACATCGTACGGCAGCCTTTTGAGGAATTGGTTGGACTGCATAGACTAGAAGAATGGAATATTGTAAGGAAAGCATACGTCGTGTGCATCGATTCCTCCAGGCGGGAAACCGTCACTTAGGCCAGTTCCTGAGAAATCGTCGGAACATAGGATCTTGGAGATGGAAAGGGCATACCGTCGGGCAGATCGCCAGAATCCACCAGCAAGAGGTCCACATCGCGTTCCTGGTGCATACAATTGGCCTTCCCTTGTCTAAGTATCCCAAAAATGTGCATACATACAATGGCAATCTCCTTCATGTGCGATACGAACGACGCAAAATCTCCAAAGTCTCCGCTGCACAATTCGAACGCGACACGGAGATTTTTACATCAGCCTTCGCCTCTTACAGAAGGTGATCACAGAAGAAATGGGAATAAGCACCTGTAATTGGGTTCAGGGAACGACTTCTTCTGGTGCCCGAGTAGCCAGCCATGGGTGTCGGTGGTGTGGATGATGTTGATGTCACCCCACTCCAAAGGACGCGACGGTGGGGTTAACGGCGCTGAAGGGACTGCTCTACTGATGATCGAATGGTCATGGTCGTGGTCATCGGCACAAGCAGAAACTGCTCTAAGGGTGCCGAGGAGCCCAAAGAGGTAGAGCAAGCTGGTCCTGACGAACATCGTGAGTGGAACGGACAAGCGAGGCGCCGTCGTCGAAGTCGGGAGCTGATGGTTTTATACCCCCCATGCTTATCTGAATTCAAACTGGCACGCGAAGACGAGGATAAAAATAGATGAATGAAAATATAGATTGCTCAAAGCCATATGGCTGGGGCATCTTGACTGCTGACTTGGATATCGCTTGTGGCGGAATATCTGTCAAGGAGGGCGATCCAACAAGAGTGTGGTTGCACACGTTGGCGGAACTTTGGGTGGAGAAGCGGAAGGATATGGGACGACTGAAAGCCTGAACGTTGTTAGTGTACACCTGTAGATACATCTGTTACAAGTTAACCAACAAGCGAAGGCATCGGGGAATGGGCATGTACCGTGCATATATCCGGCCTTTGAAGAGGCTTCCTCTCAGAAATCTTCCAGTTTATAAACATCGTACCCGACCTCTTCATACGGGTGCACCTGGATGTCAATCTCGTCAGAACTTCCGCTTCTCATGAACAATTTCATGAACGCACGTTCTTCAACTCCTTCACCGCATCCCGGACCTGCTCACGCTGGCCCTTGTCATTCACGAGCAGTTCAACCCGATCTTCCTCCACGAACTCCAGTTCTCCGACCTTCCCAAGATTAGGGTTGGCGCCGCTGAGCGGTCGGAACTGTCCTATACGCGTGTAGCAAGCATAGCAGGCAGATCAATATACAGTAGACGGTGTCGAAGGCGGATCCGTAGGTCTATTTAGCAGATGGCGGGGATAGATAGCGCAAGGAGTCGGGCTAACCGGTTCCGCGCGAGATGAAGGCGACTTGGTCGTAGTTCCCTATCTTTCCGAGCTCTTGGGGGTATTTGGAGAACAAGTGGTTCAGAACGCGCTGTGTGCTGTCTTTTGGGACGAAAAATACGAGTTTGTAACGTTGCAAGGACATGATGACGGCCTAACTGAAGCCTTGCAATCCAAACTCCGACAACTCTTATTACACTGTACTCTACACGTCCCTCCATCTCTCGACGTGTCTAAGGTATGTTCTCGCTGTTCGCCCTCCTTTTTGTCCTATCATCACAGCTCTAACGTATATTCCATTTGTTTGCAGATGAATTTGTCGCTATACAGCGTCCAGGCGTTCGTAGTGCTCGATACCGAGGGCAACCGCGTCCTCGCCAAGTACTACCGCCCAAAAAGCCATCCACAGGGCGAGTCCAAGGAGATGCTCTCGCTGAAGGAGCAAAAGACGTTCGAGAAGGGGCTATGGCAGAAGACGAAAAAGGCGGGAGGTACGTCTCTTCCACACCCTATATCCTCCTGATATTTTCTGACCGATATATGCTTTACGTTCATGGCATGACCGTTCAGGCGACATCATCCTATACGACCACCACCTCGTTGTGTACAAGCACTCGCTCGACCTGATCCTGTACTTCATCGCCGGCTCGACGGAGAACGAGATAATGCTCTATTCCGCGCTCACCTCGCTAACGGACGCGCTGACGATGCTCCTGCGGAACTCACTCGAGAAGCGCGGGGTGCTGGAGAACCTCGACCTGGTGCTGCTTTGCCTGGATGAGACGATTGACGACGGGTGCGTGCTGGCTCTGTCATTCTTCCTTCACCCTTACTGACAAGGACATGCCTGGTGTGTTGTGTGTTGGTGTAGGATCATCGTCGACACCGACGCCGCTGCCATCGCCTCCCGGGTGAGCCGACCACGGCCAGACACGACGGAGATCGTCATCAACGAACAGACCATCATGAACGCGTACCAGACAGTGAAGGAGAAGATGCAGCAAAGAATAGGGCAGCTATGAATCACTTCTCCCCCTTCCGTTTTTCTGCTCGTGTACTTACTCGGTGTATAATCATTCCCGCCACCGTTGACGAGGATCCTAGAGCACCCTGGTGTGATGGAAGTAGTTCTCAGTTCAATCTTCAGTCTTCAAGATGACGACAGCGAAATTGGTTGGTCCTGGATGGCCTCCGCCACGTTGCATTCTCTATCTCCTTTCCTCAACATCTACCACCAGCTTCTCCATCATAACCACGTTTTAAACGCAGGATCCACCATCCCCGCCACAGGCTTCTCACTCATCTATTGCCCTGAGGATCCTCTACCTCTTCCTATCGTCATCCTCGCTCCGATCTCTCACCGGAAGAATAAAAATATGCATCACAATCATGAGCAGACGAAAGACTAAGCAAAAAAGACTATATAGTACAGAAATCAGATGGGTACAGGACTGAGAAGAGAGGAGGCTAACAAGGCATATTCCTACAAGAAAGAGAGAGAGTACAGTGCTGCAAGATATGAGATAAACGGAAATGAGCGGAGTAGCGGTCATGAACGATAAAGAGAGAGTGATGACGAATGCGATGTGTGTTGAAACAACCGGAGATGAATCATGAAGACAACCTGACTCAAACTCAACCTAAACCCAGACCACTACAAGCTATATCCACCAGTAGGCGAAAGGTAGAGTTAGACTTCCGAGGCGTCCGCAGGGGCGTACACGAGATCTCCGAGGTTGTCGAGTTGATTGAGAGAATGATATGGGATGGAAGGGGATGTGGAAGAGGTGCGGGGCTTGGAACACCGGTGATGCTTGTGGTGGTCTTGGACGTAGGGTTACTACAGCAGGTTGCGGAGTAAGGGGCTGATAGAGGTGGAAGTCAGCATGAGAACGGATGAATAGAGATGAATGCAATGCGATGGGTAGCCATGGGGGTCCGATCGCAGGAGAATACTCTGCGGGGCAGGGTTTGAATAAGCCAACACCATCGTCATCGCCATCGTGGAAAGGAATGGATGGAGAGGGAGCAAGAAGGCAGAACAACAACGAAAGGCTCACAAATGCGAAGACGAAGACGAGCCAAATGCCCAGGACAATTCGTAACACTCACCTCGATTTGAGCGTCCTCAGATCTATCAGTCCCAAAAACTGCAGCAGGCCCACCGTCGACACCGCGAAGAACGACAGGGCGCTGAGCGAGATCGCTACCCGCGTCGTCCCTGATTGGTTGTGGGCGTCCTTGGCCCACACCTCCGAGTTGGAGAGCTCGGGGTGCTCGTAGATGTCGAACGCGGCTCGCATCATTGGTGATATTGCGGGTGTGTAAGGGTTGTTTGGCGGAGGGATTGAGGGTGGTGCAGTGCGGTTCGACGGGCCACGAATATGTAGTTGATTAAGAGGAAGACGGCAGTCGGCAAAGTGGGAGGGGGAGGGTCAAAGCGCTGGGCGGGACGGCCTAAATCGGACACCGGGTAGGCGTTGGTCGGTGCTACCCAGCAAGGTGAAACCGTCAACTTCGCGGATCGATCAGACCGTAGTGTAGGCCACTCACAACTCGCGTTTCCTCGTCACTGTCCTGAGGTCTTATACAACGGAGGATTCTCCAAGGCCCTGATCCTCGAAACGCCCCTTGTACTTATAGCGCGTTTCTGGAAAAGACTGCGTGCACAGTCAACCAACCAGGATCTTCTCAGGTTGCGTTGCGAAGGTGCGGCTGACGAGAACGGCTTGCAGAACAAGGTTACAAGGCAGCCGGGTGTCGATTCGTGGGTGGGCGATTGACCAAGTGATCGATATGACCGTGCGGGATGGGGGAAAACAGGAGATGACAATGAGGGGAACAGAAGGAAGGTGGAGGTCTAGACACACGCTTTAAGTATGTTTTGGGTGACTCCTGGCCTGCCTTGATGCAGAGATGCTTACACGCCGCCCGAAGGGTCAAGGAGATATGATATAAGTAACACAAAAGGACCAGGCGGACTCGGGTATTCGCTAGCGTCGCTGACGGTCCGCGTCGGAGGGATTCAGCTGTTCGCCGCGATGTGGTGGCCTCCAATCAGCTGTTTCGCCGAGCCGTGCGCGTCGGTGGTTGCCAGTCGTCCAAGGTGGCAGGAACTGACAAGCAGCCTTTTCTGTCAGGGTTTATATAGCAGGACGGAAGCAGGAGAACAAGCAGCAGGATTCGTCACTGTCAGTGACAAGACTGAGCATGCATACGCAGGGCCAGGTGACATTATCCACAGCTGATGACTACTCGGTGTGATCCGAGGAAGGGACAGACCTTGTCTCGCCCGGAGACCCTTGCCCCGGACAAAAGACGCTGAGGAGAGCAAGAGCCATGCACGATTGGGATGAAGAAAACGAGGCAAGCTAAAACGCATTTGATAGGCCGGTCGGTGTCTTTTCATCACCTCAGGTCACCGCGAGCTTGTCGGAAGGGAGGGTGGAGGACGTCAAGCTCAGGAAAGCCGGGCTAACTAGGGCATCACGCAAAGCGATTACATGGACTCGGGTTATGGCTACAGTACGTAGTGGACAAAATCACAGATGAAGGGAGATAACGAGCAAGGAATGACATGCATACGGAAGGGAGAGGGGCGCCAAGGTATGTACAAACAACCAACAGTACAGTCGTGGATGATTCAAGAGGGAGAGTGTCGTGAGATCGATAGCTACTACGTACGAAAGATCAGTGGGTGTCCAGGCACTGAGCGACGGCTAGCGCCTAGAGAAAGAAATGAAGACGTGCATGTAAATCATGAAAGAAAAGAGTGGGAGATGCAGCAGAGGAGGGCGTTAAATACGACAGCGAGAGACAAGGAAGGATGGGAGGGGGAAAAAGTCCGAAGAGACGGAAGTATCAAAATGTCGTAAATTCATCGCCTTCTTATCCGATAGGAAAGAAACATTTACCCCGCCCCGCCCGTCGAACTCGGTCGAGAGAACCACCGGATTGACCGACCGGCGCCTACTGCCCAAAACACAAGCGACGAGCAAGAACACCGACAATCCCAATCAATCAGAGATAATCAGAACAAGCACACAAAGTTGCTCGGGAACACGTTCCGGCCCTTCTGCCTGCGTGCCTCATCGAGCAGCTCACCGCTCCACCAGCCGTCCTCTGGGGTGGCCGTCACCGCGATGATGTCCCCAGCTTGGAAGTCAAACTCCTCTTCGATGGTAGCGGTGTAGTCGTAGAGCGCCTTGACTGAAGAAACCAGATAAGGATTGTTAGCCCATGAAGGGAAGCAGGTGAAAGATAGACCAGAGCAGAGTAGAACAAAGACTTACCGTAGAATAATACCGTGCTTCCATCGTCCACCGTCTGCGGTGGTGGCTGAGGCGAAGGCGTCGCTCTGACCGGACTGGGGTCTCGATACTGTGGCTGCTGGTACCCCCTTTGCTGCTGTTGTTGCACCTGCCCTTGGCCTAATCTCTGCTGCTGTACAGGCTGCTGCAACAACTGTTGAGGCTGCGCCTGCATCTGCTGCTGTTGCGGCGGCGTCTGGTTCCCATAATACGATATCGTCGACCCGCCCCTCTGAAGGCCATTCACACTGCTGTACGGCGACGGCGGTAGCTGCTGCTGCTGCTGAACCTGTTGCTGCTGTTGTTGGAGGTACCTCGCCTGTTGTTGCGACTGCTGCTGCGACGGCGGCTGGTACTGCAACGGCTGTGGAGGCGGGGCGCTGTATACGGGTTGCACCTGCTGCTGTGGGGGCAGGTAGCTCTGCGGCTGGGGCGACGGCGTCTGGTACACGTTCGACGGAGGCGGCGTGACCGCATACGTCTGCGGCGCCAGTGGCGGGGCGATCGTGCTCGCCTGAGTGACATAGCTCGCACGCCTCGCCTGCTGCTGCTGCTGTTGCTGGATGGCCTGCGCCGGGGGTGGCGGGGGCTGGTACGTCGGTTGGGCCGTCTGTGGTGGAGGCGCGGGCCGTTGCTGCTGGACTTGTTGAGGCGGGGGCTGGTGGTGCTGTTGCTGCTGTTGCTGTTGGTACCTCTGCGCCATCTCGTCGTGCAGAACACGGCCACTCGGGTCGAGCGCGATACCCACCGTGTTCGGGCTCGGTGCACGCACGAGCCCCGGCCCAGCTTGCGCAGGAGGTTGGATGAAGTTCGACCTCGCCTGCTGTTGTTGTTGCTGCTGCTGCTGTTGGCTGGCACTCGGGGCCGGACTCGGGCCTCTCGACAGCGGCTGCGGGCTGTTGCTCCTCGACCCAAAAGCGCCAATGCCTGCATGCCCAACCTGACTTGGAGGCCTCGCGAGATTCTGCCCCTGGCTCTGGTTCGACTGGTGCGTAAGTACCGACACCTGGCTCTGGCTCGGTGCATGGCCCCTGCTAGGACTCCGGCTGATGGACTTGCGTTCTCCCGGTAACGACTGCTGATAATCTGCCAGAACCTCCTGGACGACATCAGCTCCTGGCCCGCTCGGTGTGCTCGGTTTGGGAACCATGAACGCTGCCGTGGGAGGATTGGGTGAGGGTGGTCTCGATACGGAAGGGTGCACGCCGACCACAGCCTCTGCGGAGTTGCGATAGTCGCGGTTGGGGGAGGGAGAGCGACGATGCGATGCAGCAGATCCAGGAGCAACTGGTGGAGATAGCGAGGTTGGGCGGCTCGATGACTCGATTCGCGAGGAGGCCGACATGGAAGAGACATGGCCGGGTTTGGGCTCAGGACCGGTAGATTGCTTGGGCTTGATGAGCGTGTTCCTCCTAACGCTCCCAGAGGCGGATACAGCGTGCTGGAGCTCCTCCAGCTGCCTCATCAACGGATCAACGCCGCCACCGACGGGCTTCGCAGGCGAGGCTGGTGATGAGGTGCTATGGCGGACATTCGACGGACCTTGCTGCTGGGGATCTTTCGTGAGGTCGACCTTGTAAGCATTAGCACCGACTTTGATGTAGGTCTCTGCTGTAGGGTCGATCGGGTCTGCATGTGGGTCTTGAAGAACCCTCTGAAGCTGCTGTTGCTGAGAATACTGTGTCGATGTAGTAGATTGCCTATGAACCTGTTGTTGAGAAAGTGGAGAAGAGGCGCTTGACGGCGATGAGCCTGCCCCAGGGTGAGGATAATATCCATTTGTTCCATTGGTATAAGGAGGTTGCGAGACTTGTGAGTTGCGAGTATCGGAACGGGATGGGCCCGGAGCATCCTGGATGTATGGATCGACTCTCCTTCCGCCCCCGCCGCCCCCCGCACCAATACCTGCAGCATTGACAACGGGCTCTTCTTCTGGTGGAAGTGAATGTTGTCGAATGGGTAATTCTCGGTGAGTGGATCGAGCAAAGCTGGCAGGGCGACTAGTAGGACGAGCTGAAGATGAAGGGATGGCGTCCGGTTCCTGGTAGTTCACGAATGCTGGAGGGTCCGGGATTTGGTTTCCAGTGCCGTATTCGCGTACGAAGCTCTCCATATCTTTCTCCGGTTCCATCTGCTCGAGGGCCAATCTTATCTTTTCGCAGGACTAAAAAAAACCTTGGTTACAGGCGAAACGACCGGAGACTATGAGTAGTACGCACCTCGTCGTCGGCGACACAGACAGTGGACACCGCATTAGCATAACTCCAGACGTTGTCCTTCATGAACTCCATTCGGTCTTCCTCCATATCCTGACAACTGTCGCAAAAGCCCTTCCAGTCTGTCTCCCATTTTTGGACGGTGTCTTGCAATGCTTTTGCGAAGTTGGCGAACTCTCGTTCATTTGTCTGGACTGTCTGCTGGGTTCGTTCTAGTTTGAGATTGATCTTTTCTAGGTCCTTGCCCTGTACGAGGGTCGCTTGAGCTGTGAAGGCGTTGATCCGAACACAGTCTTGCTCGTATTTCTCGCGTGCCTTGTTGACATAGGACTCCTGAGTCTGCTTCGTCTTGAATTCCTTCTCGATGCCAGTCTGGTACGTCTTCTTGTGTTGCAGTTGCCGTGAGTGGAAGGTAGCGGTGGGCACCTCGAGCTCTGTGCGAATTTGTTGGGATAAATTAAGGTGGAACCCAGCTTGGCGCTCGATTTCGCTGCGGACGGTGTCCAGTGAAACCCGCAAGTCCCTACACAGGACAGGACAGAAGTCAGAACATGGATAGGATCAAAAGTCAGGAGACAAGGAAAGAGGGCAGGTCCATCCTTTCGGTAAAGGTGAAACCCACGAGGCGAGGGAAGGGCGGATGGCGGCGTCATCGCACGCAGTTGATTGGCGTTCGTTCGAAGATCCCGAGGAACACGACTCAGGGAAGTTCACGCCTCAAAGTATAAAATGGAACCAGGGGGGCGACGTACCCAATCTCATCTCGTCCCAAAGTCATTTTCGAGAGTTTGGCTAGTCGTTTTGCGTAATCTTCCTCTATGACGGCTCTGGGCGCCTGTGTGTGAGCTGCACAGCGTCGAGGGTGCGATAAGAGCCGAGGAACACTCACCGCTCTCTCCAAAAATTCTTGAGCTCCTCCATCGTCCTTGTTGCACCCCGCATACGAGCAAAAAGAACATCGACGCCTCCATCTCCGAAGCCCCAAAATGAATTGCAGAAATCAAGCGATCGGTTTTGCAGGATAGGTGAGTGTGCTCGCGCATACTTGGCGAGCGACGTTGTTGATGCTTGTCGCCGTGCGGACATCGTCAGAGGCGAAAGCAGGTGGTAAGGGTGAAGGAGTGGATGCGATGAACAGCCTGTTCGAGTCCTCCTTGGCCGCTGACACGGCCGGGTTGCCATCAATGAGCCCGTTCCCACGGTTGGAATATTGACCGGTCCGCTTAGCCGGTTGAAGACGGTCAAACCACAAGGTGGTTTCACTAGAAATATTCCAACTAAATTGTGGGTAAAACTAATCTGAAAATGAGTACTCGCAAAATCCTCCGCATGTTCCTCACGCTAGAACTCGGGCACGGATCGGACTTCACTAGCTTGTTGCAGACTTCAAACAAGAGTAAAACGAGAGGCAGTAAAGCACCAATATTTATGGAGCTAAGACATAGTAAGAACTATAAATCAAAGACGCAGATTTGGTCTGTCGGAACCAAAAACGTGAAAACCTCTAAAACAGCCGCAGACTAGAAGTTTGCGAGTATAAAACGGCCGCCGTGGAAGAAGAATGAAATTGTCATCAGCCAATTGCTCCTTAGTACTTAGTCTTCAAATCAACTGTCTTGATGAAGCAATCGCACCTGTAAGCTGGCTTCGAGTTTAATCACTCCTTTACGTCGATGTACTAGTCAACTTTAGTATTGCTATTCTGACAAGCTATTCTTGCCAAGCCGGTACCGAGTGAAGAGGGAGTGGGCTTCAAGATCTGTATTGCAGCATTTTTACTTTATTCACATTTTTCCCGCTATCTGTACGAAGAGGTGAGCGTCTAGCGGGTTTTTAGTCTGACATCAATCGCTCTGGTTCGACGTTATCGGCCGTCTTCATTGAATATATGCCTGACACCGCTGGATGCCAACGATGTAGGGAGAACTTCGAGTACACTTGGTATCTCTATTATTCCCTTAAGCTTCCAAGGCTTCTAAGATTTAATTCCGGAGCTATCTGACCATTTTATAGGCTCGAGCTTTGAGATTACCACATTGGAAACGAGAATATGACCACTATTCCAACCTGCTCGATCTTCTCGCTTCCGCTAGGGTGCGACGAAGTAAATCAGATCTCGGAAATTCTGGGACATGTCTCCGAGGACGACACCATGCGAGATGTCGAAACCTTGACGGAGACACCTGCTACCATATACAGAAGGATAACCGCAGTGGATCGTCCGGTATTGAATAGGCGCTTGTCTTCGACCCTGCACGATCATCTGTCGATAAGAAAATTGACAGAAGTCGAGTGGGTATGTACCTGGCGCCCATGTTTATTTGAATAAAATCAATCAACGGACCGCACACAAGAAAGACGCCCAGGAATGGAGATATTCCGAGTTTCGTTCCGGGTATATACCTTCTACGACACAGCACTGTGTCGCATCTCGAGTCGGGAAGGTGAGATACGACACAGTGTCGAGTCATGTTTACGGAAGTTATCCGTAATTAATTTTTGAGAGGAAATATATATATATTTCCGATGCTCCTCAACGCCCTGCCACAGGAGGCATCGTGCATGCTGCAGGGGGTACACGCCATAGGAGGCCGCTGTCCACCAAGAAAAAGGGCCAGGAGGGGGGGATCCAGTCATCGTGCATTTCTTCCCCAAACCACCACCATGGCCCCGAAATCCGCGACCTCAGACCTATCGTCCAGCGATTTCCTCGATTCTGTGCCCGCTCGTTTGCTCAATGAGTTCCGTGATCACGTACGTTTCGGTGCTTCCGTCAGCGCCAATACTAATGTCCGGCCAACCAACCAGGTTTTTCACCCGCGTGGATCCAAGCGCACCCTGACACCTTTCTGAACACCGACTGGGTCAACATGGGCCATTTGCAGCAGTGGCTCGACGATCATGCACATGGAAAACGCGTTAAACAGGAGGAAAACGCCGCCAGCACCGCGTTTGACGCGTCGAAATCTCTCGACAACACCCCTAAGTCGAAGCCAGAGCCGTTTGACATCGAACTGACGCGCCCAGACACCGCTGGCGACATCAAAATACGCGACATCCAACGTGACAGAAATCCTCGACTCAGATGAGGAAGGCGAGGCGGGTACCACAGTGGAGGAAAGTGAGATGGAGGTAGACGACGAGCGGCGATGGCTCTCGGACGCGTGGCATGCTTCAACACCGTCTATCTCGCAACGCCCGCCATTGGACCACTGTGGCCGAAAAAGTCCGCGAAACGAACATCCGAACGAATGTCGAATCCGACGTCAACTCGAACCTGGATGAGTGGGAATGTTTGGTGCAGGAAGTCGATCTAATCTCAAGCATCGGATGGCCGCTGGTGAGTATTCTCACGGCGCACTCAACCCACAATACTTCTTAGACAACCTTCCACCGGTCAATGGCTGGGATAGCCCTATTCTGAAGAACTTCTTGAAAAATCACCCCGGAGACGTAGATATGAACTAGAGGAGTTCGTATTGAGTCCTTAGAGTAGAGTACAATCTTATAATACAACAGAGAGTTAGCTAAGGTGTTGGCAGATAATCACGTAGATAAGATTGCGGCCGAAGATGCGACACTGTGTCGCATCTTCGGCTTCTGTGTCGACGCTTAGACGCCTTTGAGGCGAGATGCGACACAGTGTTGTGTCGTTTTTGGACCATCCCGTTTCGTTCCCGTTAAAAGTTTTCAGACGAAGAAAAAACCTCCAACCACGCGGAGAGTGGATCGAGGGCCGGGGAGAGTAGTTTAGGGTGGCCCTTTTGTCACGGCTCCGGTAGTCTCAGCGATACGGAGATAACAGGACATGGTGGCGACCGACCCGAACAGAATTCGGTCCAAACTGACGGCAGATTTTCCGCGCCAAGACTTACCTTTTCAAGCAGTCTGCGCTTCTCACCGACCTTTGTTCGTAAGGCGCACCATGAGGTGATAGGGAGATATCCCTGTCAGTGGCGCACCCCTTGTCAGTTTCCTACAGCATTACGGAGGAATCAGGATGTGCGATTCCCGCGCAAGCCTAAGACTCTAAGAGCAAGCGACCAGCGACTGCCAACGAGCAGAACGTTAGACCATGCTCAACACTCATGGATGGCCGTTGTGCAATAGTGCCCAGCGGTGCGGGTGCCTTGGGACGTCGAGTTGGCGTGCCCGCAATGCCGGTCCGGTCGGCTCCACTGCCACCCTTTGTTCTACTCTGTCCAAAAATGGATAACCCTTACACATTTCAGGAAATTGAGTCACGTCAAAAACTGTCACACCGCTAGCGATGCGACTCGACGGACGCAGTAATCCCGCGCTGCTTCCTGATCCACCACGATAGGAACAAGATACGAACTTCAAATATAACGTGCCAAGAGACAGATTCTGCGTGCTCACCGGAGAGGGGATGTCCAGATAGATTTATGGAAAAAACATAGCGATGGGACCTTGCTATTTTAAACTCGGTTGACACAAGCAGCGGTGATTGTCCTTTCGATCACTCTGTCAAACCTAAAACCGACACACCGCGCGGCGAGGCGACGTCCTCATCACCTTGTTATCCGCTGAATAGACCAGAATTAAATCTTCACTAGAAAGGGACGTACTTATGCAATCGCTCCCTGTGGCGAACGACGGGTCGCACGCATTCCGGGCTAATTTTTTAAAGTTTTATGAAGCGTCTAACAAAACGATAACATAAACGCCGACCATTTGATGTCAACTGTGACAGATAGGTGACTTATATCTGTTGTGCTTCTCTCCCTGAAGCAAAATGAAAAACAAGGTACGCCAGGCGATCGATTCACCGCGGTATGGCACCGGGAAGGCATATGTCCGATTCGAAGTTTATAACAAGGGACAAAGGCCCTGATTTCTCTCCTCCTCGTTGGAGCTTTCAGCCCCTCTCCACTCTTTTAATTCTCGTCGAATATTTCGCTCTTTTTTATCGCCCGCATGGCATCCGCTCTTTCCCCCGACGCTCTTTCCAACAGCCCCCAGGCTGCAGGGGTCACCTATAACCTATCCTTCTCCGTCGACGATGAGGACGAGGTCGCTCCTTTGCCCACACGGTGAGCCCTGGCATCTGTCACTCCACCAGAGGCCATCTGACACGGGAGAAGGGGAAGGAGATATACTTTGTCCATCACTGTCGATCCGAAGGATGCACCTAGTTTCGATGAAAAGGTTCCTCCACTGCCCACGGTGGTCGAAGGGAATGGTCATACCGTACGTTTTAATGCGTCGACAATATCTTCGACACTAATTTTCCTGACACCAGGACAACTTGAAGCAACTCGGTCTCGGTAAGGAATTCCGACCTTCACATTGAATTTGAACCAACATACCGCTAGGAATCGACGCGAAAGATGAGGATGTCCAAGCCCTCGTCAAAGGCATGGTCGCCCTTCTCGCCAACGCCGCATCCAAGGAAGGAGCCATCAAGACGACCCGGTCTCGTCCTCTTACGACGCTGTCGACCTCTTCCTCTCGCCCGACCCTCATAGAGAACGATTCATCTTCCGTCTCCTCGGAATATATCGAAATTATCCACCGACCTGCCCCTGTCATCACTTCGCCGCGAGAACGCACTGAGTTCCTGCTCAGCTTGCCATCCGCTAGCGGTACGCCCAGCACCGCGCCTGGGACGCCTCTCGATGGGAATTTTGCCCAGCTGCAACCCCTCCTCCCGCAAGGCGACCACACCCCGTCGCCGCTCTCTTCCATTCGAGCCGAAGGACCTGTCACTAGGGTGCGTTTTTTTTGCCCGTCCTGTCTCCACAATTCCGACAGTCTTGCAGGATTTAATCGTCCCAGTTCGGCCGCTCGCGGCCTACGACCCGAGACGCCGACAGCCTACCCAGAACAGTGACTCTTCCCAGTCATCATCCATCGACCTTGAGGACGCCCCAGCGGTTGCCACTGTCACCGTCGAAACCCCCGCATCCTCGACCGCTGATGAAAAATCTGCTGAGTCGTCTAGGCGCTGGTGGCAGGTCTCCTCGGGTCGCAAGAAGGCGGCTATTGACAAGCCTATCGTCGCCACCGTTGCGGCTGATAATTCGACAATCATCCTGCCTTCTCCGCCCACCGACTTCGAGAAGACACTGTATGCACAGACTCGTCGGTATGTCATTTTTGGGGCGCTAGTGGTCGGCAGACAGCTTCACTGATATATATTTGTGACAGTGTTCCGTTGTACGTGTTCGGCACGCTCTCCTTCCTGAGTGTGTCTGTCGGAATGTGGTTCTTCGCCATCTCGTCCACTATGTTTTACTGGTAAGCGCCCATGTCGCACTGGCCCGATGGACGACGTACTCACCTCGTAATAGGTTCGGCGTCTTTGTGGGCCTCATCCAGATCTACTTGATCATTTCCTACATGGTTGGCTATTGCGGCAAGGACTTCAACGTCGAGGCCCACGAAAAGTTAGTTGCCGACCATTCGTATTCCTCCGACAAGTTGCCTCTCGTCGACATCTACCTACCTTGCTGCCACGAGCCCCTTGAAATCCTCGAGAACACCTACAAATACGTTAGCCAGCTCCAGTACCCCAATTTCAAAGTCTACGTCCTCGACGACGGCGGGCTCGATACCGTCAAGGCGCTCGCCGAGAGCTTCGGGTTCAACTACATCACGCGCGACAACAAGCCGCACCTCAAGAAAGCCGGAAACCTGCGGTACGCTTTCGCGCGCACGGAGGGCGACTTCTTCGCCATCTTCGATGCCGACTTCTGCCCGCGCACGGACTTCCTCGACGAGATGCTGCCGTACATGAACGCGTACCCGGACATCGCGATTGTACAGTCGCCGCAGTTCTTCCGTCCGACCAAGGAGCAAACATGGACGGAGCAAGGCGCAAGCGCCACACAGGAGCTGTTTTACCGAATCGTCCAGGTCAACCGTGATAGATGGGGCGCGTCGATTTGTGTGGGCAGCAACGCGCTATACCGCCGCGCCGCTCTCGCCGATGTCGGTGGCACTGCGGAAATCGGGCACTCCGAAGACGTACACACCGGCTTCTACGCGCTGACGAGGGGGTGGAAGCTCAAATACATTCCACTAGCGCTGGCTTGCGGCGTTTCGCCCGACACGCCTCGTGCGTTCTTCTCGCAGCAAATGCGCTGGTGCGCCGGCTCGACGACGTTACTCACCAACCCCGATTTCTGGAAGTCCGACCTCACCGTCATCCAGAAGATTTGCTACATGAGCGGCATGATGTACTACACCGCTGCTGCGTTCATGGCTTTCCTCGCCTCCCTCCCTGGTTTGATGATGCTCTGGGCCAACCCGGGGATGGTGATGTGGTTCAACTTCGCGTACGCCTTCCCGTCCCTCATTTATTCCATCTTCGTCTTTCGCCTCTGGTCTCGCCAACAGTACAATTTCAACGTCAACTTCGTGTTTACGATCCAGCAATATGCGTACCTCATGGCCATCAAGGATAGGGTATTTGGCACGACAGCCAGCTGGGTGCCGTCAGGCGACAACAAGGCTCATGTCAAGAATAAGAAGAAGCGTGGCGGCAACAACAAATATCGCAATATGCGGATACTCTGTGCTGTTTGGATGGGTGGTTCTGCTGTTGCTCTGACCGTCGGCGTTACGTTGCGCATCATTGAAGGTTATGCCTGGTATAACTTCCTCCCCCTTATCCTCTTGGACGCCTTCAACCTGTTCATCACTCATAAGTTCATTTTTTATACCAAGTAGACATTGCTTACAGTCTCTGCCCATTGGACAACCTGTCTCTTATACTATATTATCACTATTATGACCAAAGACGTACTCTTTGTTTTTTATGTTGTTCGTAGAATTTATGCAATAGATTAGCCAACTTCCGTCGCTCGTTAGCACTTCTGTACCATAGAAAAATGTAATGTTACTTACTTTTTCACATCCTATCTATGACTTCCGGGAGACGTCGGAATGCGGGTTTCGAAGAGATAGGAGCTGAACCAATCGAGGTAGTCATTGGTACCGGCCGCCTGAGTGAAAGGGAGAATGATTGACATCGTTCAGTCTGCGATCCAGAAAAAAGGTGACATACCGGGGATATTCTGACATCTGGATCGCTACCTTAGTCACCTAATCACTTGCATACTGTCTGATTAGATGGATGGCCATAGAGTTGACCAAGTACCAGAAGCTTTTCTGCTTGTTCGGGCAGCAAGTACGGCAAAATAGCCGGATCAACCTTGTTGTTCCTTCGCAATGCGTCTTCATTGCTGCGTTAGCTCATATTTCACATTGCACCTCCAAATATTTCGAGATCAAGTTGGGCAGCAGTCAGATTTGGAAGTCGATCGTAACATTCACCCAAAGAGACAGGTAGTAGTGAAGAGTGGCTGGCTAGCCAAATTGACTATCCTAATCGATCAAGGAAATCTTCGTCGTCGAGGTCGAACACGGAGGTCTTCTTAATCTGCTGAACGCGATCGTCTTTTAACATTCTGCGAGGCGGAAAAAAGGTCAGCAAATGATCGACACTACGGCTCAAAGAACGACGCACCGAGCATCCACGCGAGCATCCTCTCCCTCCACACCAAGCACAGCCTGGGGTGTCTTTGCCTCGAGGACCTGGAAATACGGTTAGATGTATTTCGGAAGCGCACGAGCGGGATGGACCCACATAATGGTTGTCGCAATGTGGACAGTACTCGTCGCTCTCTTCGTACGTATTCATATCCTTCCTAAACGCCTTCTTGCACTTCTTGCACATGAAAACCATCTCCACCGTCTTCGCCAGCGTATGCGACTGTGTCTCGGCGTGGCATTCGGAGCAGTCAAACCATTGCTTGCAGCAGGGGGCGCGGATAGAGACTTGGGCGTTTAGGATGTGCTTACTGTGAAGATGCGATTAGCCCTTCGTGAACTGTTGGTACGAGTGGAGGAAGCTAAAGGACATAATGGGCGACAAAACAAGGCAGTTCGGAGAATACTGGACTTACCACATGCTGGAGAAGGTTCAAGAAATGATTTCGTGAACTCCGGACCGGCTGGTCATCTGAGAAGTTTAGGGCCGGTCCTTTCGTGGTCCAACGTCCGCGTCAATCTTCTGTTACTCTTACTAAGACTTAAAGACTCTTACATCTATATTTCGTCATCACGCCGAAGTCTAGCGAGAGCCGCAGCAGAATCCTTAGGAAGAGGGCAGACCGAATGACTCCTGCCCTTGTAACGATGGACGGCTCTCTGACGACTCTCCAAAGTTGAAAATATGCGCCATCTGTGATTCGGTTCCTCTGGATTGTTTCTGACGGCCATAGAGTCGAGAAAAAGGTCCATGCGTTGTTGGTTAGTGCCAGTCCTTGTGTCCTGATTGCCAGGTTTTGACGTGCGGGAATTCAAGCTAAGAATGTGGCCTCAGTGCGAAGACTTCTTGCGAGCGCCGAGGACCGGAGTGGTTTGGGATTTCTCCCCTGCTCCCTTGGTGACGCCTTTGGGGCGTTGCTATAGCGTGCGCGACGATGGCGATGCTGCATGTTTGCTTCCTGGGGCTTTTGCCTGTGCAGCGCTGTGCTTGCACCTGGCTTGCACAATCTGCTTACCTGAAACCAGTCCCGAGACGTCTTGTCGACGTCGACATCTGCCCATGTATAATGATTCAGGAGAACTGAAGTCAGCACCTCTCTACGCGGGACGTCCTGCAATGCTCCTGGCACATCTCACTTGCGCCATAGGCTGTGCTGACGTGGTGTCGGTCGATGGCGCAAATAAAATAACAATTATTTACGCCTCGCATTCAGAGCGGAGAAATACATAGTAGCCCTGTACAACCAAGTCTCTACAGAACATGCATGCAGTGGATTCAACATGACGAAGGGGTATCCAGAAACATAGACGAAACTTAAGTTAATTAGAGTGATAACGATACAGATCTCCGGATGTGGTGAACATTGAGTTTTTGCAAACGAGCGTAAGGCCATGGAAAATAGCAGATAATGTGAACGAAGATAGGCACGTAGCTAGGAATGCAGGGGCGCGATCAGCGACGGTGGAATGTGAGCCTGGCTTCGTTGCCTGCTGGGGGGCCGTACGCTAGGTCGATGGGGGACGTGAAATTCGAGATCATTGGGTTCACGTTCGTCGATTGCCTGTAGTTGTGAACATTCAGATTCGTCTCTGTCAGGTTGTCGACATTTGCCATCTCGATGTCGCGTCCCTTTTTGCGGTGTGGCTTGAGCGGTGGCAGGTCTGCAGGGATGTCCCGCTCCTCGTCGTCCCACACGCCTTTGTCTGGGTGCAGGTCCGGGTGATATGGGATCTGCGAACCGTCGGGCGCTTCCTCGTAACTGTGCAAGCTGTACGGTCGCTGAACGGGCGACGACGTTAGCAGATACGTGTTCCCGGTGCCCGTCTGGGCTTGTGTGCGCGAGGTCATTTGGTGCTGGCTCGAGTCGAGATCAGCCATGTTCGTGCCCGTCGACTGGCCGAATGACCGCGAACGTTTGCGCTCCTTCGCGGCGTCCTTAGCCGCGATCTCGCCTTCGATTGACCGAGGGAAGAAGATCTGTGTTCGGTTAGTTTCGTGTCAGGAGAAGGAGTCTCAAGAATACGCACGACGAGGGTGATTCCCGACGAAATACCACATCCGAAGCCAGCCACGACGACCAAGAAGTCTATGGCAATGTTGAATCAGCTGGATTTCTAGACACCTAGTGAGCACACGCACCCGTCCATAGCATGTTCTCGTTGATGTGGCTGTGGTCTCGGACACCGTCAACGCCAAGGATGAGAAGAGGGATCGTGAACAAGAATCGAAAGACAACGCGAATGGTCTGCAGGTCGTCAGCATACAGGGTTAACGACCAGCCCAAAAATACGCACATTCAATTCCGAGAACTTTGTCAACCGTACGATAGTAGCAGTATCGACGCCTTCAGCCCGCTGCTCGCCGGGTGAGTCTCAGGGTGTGTGCAGGGGGTCTGATTACACACCAGGTTGTTCAAGAAGCTCGGGAAGGTGAATCTAAAATTGAAGTGTTGCTAAGAATATCGTCAACGGGAACAAATGATAGGACCCGTACAGAATAGGCGTGAACCACAAGGTCAGCGAGAGACTACCCAGGCTGCCAGCCAGGAAAGTGAACGCTTCACTCTGTTGACAGAATTAGCTACGGATTGACCACCTTGAATGTTACTCACCTTCAGAGGATCTGATCGCGTGAGGGCTGTCACGATGGGCATGTAGGTGACTGCGAGTACTGAGCCAACGATCCATGTTCTGAAGTACAGACTCTGGAACCAGTTCTGTTGACCGGATCCAGAATTGACCAAAAATAGCCAGAAGCAGAGCTCTGTTGAGGTCAGTCGTCATTGTCCTTCGATAAAGTGGCCGAAGAGATGGCGAACCTTCCAAGTGGGTCACCCTAGACCGCCAAAGATCAGCAAGGATACCATCGGATGCCCATGATCCACGTACATCTCGAGACTCCAACCGATAGAAAACAACATCATTAGTGGGAAGATGCTATCCCTCGCCGACTGCTCCCAGAGCAGATACGGTTTCGGAATAACTGCAATATTGTATGAGAAGAATCTCAAAAGAATAGGTCGAACAAACTCACCTCCAAGAACAGGATGAGTGATAAATCCCTCGCGGTACTTGATGATCATGTTGCCCATCGCAAAGACGAATATCAGGGGTACCGTTACCAGATATGAATACTGCAGGAGGCGTGACAAACGTCCAATGAAGAGGAAGAAGTGCCAACTCACTGTCATGATGCGTTTGAATGCGCCTGAATATGCGCCATTCCATCTGCTCGCGTTCTGTCAGTGGTCGTCCATTGGTTTCGACAGGGGCCACGACACACCGTAGACACTTAAAGCGATCGAACGACCATAAATGAAATAACAGAAATGCTCCAAGCTGGGGTGGGGTGTTATCGCGTCTGTGGGGAAGCAAACTGCGGCTAGGGGCGTACCAATCCCGTCATCACCGTCCAGATGAGGTAACTGGCTGGTGAGGAGTGCGACATGGTGGTTGGAGAGCCTGACTACGGCGAACCTGCGCGAAGGATGGGCCGTTCAGTGTAAAACGAAGGAGTGGGCGACGTTGGCGTCGGTAGGAGGCAAAAGAAGGTGTCCCAGGGTTCGGGAGGGGTATATAAACTGCGTCCATATGATTTCCTCCCTTGGTGTTTGAGAGATCATCGGCTAATGGACCTTGGCGGTGTCCCTTTAGGAAACTGCATCATGCGCTCCTCCGGTGTACGATCTCCTGCGATCTGGAATCAAAGGGGCACAATCTGGCTTGTGTGGATACAGTTGTGGATTTCGGATGCACACAGCACAGGTTGTTGCTATTTCTTCTGTCCCGGATGCGTCAGGCCGGATTGTCAACAATACAGAGCTCATAATAGACCCAAGCCGTCCTTGTTTTCCTGTTCTTGCTACGAGTTTGGCCTTCGGGAGCGACGGAAGTGGAGAGGAAGGACGTAGCTGGAGTAGCCGACGTCGGACATCGATCAATCCGCCACGCGAAATGCAAAATTCTGGCGGCAGATGGAACCAAACAACATCTTACATCGCCTCCATGTCCCAAAACCCGTCTGAGGACGTCAAGGACGATGTCCTGCTGGCGTGCCGATACGGTGACCTCGAAGACGTTGAAGCTTTCGTGAAACAGTACGGAACTTCTGCGCTGGCGGATGTGCGCGATGAAAACGGGAGCACCATTCTCCATATGATCGCTGCGAATGGACATCAAGGTGAGTCTCCTTCCATCGGTCGAGGCGATTCCATTAGCTGACATGTACAGGATGATTTGTAGATCTATTGAATTATCTTTTACCCCTCCTACCACCGACGCTTCTCTCTGTGCAAAACGAATCCGGATCGACACCATTACATTGGGCTGCGCTAAATTCACAACTCGAAATCGCACAGAAGCTTGTACAACAGATAGATGGACCAGGAAGGGACTTGATTGACATCAAGAACAAGGCTGGGCGTTCGCCGCTCGGTGAAGCCGAGCTAGCAGGATGGGAGGAAGGCGCGAAGTGGTTTGTTGAGGTGATGAACTTGGACGCTGATGGTGCAAAGGAGCAGCCTGCGGATGAGGACGCCGTCTTGGACACGGAGGACGGAAGCAACCGAGATATTGAAGTCGAAATAGAAGACGCCGAGGGCCAAGTTGCGAAGATGAAACTGTCGGGCAAGCAGATTAGCAGCGCCTCACAGGCCTCCAACACTTGACATACCCAATTTTGAAGAAAATCGGAATGTGTGCGTAATCTCCCTTTCTTTCCTCCGACTCTCTTTCTAACTTCGTCGCAGGTGTCCCCGTAATTGTATCAACTTCATCGAACACCTCTAAAAGCAAGACCTCTGAGCTACCCCAAAACGCCACCGACCAAAATTATCGCTATCAGAGTCTGTCGTAATCCTGGACGCCCTAAGATGGTGCTCTCTCACGAAGTCCTTGGGTTCTACTTCGACTTCATTAGCCATACCTTTCATTATCAGAAGAGCTCATGCCTCGAGGCGGGAGAAGCTTTGAAAGCACACAGCTTCAGTAAGTCGTGATTGAGCCCTACCAAGACGTGCTTGGTACTCGGGCTGGTTCTAAGACGCCGCCCGTTCCCTCCCAAGCCCTCCTACCTAGTCCGGAGTCAGGCGACCCTTGTAGGCATTTGAGCCAACCAAAAGGACCAAACAGCGCCTTGTGGCCCTGTCAAAACGTCAAAGAGGTACTGATCTACTGATCCACTGACCACCCACAAAAAAACAGATGTCTGTGGGAAGGGGTCCCACTATGAGTTGTGGGGCATGTTAAAAATATTTGATAACTTCGCCCATTTTCGCCGACAATCGTGTCGAACGAGCATGAGCGCGCGGCGCCTACGAAAGTGCGTTGGCCACCAATCGACTGATTTAGGCACAAGTGCGCCACAATAATTAGGGGCGTATTGGAAGCGAAGAGAGAAACCGTAAGAAACAGCGTTACTCATCATTGCACTCTATGCCCCGTCAAATGTTTGGAGTTTTCTTGCGGCGACGTGTTTGGCTTCTTTGGCTTGAGGGCATCGCAGGATATCGGTTCCACTCGGCGTTTCAAGGCGTCAATTGCAGGCTTCGCCATTACCGTCGGTTGCTAAATATCACAATGTTAAATTAACTCTCAATGCTCGAAAGTTAACAGCCAGAACGGCATCAACCGAGAGGTTTCGCATGCGAGCAGATGCGAGCGAAGAAATGTTTAGGTCCGTGCGCGTATCCACTGAGCTCACTGACCGTCGCTAAAACTGAGGCCGGGTGTGTTCTAACTCTGAGGCATCTACGGTGCTTTTCAGGCCGGTACACTGAGACTACAGCTACGTAGCATCTCGAGGTCGTCATCGATGATGGCGGTGATTGCTGCGATGTTTACGATGTCCAGAGAGATTTGGATGTGATTGGCGTTCCAGGCTAGTGAGGCGGTACCTCCGAAACACTAGGACTCAGGGAAGCGATAAATGAGTGATTTTAGGCATTCAAGGAGATGCAACGGGAGGTATATTTAGTGACAGAACCCTCTGTACTTACAGCAAGTCTACTATTTTTCTAAGAAAACAAAAGAAACACCCTACGGGTACGCCACACCGGTTCCGTTCGGAATTGGAGGGCTTCTCGCCCCCCCCCCTCCCCGAAGTAAGGCTCGCGGTACCGGAACGAAGTGAGACGAAAAGATGATACCAGCTTTCACTGAGGCTATAATCATGGCTACTGGCATTGAACCCGCTCACTGCAACTTCAGCTCGGATTATGGGAAAACTTGAACTAAATCACTGATTGTCTTTCCATCGAGTGCCATCAAATCGTCATGATTGCGTTCTCTACCCGAGTCGTCTTTGGTGATGTCCACCTACATCGGTTTAAGGGCACTTCCGTGCATCAGTGTTTCCTCCCCCATGAGCCCCGTCGACTTTTGACATCGGTGGTATTACCAATAACGTATACAATGGCCTTCGATAGTGCGAACTGCGGCACGATGCCTTGGGCGGAAATCCGATGTATTCGTGCAACGAACATGCCCGAAGCTGCTCAAGTCAAAGCATCTTCGACGGCAGAAGAGGGCCATCGACATCGACGATGCACCAATTGCGCGGGGTGTGAAATAGGCACTGGATTAAGTGGTAGAACCGCTAGGCATTCTGTCATTTGTCACGGTGAATCTGGGTAGATTTTCTTGTCATGGCAGGGGATCGGAAGTGGCGTAAATCTTATCTTATCTTGAAGTTCAAGTGACGTCATAGGATCCTCTCCCACAGAAACCGTAACTCCTGAGACGTAAATATCACCACTGCATGAACATTCAGCCCGGTAACAAAACGGAAGGAAATAAATACATGCTTTTGACCTGCTCCGGCGTGGAGTTGATTCGGGAACCGATGAGAACTCCCGATGGATTCGCTCTTTGAGAGGACAACTCGATAGGTCCTCGCTTGGAACTGCATGCCCTTCCCGCCTGACTACACACGAGTTCGTATGCCGTTACAAGAAACTGATGTACTTACCGAGGTGACGAAGGGCAAGAAAGTGGGCCAGGCCGCAATTGGGAATGACGAGCTTTGCTAAATCCTGACACGAACCTCAAATAGAAGAATGTGAAGATCAGAATGGAAGTCAGGCCAAATCCGAAGCAATAAATGGTACTATTTCGGTGGACATCCTACGCCTATCCTAGCATTTTTGTCTGAAGTCCAATCGAGCAATTTGTTACCGCTTCAATTGACAGCATCAGAAAATATGACGGCTTGCACCTCATGCTTCGTTACGTATGTTCAAAACCCCCTTGTGGAGAGACTTCTGGTCGCAAATACCTGAGAAAGTACCGCAGCTGCCTCATGCAGAGGATGTTGTCCCTACTTATGAGAAATGGGGCACCGTTATTTTGATGATCGCCGCCACCAGTGCGACGTTACGCTTCGCTCATCTCGAACCCCATCTAATTCCTCGGCGTCGCGGTGAAGTTCTCGGAAGGACCATAAATTCCGAGCCTTGTGCTTGGCCTATAGGTTTGGCGTACGTAGTGGGAGCAAGGGGTGTTAGCTTCTCCAGCGCTTGTGAACCTGACATGTCACTCCGCAGTGTAATTTGGAGGCGTACTATCAGTGCGGCCGATGCCGAGCATTTTGTGTCTACCTGCAAGACAATGAGCAGCCAACGTTGGTGTTACAAGAAAGTTAAAAGGTCCAGGATATGGCATCGCATTCATTCGTGAGATTCGGGAAAGTCCTTGTATGACAGTGATGCTTACGTTCTATTTCCACAGCTTTCCCTGTGAGAACGAGTTTGAGCGTGCAATTGGAATAGGCGATATTAAAGAGGGTACCGGTGTGGATGGCGGATTATGATGCCCAACTTTCATCGCGCCTGAGTCGCCTGGTGGTACTGGCTTGCTCAGCTCAAGCTCAGTTCATTAATCATGTGGCCGCGAACTTGTGCGAAGTGTGGCGTCCCAAAGCCCCGAGTCGAGAGGCCTCAATGATACGCGCCAAGAATTAAACGTCCACTGAGGAGATGGCAAAGAAATAATACATAGTGCCTCGCCTCAGGAAGAAAGCAGAGTTTCGCCTTCCCTGAGGCATTTGGGAGGATGGAGCAGTTTCGCGGAGTTTTCTGAATTGTGTGGAGCGTCAATTTGATTCCCGACGGCAAGTAATTATGAGACACTGCTAAATTCCTGAGCATTTGCGATCAAATAGCAGTAGTACCCATGCCCATTAAGGACACGAGTGCAACAACCACACTTCTCATATCGAGCACATTTTAAATGTCTAAACTTGGGGGTAGTAAGAATGAAAGTAGGTCACCACGCTGGCCCGCAGACCCAAACACTGCCAAAAAGACTTTGATTAAAGAGTATTTGAAGAATACCAGCCGCGATGCCCGGGGTATAGTTACTCATTTTTTTCGCCTTTCTCCAGACCGCCCGGAGACGAGAATTGCGAGGAATATCAATCTGGAAGGCTATCAAGTAGAAGGCGGACGGAGATGAACTTCGCGGTTGTCTGGAGCTCCGACGAGTGAAAGCAAGGGGTGTATCCCAATTAAAAAGTCTTCACATGGTGATAGGGCTGGCGAGATATTTGGGGCGCGGGCAAAGGTATTTCGTGGAAACTTAAGGTTCTGGAGGCGTGGTGATGCTGTCAATGTGAGATCGCGTCCCGATTTGGCAAGTATGAATGATCGTCCGGGGTGCGCTGGACCTTTTTAATGGAACCCCACCGCGCAAACACCCTCCATTTCCCTATCCCCCTCTCTCAGCGCTTATTTCTCTGGACACCATATTATGGCTGAATCTCTCTCTAACGAACTGTTTGAAGAGCTGGGCTCGTCGTGCCGCGGTCAGGTGTACCGGCGAGGTGATCCAGGGTGCGCGTTGTTCATGTGGCTGCTGCTCGACGTGTAGGCTCACCACCCGGTTCGTAGATTCGGCGACTACTCGACCATCTTCAATGGCAACGTAGTCACTCACTCTACGGCCGTCGTATGCCCTTTAGATGCAGAGGATGTTAGCAAGTACGTGTGCTACTAATCCAATTGTTCATCTTACAAATTCGCGTGCAGGATTCTCTTATTTTGCTCGAAGCACTCACTCTCTCCGTCAGTCAAGGCAGGTGGCTACGGGACCGCAGGCTGGGCTATTGGGGGCGACATCATCATCGACGTGAGCAAGCTCGTCGAAGTTGACATCGAGATCCCCAAAGCCGACGGCTCGTTCACGAGTCTGCGTGACGTCGCCGCTGCGAATAGCAAAGGGAAAAATGTCCAGCAATCATCTACCGAAGGCTCTGGAAAGCGACGCCGTGAAGAGGATGCGAACCTTCGCATGTACGACAACGCGTCCCTTTCTGTTGCATCTTTTTTACGCGGGCCTCCCGGCATGGGGTCAGCAATCGACGGGCCCTCCCCTAGCGTACGTCGACGCCTGGAAGCTCCTGGCTCTTCCTCGTCGTCTTTGCTATCTGCAGAGACACCTTCGAGGCAGATATCAGGATCCTCGGGCTCTTCTAACTCTGAACTGAGCGATGGAATCTCTAATTCGTCCCGAGAGCAGTCTGCTTCGACGTTCGCCACCACACCGTCTCCGCCACCTGCTACTCAAAGTTCCGGAATCGATACCACTCTAGTTGGGCAGGGGATTGGTCTGGCGTCGTCTCCTTTTTCGTCCACCGCAAATCCCTTCGGCTACCTTGATACCCCAATCAACCGGGTTCCCGCCCCACCGCCGACGATGTTGCAAACTCCATATACCCAAGCGCCTCCACCGCTAACATCTTGGACTCCTGGACCGAATACGAGTTTCTCAAATATACCGGGATCGTTCGAGCAAGTGCAAATTCCGGCGCAAGTGGAACCAATCTACAAACACGCCTACGTGACCTTTGGTGCAGGCATGCGCCAGAAAGAAATCGACATCTTTACGGCGCAGAACAAACTCGAAGCAAATTATATCACGGGTACCGGAGACGGCGTCCCTTACCACGTACCTTTGTAAGTGAGCTAGATTTCTTGCGGCAACCCGCTGGTAATAACCCTACGCTACAGCGCGGCACACCCCGTGGGGTCTTCCATTATGCTTCTCGGCGGCTTCGGGTTTCTGAGCCGCTTGCATGGACTCAGCATTGACAACCTCGTTGAGGTAGAAATGGTCCTCGCCGACGGAAGGATAATTGTGGTTAGCGAGAACGAGTATCCAGGTACTTTCGCCACTTCTTTCTGCTGACCTTTATCTAACGCACTTCAGATCTCTGGTGGGCTGTCAGAGGTGCTGGCCCTTGCTTCGGAGTGGCCACGCGGTACAAGGCGAAAGCCTACCCAGTTCCTGTCGTATTTGCGGGAAATCTCATCTAGTGCCTTTCATTTCGTATTAATCTTCCGCATAATTAACTTACCTCGGTCTTCTACGTAGCCGCTTTAACAAGGCTACGGCGCCTTCCTTAATCAAGCATTTCCGCGACTGTGTCAAAGGCGCTCCGAGGGAGCTCTACGCCAACGTCCTTCTCACCGCGGGTCCGGCGGGCAAAGACTCCTTAATGGTCGTCCAGATGTGCTACGTTGGTTCACGCGAGAAGGGTCAAGAGTACCTTGCGGCGATTTCGTCCTGGGACGGCGAGAGGTGCCTCCTCAACGAGGTCGATGAGAAGAGCTTCTTACACCAACAGGATAGCGTTGCCCAAGTGCTGCGCGGAAAAGGTGCCCAGTATTGTATGTCCGCTGGTGCTTGGAGCGCGCTAAGGATATTCGTTTTATATAGCCGGGCGCCAGTGGTTCATCCGCTCTGCCTTGATTTCCTCCCTTCCAGATGACATCGTCAACGAGACAGTGATGCAGTTTGCAGATACTCCTGTTGGGTGCAGTCAGTATCAAAACTCCCCCTCCATGATGTGTCATTTGAGCGGCATGCTGATCCCCCATTTTAATTCAGCGTGGCTATTTGAGCTTGCCGGCGGGGCAATCGGCGACTTTGAAGACACGAGCGTGCCGAAATCTCAGCGCGAAGCTTCATTCACAATCGCCGCTCTCCATCAATGGGAGATGGACGTTCATGACGATCAATGCGTCGACTCCGCGGAAGAGGTGCGTATCCATTCCGTCATTTCTTCACATGCGTCCCCTTCTCCGCCCCCTTCTCCGCCCCCTTCTCCACCCTGTTTTGCGCTTGCTTGATGACGTCACGAACCTAAACTTTCTGCGCATTTGCCTTCTTCACAGTGGATTTCGGGCACTTTAAAGCCAGTTCATATCGGAGGTCCGTTCCCCAGTGTGAGTGTCCCGCTTTTTCCTCTTCCGCTACGTTCCCGCAAAGGAACATCTTTGACTCATCCCATCTTTCTAGTTCCTCGGCCGCCACGAGCCACCCGAACGCACCAAGGCTTGCTTCGGCGAGAATTGGCAACGCCTGAGCGAAATCAAGAAGTTCTACGACCCTAACAATCTGTTCCGCAACACCTTCTGGCCCCTAGATGCGGCTGGGGAAGAAGTGGAAGCTCACACCCATGAACCACCCACACCGCCATTCCTCCCCACCTCAATTCGCGGTCAGAAACGCAAGATCTTTATATGATTTCCCCCCTCATCTTGATTTGTACTTCACTGCTTTGATATATCACCCATATGGACAGGACAATAGGTATCTCACTTGTCATGCTCGTTCATTCTTGAGCTTCCGACAAGGGCTCTGATGTACCAGAACTGCCCTGCCATTTTCTCATATCTTTGATCTCTACTTTCTAGTGCTCCTTGTATATCTGCGATTTCCATGCTTCTTGGCAAATGTATTGTCTCCTGCGATTTCCTCCTACCTACTCATCTAGTCAGTATTTCTTGTAAACGAATGGCATGCAATAGAACTCGGGAAAATTCTCGAGATGTTTTATATTTCATAGGATGAGTAATCATTTGTTCAAGCAAAAAAAAGGGGGCTTGCGTTATTCCAATACGGAAATTTCGACGATTCGGAGATGTGTGGCGCACTGGGAGTGATTATTTGCCTCGGTGATTGCCGTTCAGATCATGCACAAAAAATATTCACGTGACAAATATCCGGACTCCATGTTCCGGCGCGTCAAAGATGTTCAGCCCTCATCACCACCAACACCCCAAAATCCTGGTCTTTCACAGCTCTAACCAGGCTCTAATCACCTCTTATCATGTCTATCGCCCACGGAATTCGTACGCTTGGTGTTCTCGGTGCTGGACAAATGGGAACAGGCATCGCGCTCGTCTCGGCCTTACGCGCGAAAGTGCCCGTCCTATTGCACGACAGGTCGGCGGAACAAGTCAAGAAGGGCCTCTCTCTGATGGATAAACTGCTTGCAAAAGATGTCGCGAAGGGACGTTTGACAAATGAGGAGGCTAAAGAAGCTCGGGATCGCGTCTCGGTGGTGGGCGTGGATGCAGGAATCCAGGGATTGAGGGACGTCGACATGGTCGTTGAGGTGTGTACCCATACAAATTATCAGGACTGACTTTCAACTGGAGTCTTCGGAATAGGCCGTGTCGGAGAACCTTCAATTGAAGCAAGCGATCTTCTCGTCTTTTGCAGCTGAGCTGAAGCCCGAAGCCATCCTTGCCACCAACACAAGTTCCATCAGTATCACGAAGATAGCCGCATCGGCCTTACCTACGGGTGTTAGTGCAGCCAGTGAAGAAGGAAAGAGGATTGCTTCTCGCGTCGTAGGTCAGAAATTGGCCTTTTCTCCCTGACGACTCTCGGTGACAATGTAGGATAGGCTTACACTTCTTCAACCCTGTGCCTGTCATGGTACGCGTTCTCTTTACATTTGATTATTCGACATGCTTAGTGTTGCTCAGAAATTGGTTGAGCTTATCTCTGCATTGCAAACGTCGCAAGACACACTCGACCGAGCACGAGCGTTTGCTATCGCATGCGGCAAAGGTATTTGTCTATACAAGTGCTCTCGATGTGAACAATTCCTTACATGTCATCTCTTGCCACAGAGGTTACAGTTTCGAAAGATGTTCCAGGCTTTGTATCGAATGCTCTATTAATGCCTTTCATCAACGAGGTATGAGTGGTCTCATCATTCTTTACATGACGACACTGACACCGGCTTGCAGGCTATAATGTGCCTCGAAAAGGTCGGCGCTTCCGTCGTCTCTACAACTCGATGCTCAGTATTGATTTGCTTTGTAGGGCACCGCCACCCGCGAAGACATCGACACCACACTGAAACTCGGAATGAACCACCCCATGGGTCCTCTCCAACTCGGTAAGTTGTGCCCTTCTCCAGAACCAAGCAGGTGACTTATTGACCTTCTCTATTCAGCTGATTTGTATGTTGAATTTTGCCTCCGTAGTCTCAAGCGAGAACACTGACCCATACTCCTTTGTCTAGCATTGGCCTCGATACCTGCCTTGCGATTCAGCAGACCCTGTATGAAGGCACCCGCGACTCGAAATACCGCCCCAGCCTCCTCCTCCAGCAGATGGTGGATGCCCAATGGTATGGGCGTAAAAATGGCAAGGGCTTCTACGAGTACGACAAATAGACCCTTCCGGAGTAGCCCGAGCAGTGTATGGTACGGACATGCAAAATGCTAAGGAAGATTCAAATCTCCACAGCTTGCATTCTTGGTCATTCGGCTGGTCTTATTCGCGAAAGATATCTATTAGTTGTCAGATTTTCTGGGGATAGGCCCGTGTGGTCTCGGTCGATTTTCTCCATGGACGTTATTAACACCTCGATGTTGGGGGTCTTTATTTAAATTTTTCGACAGAATTCCGCTCGTTGAAACCATTGCGACGCTGTCAGCAGCCAGCTGAAACCTTTTGTTCCTCTCATGCAATCAAACCTCTACGCAACACGTCCAACACCCCTCACTCCCTGACAATATCCTCCCTGGACCGCAGTCCGGCTTCTTCAGTATACAAATCGCAGGGCACACGAGGGTCGGCCCGACGGGCTGGCAGCACCCCCAGCAGCCCTTTGAACCTGTCGGCGCTTCTCCTGCGGGGCATATGGGCTGCTCGAGACGGCACATCTTGTCGCAGGGCCTTGGTTCGAGCACTTGGGGTTTTGGGAAGGCGCTGGTGCCCATAATGGAGGCAAACAAGGCAGCGATGAAGGTGTTTTTCATCTGAAACGTGGAACGAGGTGAGTATTCCTGTCAGTGAGTTTGTTTGTGATTTACACTTACTTTTTAAACGCTGCAGGTGGTTTTGTCGGTTTGGTGTGGGCTCCCGTCAAGTATGAGGTACGGAGTGGGGCTTTGCGAAGTTGGCTTACAGCCTCTACTCCAGTTATAAGCATCTCGCTCCATTGCCAAGCAGGTCGAGGCGTATAGCGGCACGGAGTATTTCCTGACATTCAGCACTGCCGATGACCTCACCTGGCCAGGGATATTGAATATGAAATTGATCAGGTTGGTCACCTTCATCGACAGTTTGGCAGATGGAAGTTCGAGTGGCTCTCTCGAGCTCTAAACTTTCAGCCCTTCCGCGTCAAAACGTCTCCGTGGGCTTCTTCCCCAGTCGTTTGCATTTCTCCTCTCGACTTGGCTTCGAACATCAACCTGCCTTCCGGACTCCATTACCTCGAAGAAACTAGAAGCATAAGAAAAATCACAGTACCTTCGACCGAGATGTTTATCAGAAGCCTATTTTCCTTGAACAGGCGCGATGTTGAATGGTTAGTAGAACGAAGTATCAACGGAAAGTTGCCGTCGGGAATTAGGGAGGTCGTCGGTGAGAGGGGGGAGAAGTCTCGGATATGAACAAGGTCTGGCAGTGTGCGAACGTATTTCATCACAGGTCCCCGTTGAGGGAGGGTGGGGCCGAACAGGACAACTACGTGCCCTATTTTCGGAATCTGAAGTGTAGAACAATGCGATAAACTTCGGCTGCAAGTTTTCCAACTTGCGTTTATTCCAGGCCTGTACGTGTTTCTTTTGCCAACGAGTCCGTAATTTCCTTGACGCTCGCGTAGTTCGGATATCCTGGATGGCACCCCCTTCGGATTGGGTTACGTAGCTCCTGAAGAACCTCCACTCTCTCTTGTTTGCATCTCCATTTTTATTCTCAAGTGCCGACTCGTTCTCGTGAGCATAGTTGCAATCTTTGCCTGTTTGATCTCACCATGAACACCTTTGCTCATTTTCTTTCGTCTTTTTTATGAATCCTCTTGACGTACTTAGAACGGCCAGCTGATGGGCTTGAGCAACCTCTCCGTTTCTGCCCCTGCTTCCGGTTGGGCCTCTTGAGAAATTCAAACAATGAACCACAGTTGTCTCTGCTCCGTCACGGCGTGCAGTGGCTAAAAATAGTTCTTCGCAGAAACCTCGATTTTAGGAAGAGGAATAGACGATGGTGAGGAGAAAACCATAGCCTGACAGTTCCACCATCCTCAAATTCCCAATAAATTGTAAGAACGTTAGGACGACGTGGTTCAAGATGACGTATCACCACGGCGGTGAGCTTATGAAAGTCAAGGGTAGCTGTACTCTGGGATGTGATAGGCTTACAAGCACAGCGCTCACTTCCTGCTACTCACGACACGGAAAAGGTGAGCTCGCCTCCCGACATTTCAACTAGACATTACATATACGACTATAGTAGAAGTCCTAGTCAGCTATGTCCTCCAGCTCGCTACCTCCGTCACTAGACGCATCCTCAGCCTCCCCAACCTCATCGAAGAACAGCGGCCGCGGCCGGAAACCCGACAACAATTCCGCACCAAAGCGCTCACGCGACGTCCAGCGAGCTTTCCGCGCCCGCCGTGCCGCTTATCTCCAGGGACTGGAGCAAAGGCTTCACGAACTCGAACAAGAGAACGATCACCTACGACGGGCGCTTAACATCTGTCCGGCTGCGAGAGTGCCATTGGGGACGGGTCCGACTGGGTTGGACAGGCACAGGGCTTGGGACTCTAATGGTTTCCCGATCCGCAGTGGGTCGTCCATCCCTGAAAGTGGTGAGTGCTTGAACTGAATGCTCTGCCAGTTCCTTCAACTCAACGCTAGCTGATCAGCAGCACCCGCCCCATCAGCAACAGCAGTACCCCCTCATGACGAACATATCGGCCTTCATGCATGCCATGCCTGTCAACTGCCCTCTTTACTGGCAGCTCTCGATGGGGACCACATTGGTGAACAGAACCAACCAATCAACCTGCCTTCTGAAGCTCCATACCTGGCTCCTTTACACACCACAAACGCAGAGAGCACTAGTGACGCAAGCCAAGTGTGCAGCTGGGCATGCAACATCCTTGAGTGCAACTGCGGTTTCTCAGCTAACATGAACTCCCTTGAAGTTGCGTTGTGACGTAGGTAGCAGCAAATGAGAATGGTGCTTGTATCGACGAATAGTTGACGCCGGGAATCAAAGAAGGACGAGACGCAGGGCAGCTTCGAACAGAATATGGAATTACTTGGCTCAGCGACAAGTACCTAGTTAGCAGCTCATTTGCCGGAGAAGGACTCTTCAGTGCTTCAGCCCTGAAGCTTCATTGGAGAGCCAATGCAATGCGGGTGTTCAAAGGCGTATACAGGGTATCTATCGATGGAGGTTGTACGGAAAGCGAAGTATGTATGTATATGCAGTATGGCTACAGCGAAGGGGATGTCTAGAAGAACATATAACGACAAATGCGTGGTTAGGTTCAAGATTGCGTAAAGTGCAGGGTTTCAATGAGGAGTAGTAGGTCAACCTTCTAAAACGTCGACAACAAAAGCTACTGCTTCCGTCTCCACGAATCCCAAAGACCCGATGCCGTCCGTTGGGCACTACCAAACACGCCACTCATTGGAACCCCTCTACCCCAAGCTGGTGTCGATCTTGGTCCAGTTCCTAGTCCTGCTTGAGGCCGTTGTCTTGCACTACCGGGTGGTGCAGAATTGCCCTTCTCCGAGATCTCAGCCTCCTCTGACCCGCCAACAATGTCGTTTTTCTCCTTTGTCCGATCGAAAGGATGCTTGAAGACAAAGTGCTGTCCGACGGCGAAAATTGGGGTCGCGCCGAGGGAAATACCGATGAGGAGGAGCGTAGCGCCAGGTGGGTCGTACCCACCACCAACAATGTCCAGGAAATGCGACGCGTTCCTGTCGAAGAGGAATCGCAAGCCACGCGAGAAGCCCGCCTGCTTGTGGATGATGAGGTCCGCGCCTAGGAACGTGAGGAACGTGCCGACCGAGGCACAGGAGAAGAGCTGTAAAATCACACGAGCCCCCGAGTCAGTCGGGTGCTTTTCTGTAACACGAGGTGGGAAGGGCAACTTACCAAGCCCGCGCGTTGCGACCGGCCCCAAATCATGCTCATTGCACCCATCGCACCGAACAGGACGATGAGGACCCAGTTCGTCACGTACAACCCACTGCCATTGAAGAGCAATCCCGGGCGGAGGATCATGATCCGGACACCAAAGGCCAAACCGCCTGTGAAGCCCAGGCAGAAGATACCTACGAGACGGCCAAAGGGTATGACACCAAACACGAACCCGGCGATGGAAAAACCTAGGACAATAATGGTGATAACGATGTCAGAAACGCCTGACGGGCCAATGGAGTTGATGATGGGTGCCCAAGCTAGATATTCAGAAAGCGTAGTTAGTTACCAGAACGAACCCATGATCAGACACGGTGAATGGACGCACATCCAACGGCGGCAGCCAGTCCCACTCCAACACCTGTTGACAGCCTCCACCCTCTGATACCGGCGAACATCATTGGTAGACCAACAGCAACCGTGTATCCAATCCG